TTGATTAAGATTAAATTTTGGTGACATTTAGAATAACAATGTTTGCTTTACAACAACTATCTTCACTTGATATGCCTTGATTAAAAACTAAATTTTGGTGACATTTAAAATAACCATGTATGCTTTTACAAAAAATATCTCAACTTGATGCCTTACGATTAAATTTTGGTGACATTTTAAATAACCATGTATGCTTTACAACAAATATCTTGACTTGAAATGCCTTGATTAAGATTAAATTTTGGTGACATTTAAAAATAACCATGTATGCTTTAACATCAAATATCTCAACTTGATATGCCTTGAAAAAGATTAAATTTTGGTGACATTTAAAATAACCATGTTTGCTTTACAACAACTATCTTCACTTGATTTGCCATGATTAAAAACTAAATTTTGGTGACATTTAAAATAACCATGTATGCTTTTACAAAAAATATCTCAACTTGATGCCTTAAGATTAAATTTTGGTGACATTTTAAATAACCATGTATGCTTTACAACAAATATCTTGACTTGAAATGCCTTGATTAAGATTAAATTTTGGTGACATTTAAAAATAACAATGTATGTTTTAACAACAAATATCCCAACTTGATATAACTTGATTAAAATTTAATTTTGGTGACATTTCAAATAACCATGTATGCTTTTAAACAAATATCTCAACTTGATATACATTGATTAAGATTAAATTTTGGTGACATTTTAAATAACCATGTATGCTTGTAAACAAATATCTCAACTTGATATACATTGATTAAGATTTAATTTTGGTGACATTTAAAACAACCATGTATGTTTTTACAACAAAATATCTCAACTTGATATACCGTGATTAAAAACTAAAATTTGGTGACATTTAAAATAACCATGTATGCTTTTACAACAAATATCTCAGCTTGATATACCTTGATTAAGATTAAATTTTGCTGACATTTAAAACAACCACATATGCTTTTACATCAATTATCTCAACTTGATATGCCTTGATAAAGATTAAATTTTGCTGACATTTAAAATGACCATGTATGCTTTTACATCAAATATCTCAACTTGATATGCCTTGATAAAGATTAAATTTTGGTGACATTTAAAATAACCATGTATGCTTTTACAACAAATATCTCAACTTGATATACCTTGTTTAAGATTAAATTTTGGTGACATTCAAAACAATGATACATTTGTGCTTTTACAAATTTCATGCAGTATAAACCATTCATGAGATTTAGGCCTTTAGCTGCTGAATTTGTTTAATGGAATTGCCCTGATTTGAAATTGGAACAGTCCATTCTAAATTAAAAGGATTTTAGAATAAAATTACAAAAATAGACCAACCACTGGTATAGAAATTTGTCATCTATGCAGTTTCGGTTTGAACTATACTTGTAATTTGCAAAGGCAAATCATTTTCTGTTTATAGCAATAGTAGTTAAAATTGTAAATGTGAAACAATATATTAATGGTTTTCCACTTGTGACCTACATTTTTTTATGTTTATGTACATGTATACTAAATGGGGCAGATTGTTCTGGAGAGGAAAATAAAATGTAGTCTATATTGAAAAGCATTCTGGTTTCTAATGACTCAAATTCTGATACCATGTTGTTTCTAATAAATGCCCTTAGGAGCTTAGATTTTTTTTTAAAGAAGGGGGCGCTTGCCTAAAAGATCATTTTTGTGCTGTAAAATATGTAATTAGGCTTTATTAAGGTCATTTAATTTATCCTAATTAGTTGTGACCGTCATAGTAATGTGATTTTTTTTTATTTATTTTTACTTTCTTTCCTTTTTTTTTTTTTTTTTTTTTGCTTTTAACTGCTCTTTTATTTAGCAGCATTTAAAAGAATCAAATATTTATTAATTTGAAACAGAACAATAAGCTCTTAAATTATATATATACTCCATACACTGTGAAGAGACTTATAAACATAAAATGAAAATCTTTATCTTTCCTGCATATTTCCTGATATTTGACAAAAAAAATCATACACTGTTTTATGGTTCTAAATTATACTTTAAAAGTAACAGAAAATTCAGACATCTTTAGAAGTTTGTACAACTAAATTTTCTCTAAAATCATTTACACACATGTACTGCAAAAAGTAATAAAATTAATTGAACAGTCAGAATTACAAAACAATATAAACAACAGAAAAATGTATAAGAAGTAAAAAGGGGAATGTAACTGATCAGTTTGATATTAACATACATGTATAAGTACTTGATGACTATTCTAACTTATCAAATAACGTAAAATTCCTAATAAACACCCCTCCCCTTATAAAGGCCCTCCAGGCCTTTTGATAGAAGGAAAACAATCTACTCATCAGTGCTGAACTCGTAATAAAAGCCATAGTTTTATTTAAATCATTCAGAATCCATTTTATTTTATAGTAAACACAAATATGTATAATATGAACTTTAAAACCTTAACATTTTTAATGTTATTACCAACACTTGCTAACACTAAATGTATTTACAGTGATTTTTGGATTTAGGAAAAACTGTGTTGTAATAAATTAGCCCCCCTTTTGGAAAATGTTTAGCCCATGGAATTGTTTAATAGGAATTTTACGGTATATATAACCTCAATATAATCAAAGTATAAAACCAAAAATTATACAGCTTATCAAAGTTAAAAAACCTAAAAAATAGTTAAGTTATATAATCTATAACAATCAAAGTTATAAAACATAATAATTAATCAAAAGTATATAGCTTAAGAATTATTCTAGCTATATAACCTAATAATTACAAGAGTTATATAACCTTATAATTCAACAAAGTTATATAGCCTGATAATTATCAAAATAATATAACCTAAAATTTAAATAAACTTTATCTTTCAAGTAAACCTTTTTTTTTGTTACCTCAGTTAACAATTAACACCAAAATTTCAAGTAACCAAACCTTTTAATTCATTTTTTGCTTATTCTTTTTTAGTAAAAAAATATAGGAACTGTAATTATATTACTTCAAAGTTTGACTGGTAGAGGAAAACCTCTGAGTAATAACTGGTATTTTACTGGCACAGGTACACAATTCGCTTAATGCAAAAACTGGTTAACTCCTTTTAAATTTAGAAGGACTTACCCTGTTACTGCACTTAGGTGATGACATTTCAGTCAAACTAATGACGTCGTTTTGGTTGTGTTTCAAGTCACACCAATACAGTTACATAAATATGGTGACTTTCCAGATTTCCTTGTTCTGAGATTATTTCAAGCACAAGCTGGCACTAATGTAGACCCACAGATGCATAGTAAACTAGCAGGATAGTTCCTTGCATGATAAAATTCAAAGTCTCTGAAGGGACTCAAAGCATTGAGAGGTAAGTTGCTTGAATAAATTTGTATAAACTAACATTAATAACTATAATATTTTGACGTCACACACGATTTTTTCAAGCCAAGATATGAAAATGAGTAGAGGCCATTGAATAAATAAATGACAACCTACTGGATTCAACATGACATGCCAAATGAAACCAGATATAAATAGAAATAAACAAACAATAACATGATTGTCATAAATAGCATAAAAGTAAACATTGTGTTACTAATTAAAGGGAGACACAGGCAAAATGTTAATAACTTAGTTTTGGATTTTTCTTTCATTATTCTGTAAATGTCATCAAAATGAATACACTAAACAGTCAAAAGAACAAAACTTTTCTCCATATAAAGTATAAAATGGTGTTTTCCTAACTTGACCCGCGTGGGTCAGGTTAGAGCGCTAAGATTTCACAATAGTGGTCACTGTGTACTCTGGAAACGTTAAAGAACATGTCAAATCAACTACTTAGACTTGTTTCAATCATACAATATCCACAATACCTGTTATTGTAACTTTTAGGGTTTGTTCAAATCACGCGACTTGTTTTTAAACTATTCGGTGATTCTGTTGGCGTCTAAATTTCGTTCAACATATATAGATATATTTAAGCTTCAAACCCAAAATATACAGAAATTATACAGAAATTCATGCTGGGACTTTAAGAAACGTCATTTTAGAGTGATTTGAGTACAGAAGATCATTTTTATATTTTTGCCATTATTTTGCCTGAGTATCCCTTTAAAATATAGAGTGAGACTATAAAAAGTTTTGGAACACCACATTAAATACCGTATTCCAGTATATACAGCGCTTGAATGATTAAATGCTAAAATATCGCCTTTTCACCCAACGGAACTCTAATTCATTTCTAACATCCATTTATATACGATACTGAATGAAAAATGTAAGGATCGATGAAAAAGCGATATTTTTGTGAGCATCTATATGTACTGCTCCAACACTGTAGTGAGTTAAATCCTAAAATATCAGCATAAAACATATTTAACACAATATGCAAAAATTCTAAAATATAAATTTTTTTTTTTTCTTTTCATGTAAAAAAGATTTTAGATTTTTTTTAACAACAGAATTCCTTTGGAGATATTTTCCCAGTTAGTTTTCCACATTTTCTAAATATAAGTAAAAGCAAAATAAAAAAGATTTTTGAAATTCTTCTAACAAATACCATCCATAATACAGAGAAGTGTTTTTTTACACTTCAATGTCTCCCTAGTCACTACAAAATTTTCATTGGATTAACAAAAATATATATATAAAAAAAAAACCCAGTCTATTAATTATCCTTCAGAACCAGTCTAGTATCTTCAATTTTTTAGGAGATGAATAACCATTCCAAGAGAAGCAACTAGGTACATGTAGGTCTGCAATTCATTTTCCATGATTTACTTTTACAAGCAAACAATACTATAATAATAATAATAATAATAATAAACTTTGAACTTTGCAGTGCAACAAAAAATGTCCTAAAATACCATGCAACATGCTTTACCAAAAATCTTATTACCTAAAAAAATCAATGAAGTGTATACCATATAAATATCAGGGAAAAAATATAAATAACATACATGATAATCTTCTTAAATAATTCTAAATATGAATGAAATTATTCAAAACCTATCAATATTGGTCACAAAACTCTGACAAAATGTATTCCACAGGCTGATACAATTGCATAGAAATAATCCAAGTAAAACAAATACAACAAGATACCAGCCATGTAACACAAAGCTGTCCATAAAACTGCTGGCCTGACTTTTCTCAATGCTAGAGAGTAAAAAAGGGGCATAACTCTGTTAAAAGGTAACTCAGAGTTACGGGACATAAGCACAACATATAAGATTATCACAGAAAACTGGGGTGTGAATGTTCAACCCATTCCCTTCAGTAGTTTTGGAGATACCAACTTGCATGCAAAAACTTAACCAATGCGTTATGCCAACACCAGGGTGCAATAGCTATCCATGTTCTAAAGATAGTCAACCTTAAAATATAATTCACTTGCATGCTAAATCAACAAAATAAAATATCCTCTCACAAGTACAAAATGATATATTTCTGAAGTATATTATATAAAAAAATATTTAATTTTCCTTCATTCTTCTTACTTAACATTTTGTAACAATATATTTTCATATCAAAACTATTGCAATAAAAGAACTGATTTCTAATTTCAGAGAGTCTATGCTTTAACCTTGCCTAGAGGTTTCTGCATTTTATGTAAAGATTGGAATGTTGGCACTGTGGGTTTAATGTTGTCTACGTGAACTCTTCCAAGGTTTGCCTTGCTTGCTCGTGCAATCATAATGTTGTCAGCAACTTGTCTGAGATTTTTTGCACGGTTACGCGGGTCAACATCTGACAACGGATCGCATTTACAGCTTGCCCTCTCCTCCATGGCCTAGATATAGAAAACCATTATACATGTAATCATTAAATTGATTAGTGGATATACAAATAATGAATCTCTAGTAATGAATGGGATAAACAATATGAAATAAAGTGGGTGTCGGTGCTTTCCAAATATTCTTATGAATATAGTGCTCCAGTGAAATATTTAAGAAATTCATTTGGTGTCTGTTATAAACTAATAAATTTGTGTCCATAGGAAACAGACACCTTTACATACCACTGTTCTTCAGTCTATGGATGGACAGCGTGACAGATGGACAAAAGTTAATCTGTTAATCCCTCTACAGAAGTGGGGGCGTAAAAATTCATTTGAGTCGCTTCATGACAAAACCAACATAGTGCGTTTGCGACCAGCATGGATCCAGATCAGCCTGTGAAGTCTAATCAGGATCCATGCTGTTCGCTATTAGTTTCTCTACTTGTAGTAGGGTTGGTAAGCGAACAGCATGGATCCTGATCAGACTGTGCAGATGCGCAGGCTGGTCTGGATCCATGTTGGTCGCAAATGCACTATGTTGGTTTTGACATGGCGCAGCTCATTTGACTTATTCAGTTCACAAACAAGTGACATATGAGTTTTTGATAGATTCCCTGACCATTGTAACATGTAAAATGAATACAGTTGGAGATTAATTGTCCAAGTGCTTTAAAATGAAGAAAATCTACATTTTACTAGCCATTGCTCTGGATAAGATAAAGTTTTCATACTTAATACTTTGTAAGAAATCGGCTTCACCTAAATATATTGTATCCTTATTTGTTTGGTACATAACATGACTAACATAGGTAATTGAAATTATACATTTTCTTGTATACAAAACTAATATACACTTTTATTTTAATGTTACCATCAAGTAAGTACTCTTAACTTCTTAAGGTAGTCTTACTGCAATGCTGTCCGGCCAAAAAGTTTCTAACATCGGCCAATATTGTAATAAATCGGTCATTCCCAGAACATTATTTTTTACAATCTTCAATAATTCTTAACAGTTTATAACTGGAATTTAGTATATAGCAATGAAGGATGAGTGATTGTAAATAATCTAATGCCCAAGATTTAAAAGAAACATAATTCCAGAAATAACTGATTTGCTACAATATTGGATGATGTTAGAATTTTTGACGAGAAAGCGTTACAGTAAGACTAACTTTATATAATAATGTGTTATTGAAAACAAAGATTACCAAAAATTACACAAAATACATAGTCTATATATAATAGAGTGTTTTTATTACATCAAAGCATCACCGACCATCATCAATAGAGACGGTGTTGACAGCTGTACAGATTTTGTCATTCGCATTTTCCTACCAGTGAAAGACCTAGTACAGATATTCAGTAGTCTTGGAAACAATTTTAAGTTCTGAAGCCATTACAATATTCATTAAACTTGAAAACAATCATAAAAGCTTATTATATACGATTACCCTTGGTATAAGTTGGTTCATATGTTTGACCCTGTTACCATGACTAGGATGTGTGGACAACCATTCTGGAATTTGTGCCTCGCCTGTCACATCCTCATCAATGCCCATACGATGCCACAATACACTGCTCTCTCTTACATCAAAACAAGCCTGTAACCATAAGCAAAAATAACAAGTAGCCTATATATTATTACTTATAAAGAATTTTGACAGGTTATATGGCGGAATATAAATGGTTGTTTTGTAATATAACCTAAGCTGCTAGGAATAACAAATACAGCAAGCATAATTTTAGAGAAAAAGTGAAATTTCTTCATAAATTGACAGCAGCCATGTATATTATTAGTTATAAAGATTATTGACAGGTTATATGGCCCTATATAAAAGGCTGTTTGTAAATATAACCCGAGCCGCTAGGCGATGGTTATATTGCAAACAGCCTTTTATATAGGGCCATATAACCTGTCAATAATCTTTATAACAAATTTGCAACATAGACATCATTTTGTGGAGAAAAAGTAAGATATCTTCATAAATCGACAGCAGCCGTGTATATAAATCTATTTAACGTCACGATTATCCAATGAAAAGCGACGTTACAAACGTGCAGTATTATAAAAATCAATATAAATGTCATGATTATTCAATAAAAAGTGATGATACAAAAATGCAGTATTATAAATACACAATATATACATATTAAGAGTATAGCTTGGTCTATTGAGTTAAAAAAATGCACCCGAAAAGGTTTCTCAAGCATTGCAGAAAGGTATTATGAAAAGAAAAGAGAATGAAAGTAACCAAAAACTTAATATTGTTCTTATGAAATAAAGTGCTATTTAAAGCAAACTTGCAACCTTGACCTTGGAGGTTGGGACATAGGTTTTGGATGCGACACAATATTTGATGCGCTAGACATTTATGCAAAGTTATTTTTAAATCATTCATCGCAAGACAAAGTTACAGTCCGGACAAAATTGTTGTGTAACTGGTGAACCTTCAACCTCTAAGTGTGACCTTTACCTTTTTCGTTTTGATGTAGTTGACATTTTTGCCGAGTTATTTTAAAATCCTTCAATGCTTGAGAAAGTTACAGTCCTGACAGGAATGTATTTTCCTATAAACTCTGTGATTTGAACCTTCAAAAAGTAAGTGTGACCTTGACCTTTGAAGTAGGGATGTCATTCTTAGTCACAATCGACATCTTGATGTGGTAGACATTTGTGCAAAGTTATTTCAAAATCTCTCAATGCATTACAAAGTTACAATCTTGACACAAATGTTGTTTAAGTTGGGATGGACAGACACAAGGTGCCATTTTAATATGCTGCCCTTCGTGAGCATAAAAATAAACTATATTACAATTTGCTGCCCTTCTTGAGCATAAAAATAAACTATATTACAATTTGCTGCCCTTCGTGAGCATAAAAATAAACAAGAAGCTGTTTTTGTCACAAAAACATATGTCTCCCATAATTAGGTATGGTACAGATCACTTCTGCAGCAGTTTGACCGATGAAAGCTAGACAAGAATTTTCTATTTATAGCTCCAGCACCCATTGTGTGAATCGCAGCAAAACCTGCCACCAATATGCACAACTAGGTATATTACTCATCATTCCTGTGAAGTTTCCCACCAGCAGTTTGACCTGTGAAAGCCGGACAAGATTAATGAGGATGGACATACGTTCTTTCTGGGTTGACATTTTGGTTTTTTTTCTTTGATCTCTAAAACCACATAAGCAATGTATTTGCACCCCATAAGTACATTCCCCACAAGTACAAGTAGACCTGTATGGAATGAAAATGGATGTTCACCCCATATTGTCCTTTGAAATCTTACGGCCTTCCGGCGGTAATAGGATAAGGGGCCATTACTTATGTTATTTTCTTTTGATTAATAGAGGGCCAATGCCCCTTACTCTATTGTTACGGAATGAACTCTAATGTTCTCTTTTATTCTGTTCACAGTTAAGTGGCCCCCTATCCTTATTTGGTGCAGACAGACAGAGAGACAGACTGATGGACATATGGGCAGGCGGACAAACAGCAAGGGCAAAAACAATGTATCTCCCAAATTTTTTTATATATATATAAAATTCTATATTGAATAAAACCAAAATAACAAAAAATACCTTGGCAGTTAGATGTAAGCCAATTTTATCTGCTTCTTTTTCTAGTATTCTACTGTAAGGCATATGTACAGATATCTGTAAGTAGATGTATCATATGTTGAAAATAAAGATGCCAAAATACACAACTATTTAGGGGTATCACGTTTATCTGTTTAAAGGGGTACGGTCGGTTTTTAGCTAAAAACCGATTAAAAAATTCAAAAGGTGTTAACTTAGGTTAGTGTTTGACATAGGTGCAAAAAAGTTTAAATTGATTCTGAATATTACCTTTGTTTTTTTAATAACAAGAGTATGACAATTGTATTTTAGTTGTACGAAATAGCGCATATGTTATGAATAAGCAAAAAATATCAACGCCTGAATCCCAGGCTACTCAACAATGTATTTTTTCCGATCTGATGGAACATGGTACCACCCTAGCGGAAAATAGTTACTCCATATTTGTATATGTATTGTCATCATTTTGAATGAAATGGCGTATCTTGTTATAAAAAAAAACAAAGTAAATGTTGAAAATCTAAGGATTTTATTAGTACGGTTGATTAAACGTTTAACATGGTTATTATGTTGCCGTTTAAATGGTTAGCACATTTTTTCTAACTGTGACACCCCTATAATTATTCGACCATGCTGTGTTATATTTACTCACTCTAAAGCTGTTTAAAAAAGGATTATATCTAATATTTTGACACTGCTCACAGTTTTTTTATTTCTTACTGAACAAAGAGTATTACAAATGTAAGGGGAAGGAACTACAGACTACCTAGACATGCCCTTTAAGACATGTCTATTGAATACTTCCTGGGTGTCAAAACCAGTTATCACACCAGTGTGGATTTTGGAAGCCAGAAGTGAATGTCACCACTTATGGGACTCAAACCTATAACCTCTGGATTAGGACTTTGATGCTCTGCACCTTCCACAATAATTAATTATGTCTGTTGCAGTTCGAATTGGAATATCCATCCCAGAGGGTACCTGCTCATTGTGCAATAAAGAGGCTTGCGTTATTCTGCAGCATTTGGCTCATCTGGCACCCTAAAGCCAGATGATGAAATTTCCAAAATTGGGATAACTAATGAGGACATACCAGTCTTAAATGCAACAAAAAAAAATATGATACAAAATGTATGATACTAACGTTCATGACTTTCTTGTAAAACCAGTTAGTTATCACAGCTATTCCATCATTTGGCATTAACGTCCATATTGCAGCCATTACCCCTATCACAATATAGTCCATAAACTGACTGTAACTCAGTTGTTCTGCCTGAAACATACAAGTATATACAGTTGATACAAATACGTAAAAAAAATTTTAAAAATAGTTATATCATTCAGTGAACTGTTTCATGAAAACATTGATCCAAATTTACACAAATATACATCAATATACAAAAAAAAAAAAACTGCTTTCCAGAGTTTAATATTGCAAGTGCAACTGTGTTACTACATGTATTTATTTAACCCCCAGGCTTTTATCGTAAAAACAAAAATGTATCATGAGAACTTTAAAACCTTAGCCCTTTTTAATATTATAACCAACACTTTCTAACACTAAATGTATTAACAATGATTTTGGATTGAGAAAAAAATGTGTTGTCATAAAAACCCCCTTTTGGAAAATGTTTAGCACCGGGGGCGTCTAATAGGACTTTTACAGTATTTAGATTTGTATTGAGGCCATAACATTTTGAAATGTTCATAATATCTTTTAAAATTTAATTACATGATTGCATTTAAAAAAATTTAACAGGAAAGAAAATATTCACAAATCATGAGGTACCAAAGTCTTCTATGTAATTTATAGATAGATTTTGTATTTAATACATTGTATTTTTTGTTGCTAAATAGGGGGATGGGGAGTCTAAAATACATACCCCATGTAAGAGTAGAGCATGTGCCATTTCATGACCTAGAATAAAGGCAAATTGGTCCTCATTCTCTACAAACATTAGCATTCCAGTATACACAAAAATATGCCCATTCTGAAAATAAATAATGTGACGTAATAACAATAAATTCATACACTTATTTAAATTTAAAAAAAATCCATTGAAGATAAAGAGGATATTAAATGAGCGTAAGTTTAATACTGAATTTATTGAACCATTTGAATAAAATATATAATGCACCCATCTATATAAGCCCACTTATATTGGCTTACTGCTTTTCTCCATTATTAGCCTAATTGATACTGTCAATACAATTTGCTTACTGCTGTTGATAAACCCGCATGCCTGAATGCCCTAGATTCATGCTAATTTTCATAAAAAATTGAAAATGTATTTAAAAGGTAAAATTTTGTGCAATTACCAAAAAAAACAAGAGCTGTCGGTAGGACAGCATGCTCGACTATTCTTAGTGCTTGATAGTAAAAAAAATGCCTGATACAGTTACCTCCTCCTGTTTACAGGTTGGGGTCATGATGTTGAACAAGTGTGCAAAGTTTCAAAGCCATATGTCAATGGACTTTGAAAATATTTGAACTATTACAAAAACTTTAACGTAAATTCTAAGTCGAAAAAGGGGCATAATTCTGTCAAAATGCTTAATAGAGTTACCTCCTGCTGTCTACAGGTTGGGGTCATGATGTTGAACAAGTGTGCAAAGTTTCAAAGCCATATGTCAATGGACTTTGAAAATATTTGAACTATTACAAAAACTTTAACGTAAATTCTAAGTCGAAAAAGGGGCATAATTCTGGCAAAATGCTTGATAGAGTTACCTCCTCCTGTCTACAGGTTGGGGTCATGATGGTGAACAAGTGTGCAAAGTTTCAAAGCCATATGTCAATGGACTTTGAAAATATTTGAACTATTACAAAAACTTTAACGTAAATTCTAAGTCGAAAAAGGGGCATAATTCTGTCAAAATACTTGATAGAGTTACCTCCTCCTGTCTACAGGTTGGGGTCATGATGGTGAACAAGTGTGCAAAGTTTCAAAGCCATATGTCAATGGACTTTGAAAATATTTGAACTATTACAAAAACTTTAACGTAAATTCTAAGTCGAAAAAGGGGCATAATTCTGTCAAAATGCTTGATAGAGTTACCTCATCCTGTCTACAGGTTGGGGGTCATGATGGTGAACAAGTGTGCAAAGTTTCAAAGCCATATGTCAATGGACTTTGAAAATATTGAACTATTACAAAAACTTTAACGTAAATTCTAAGTCGAAAAAGGGGCATAATTCTGTCAAAATGCTTGATAGAGTTACCTCCTCCTGTCTACAGGTTGGGGTCATGATGTGTGAACAAGTGTGCAAAGTTTCAAGCCATATGTCAATGGACTTTGAAAATATTTGAACTATTACAAAAACTTTAACGTAAATTCTAAGTCGAAAAAGGGGCATAATTCTGTCAAAATGCTTGATAGAGTTACCTCCTCCTGTCTACAGGTTGGGGTCATGATGGTGAACAAGTGTGCAAAGTTTCAAAGCCATATGTCAATGGACTTTGAAAATATTTGAACTATTACAAAAACTTTAACATAAGTGGTTACGCCGACGCCGACGCCGACGCTCGGGTGACTGCAATAGCTCTACTTATTCTTATCGAATAGTCGAGCTAACAAGAGCTGTCGGTAGGACAGCACGCTCGACTATTCTAAGTGCTTGATAGTAAAAGAGCCTTGATAATGTTAAATTTTCTAAGTTCACAAAAGGGCTAATTTTTTTTATAAATTCATGTTATAGGCCTTAGAGAGAGTCTAACTATACAGTATTGGCTTGACTATTTGGAAGGTAATGTCACAAGGGTGTTTTATTGAGTATAATAATACTAATTACCTATGAATACATTAAATTGACAGAAAAGGTACAAAGGCTTGTTATTAAGATGTTTTATCAAGTAAATCACTGCTTTATTATTATGAATGCATAAAATTGTCCCAAAAAAGGCACAAACCCTTCAGTAGTTATGGAGATAACAGCTTACAAGCAAAACTTTACCATGAACTTTTTAAGTTGAAAAAGGGAAGAAAAATCAGCCTAAATGCAAGATAGAATTATGGATCTTTGTCAGTGACCTACAATTCTGACCCTAAATGCATATGTGAAGTTTTAAATAAATATCTTTAATAGTTATTGAGATATGTAAAACTTGCATGTAATCATTGACCAAGAGACTAAGTAGAAAAGGGGATATGAATCAGCCTTAATGCAAGATAGAGTTATGGAACTTGGTCAGTGACATACAATTATGACCCTCAAATTATGACCCTAAGTACATGTGTAAAGTTTCAAGTAAATATCTTTGAAGACCATTAACCTTTAACCAAAATCTCTAAGTTTCAAAGGGGCAAATAATTCTGCAAATATTGCAGACAGAGTTATGCAGCAAAATGATGTACATTGTTACTATAAAAAAGTATTGTAATTTCAATTGAATATCTCAAGCAATAATTGAGATATTTGACTTTACAAAAACTTTAACCAAAATTTCTAAGTTAAAAAGGGGCATAATTCTGTCAATATTGTAGGCAGAGTTATCCAACTTGTCAATCTGATGTACCTTGTTACTATAAATAAGTATTGTAAGTTTCAATTGAATATCTCAAGCAATAATTGAGATATTTGACTATACAAAAACTTTAACCAAAATTTCTAAGTTAAAAAGGGGCATAATTCTGTCAATATTGTAGGCAGAGTTATCCAACTTGTCAATCTGATATACCTTATTACTATGAATAAGTATTGTAAGTTTCAATTGAATATCTCAAGCAATAATTGAGATATTTGTCTTTACAAAAAACTTTAACCAAAATTTCTAAGTTAAAAAGGGGCATAATTCTGTCAATATTGTAGGTAGAGTTATCCAACTTGTCAATCTGATGTACCTTGTTAATATAAATAAGTATTGTAAGTTTCAATTAAATATCTCAAGCAATAATTTAGATATTTGACTTTACAAAAAACTTTAACCAACGCAGACGCCGACGCGGACGCCGGGGCGACTACAATAGCTCTCATATTCTTCGAATAGTCGAGCTTATAAAATAACATTGCAACAGCACTTACAATCCACATAAATTACCAAAAAGAGGTCAAAATATGCAAGAATAGCCTCTATAACATTAGTAATGCAGTAGAAGTTTGGTGATAAATATGCAGAATCAGTCATTATTCGAGCATAACATGTAAAATCATTACCGGATACTTGAATCTTAACTCCTTTTACTTATCTGAAAATCTTCGTACATTTTTCTCAAGTTGATGTTTTTAAAATATTTAAGCCCATTTGGAGGTGTGCAGCTTTAATGTATAACCTGACTGCTATTATCAATAAGGCTTAATATTTCTATCAACATATTCACTTCCAGCTACCATCAATTCATTGGCTTACTGCTATTATCAATGTATAGCCTTACTTCTTCTATCAACATATTCACTTCCAGCTACCATAAATTTATTGGCTTACTGCTATTATCAATGTATAGCCTTACTTATTCTATCAACATATTCACTTCCAGCTACCATCAATTTATTGGCTTACTATAAATGTATTGACTTACTGCTAGAACAAACGCATTCTTTTCATCACCCTCCACAACATGAATCACCCACTTCTGATCTTTCATGCCAGGAAAATCTTGATTTGCTTTAACAATCCGTTGAGCAGTTTTCAGGACAAGATTGTACCATGCATGGGTTGGTGGAATCATATTGTCTTTTAAGCCATCTATAAGCTATATCATAAAAAAATAATAGCAATAAGCATAATATTATGATATTTCCTCACTTTTTTTGGATAAACATATTTTTATAAGATTAGAGAATAACTTAAAGCAGCAAAATAAAAAAGCTCTCAAAAAGAGTCATTCCCCATTGATACACCCATATTTTATTAGAAGATATTTCATGCTTAGTATCTAAACTCTAGTTCTTTGGGTTTTTTTTAAAGAAGATTTTTTAAGTTTTAACTACAATGTATACACATATGAGGAAAATCAATGACCCCCAGGGCAGGGCCAATTTAAACCCAAAGGTGTTTATTTGAATAAACTTGGTAGACACCCATTAGAAGATGTTTCATGCTAAATATCTTAGTTCTAGCTCTTTGGGTTTTTTAAAAGAAGATCTTTTAAGTTTTTACTATATACAAATAAGGAAAATCAATGACCTCCAGGGCGAGGCCAATTTTGACCCCAGGGCTTTTATTTGAACAAACTTGGTAGACACTGACTAGATGATGATTCATGCCAAATATTTAAGCTCTAGTTCTTTCTGTTTTTTAAAAGAAGATTTTTTAAGTTTTTTCTTTTGGTTGCCATGGCAACCAGAGTTCTGCATGGAATTAAATTCTTAATTTTTAAAGTTAACTACCAAAGGAACATTCCTGTGAAGTTTGGATGAAATTGGCTGAGCGGTTTATGAGAAGATGTCATTTAAAGTAAAAGTTTACAGATGGACGCCGAACGAAAAAGTGATCACAAAAGCTCACCATGTCACTTTGTGACAGGTGAGCTAAAAACTGATCATAAGAGAAATCTGAATGAAATCCATGACAAAAACGTGTATCTTACTCCCTCGCACTGAAAATCAGCCACTTTCATGTATTGTTCTTTGGTAAGGGTTACAAATCTTTTACGTCCTGTTATAGGGCACACTTGTAAATGAGAATTGTAGTATATGAGCCCGAGGGCCGTCCCAAATGCTGCTATTGCTGCCCAGAATTGAAGGACTCGTTTGTGATGCTTCTTCTGTATCTCAAGTGGCTGGGTTTTCAACCATGTCCGGTATTTCCTGGATAAAATGCAGCAAATTTAGCATAAATGATACATGTACCTTTGACAAATCTTATTCAAAGTTTATTAAGTCTTAGACTTTTTCATACAGAAAACCGAAATAAGAAGGCAATGTTTACTCTTAATAAATTATAGTTCAACTGAATGTAACAGTTGAATAAAGAATCAAATTGATGATACATGATACCACTTCAATAATTACTCAATGCAATCGAATATCATGTTTTATATCTGTGTTTGTATAACATGTATGTTCCTGGTGTGATACAAATTTATCTATAGTTGCCATTGAACCATTTAAAAGCAATATATATAATTAAGGCTTTTTTTAAGTTTTAAAGGCCAATTACGCCTCAGAAATGCTTTTTTTTTTATTTTCAAAATCTTTAAATGTTTGATGTTCTGCTATAATTTCCAAAAGAAATTCATTGGCCATATTTTTATCTGTAATCGTATAGTGAATAAGTATTTTGTAAGGAAGTCAAAATACTACATTATTTACATTATGCTACTTATATAGCAAACTGTTTGTTGCTACGATTTTAAGCTAATAAGTATCTTAAAACCTCTAAAACCACTATTTAAATGTTATATAATACATATTTGTGCCCTTTAAAGAATTAAAAAATTATTCATTTTTGAGGAATAACGTGCCTTTAAGAAAGTGTACAGTAAAGAGTTATCAATCATATAATTTTTCACTTGAAGTACTTATAGTCTCAGCTTGAAAGGTTTTATAATTTTAGTGGGTGTATGATGATAATGGCATAGTTTATAAAACATTATGATATACCTGCCGGTTAAAACCGCTCCAGCCTTTGAAATGAAACTAACAGCAGCCCAAATCAATGGAGGGAAAGCATCCTTTCTTCCTGATGTATGAAATTGTCTTAAACTTGGTGTATAAATTATTCCAAGATCTCTTATAACATCACATGCTAACTCTGAATTCTTTACAAATTTGGCTGAATTTCTGAGGTATTTGGGGTAGATTTGATCTTGCTGCGTTGAGTATTGCCGAGAGTTACTGTTTCTATGTTGTAATGTGACAGCATTCTTGAGTATATTCCTGCTTATATATCTCTGTGTAAAAACTGTCTTTGGACATCGAAGCAAAGATTTCTGAGTGCTGACACAAAACAACACACACTTCTCCATGTCTTAATTCTGAAGCAAAAAATTCAATAAATATAAATAAAATTTATTATAGATGATTTTTCTACAGGGGAGAGCTATGTGTAAAAAGAAGTGTAAAATCGTCAATGACTACATACATATTGATGTTACAATCATAGGAGCTAGTACTAACAAAAACCACCGCCAGGCAGGGGGCAACACTGTACTTTTTTTACTTTTTCTTAAAGCAAACAAATAAAAGGTTTAAATAAATCTTTTAAAGAAAAATTTAAAAAATTAGAAATTAAAATGAGTTTTTTCATTTTTTTTAAATTTCAATAGGTAGGTATTATCACACTTGTTGTTGGTCCAAGTATGAATCATTTCCATAATGTTCAATGTTCAATTTTACATCTGAAACTCAGTGCACATGATCCAAATTTCATATATATCACAGGACAAGAAAGTAGGTCACTTCATCAAAATCTAGGTCAGCTGATATCAAAGTTCACTTTTACATCTAAATCTGTGCACATTGCCAAATGTCATATAGTTATTGGAAAAATAACAGAATCTAATTAATTTGACCTTGATGATCAATGTCAATTAAAGGTCAAGGTCACATGTAAATTATTCCAATTTTTTAAATATGTTTGTTTGGTAGCAAGTTTTGTTTTGTCCAGACAGGGTCTTTCAAATATTTGAAAGACCCTGGTCCAGAGTATAAATCAAATCTGTACAATTTTAACAAAATGCTGACAAATTAACCAAAATTAAATTATTTCAACTTGATGGTCAATGTCATTTTAAGCTCAAGCTCAAACTCAGTTCAAACTTTTAGAAGGTCTAAGAAGGTCAAAAAGGTAGTTTTTTTCCAGGTAGGAAGATAATCCATTTATTTATTACCAAGTTACAGTCAATTTTAACAAAAATAAGTTAAAATATTGATACTAAAATTCTATTATTAAACCTTCATGGTCAAGGTCATAAATGAGGCAATGTCAGTTTGAGTTTGATGTACATAAAGGTGTTATCCTAAAGAATGTTGTGTCATAATATGAAGTTAATATTATAGCCAGTTGCAGCAAAAAAAGAAAATTTCAATAATTTGACATTCAAAGTCACTTAAAGATCATGGTCACATCTAGATTATTCAATATGTTTGTTTGGTCACAAATCTTGTTTTGTCTACTAGTGTAAATCAAATCAGTACTTAAAGAAACAAAATGAAACAAGTTAACCAAAATTCAATAGTTTGACAATGATGGTCAAGTTCATTAAAAGGTCAAGGTCAGTTCAATCCTTTAGCAGGTCTTGTCCAAAAGGTTGTTTTGTCCATGTTTGTAGACAATCCATTTATAAATTACCAAGTTACTGTCAATTATAGCATAAATCAATTAAAATTCAATAATCTAACCTTTAAGGTCAAGGTCATAAATAAGCCAAGGTCAATTTATCCTAACAAATGATGTGTCTTTATATGACATATAGAAAATATAAATAGCAACTTAAATGGTATTTTAAGTATTGATGACGTAAAAGTATTTTTATTATTGTTCGCTGACGACGGTGCATTATTTGCTTATGACCCTCAATCTCTACAATCAATGTTAAATGATGTACAGACTTACAGTAATACATGGAGACTTCGATTGAACGTCAGTAAGACAAAAATAATGATATTTGAAAACGGTCGTCATACATCATATGATTTTTCTGTACGAAATCTGCTGTGGTCATAGTATTATTTTTACAATAGGTTTATCTCTTAGATTTGGTTCGCTAAATTGCTAATCATGGTCATGCAACTACATAGTTAGGTGAAGAAGCAGGCGCTTGTTTTGGTTGAGTCTATTATGTTTTGTTTAGGGGGTTGAGTTGTCATACACAAATTTACAATTTATATGCATTTATTTTTTTCCAATGATTGTTATTATCTTAAATGCTTCTGGGGTTGTTGTTTTATCAATTCATTTGTAAATAAGAATGTTATATGTCTATTAACGGAATAATTTTAATGAACTCGAAATTAGTTCACATGCACCTACATGTGTATTGGTAACGTGATGGTTTAAGCCAATGAAAACACGTCAATATTATTTTACTCAGGCAGAGAAAAAGTGTGCAAAGAGTAAATCGATAATCTTAATGTAGCCAGCAAACTTTGAATTGCAAGTATTTTTTATATCTTTTCGGCAGAATAAACTTTTCGAGGATTCGTATCGTAAAATGGCTGCCATTTACAATATCAAGTGATTATCCCAAGCACCACCGCGACTTAGCGCGGGAATTTTAATTATAGCTAACCTCGGCGCATATACCTTTTTCATATTTTATTGTAATAAATATTTACAAACTGTGTCTTTCGGTTTTTTTTATCAATATATAACCAATAATGAGGTAAATATGAATAAATAATCATATCTCAAATCTTTGACTATGATTTACGATTAAATTCTGCCTTAAGTGTATTAAAAGGGTTTTTAATTTCCTGTAATTTTATTTTGTGATTATGCTTCAAAGCAGTCAATTGACCGTGAATTTTCTTTTCATATTTTGATTTCCTTGAAATCACTTTTCTCATCTGAAAGCATGCAACTTTAATATGGTGATACATTAATTACATTCCATGAAAATGTTTAAAGATATAAAATATCTCATGACATGTTTGTTCATTTTACATTACACCTTTAATTCAGCAAACATAAAGTCTTCACAAATAGTAGTATGCAATCGTACCTATATTACATACGAATGTATGTAATATTTTTCTTGTATATATGTAACTCGCGTATTGACATCGTTCAGTCATTTAAATACCTTGGTGTTCATTTGTTTAAAAACGGGAATTGGAATCGCACGCAACAGAGAATCGCTCAACATGCTCAGTTTTCACTTCACAATTTATTTATTGTTTACAACCAATTAGAACTACCAAAAATTATATCTTTTTGATTCTCTTGTAATGTCTACTCTTAATTACTGTGCAGAGGTATGGGGTCATCACGCTGGACCAGATATTGAGATTGTACATACGAAATTTTGTAGGAGAGTTCTATGCATAAAACGCTCAACAAACGTAGATGCTCTATACGGCGAATTAGGGAGGACACCAATGAATGTGTATCGAAAAATTATATTGATAAAATACTGGGTTAAACTAATTACTTTGGATAATCAATCACTACTATTTAAAACTTATAATATGTTGATGAGGGATGCTGAATTAGGAAATACATATAATGGTAATAACTGGGCTAGTCAGATTAAAGAAATACTTTATAATCACGGTTTAATGTACTTATGGCAAAATCAATTTAACATTCAAATTAACGTAAATGTGATTAAACAACGGATATTGGATGTGTATTATCAACAGTGGTGCTCATCAATAAATAACTCTCCTCGTCTCGAAACGTATTGTTTATTTAAACATGAATGTAAATTAGAAAGTTATCTCGACTTTATTCAGGAAACAAAGTTCAGAATATCTTTAACGAAATTTCGTACATCCTCACATGATTTGACAATAGAACGCGGACGCTACATAAATATTTGTAGGACGGAGAGAATCTGTTTAAATTGTAATTCTAATATGATCGAAAATGAATATCATTTTTTTAATACTTATATGTCCAAAATTTAGAGAACTACGTAGAAAATATCTAAAACGTTATTATTATACCTGGCCTAACTTACAAAAATTCAAAAACTTGTTAAGTGAAACTAACCAAAAAATTATTCAGAATCTATGTAAATTTATATATTACATTATTATGTATATATTATATTATGTATGCTAATGTAATGAGAAACTAACAAACATTCTTTTATGTAATAAGCTCTTCAGAAAACTTTTGTTAATACTTTTTTCTATAAACATAGGTAAAACCCATACATTTCCATTGTGTTTTATATATTTTATTTGCTATAAATATGTCACATGTTTTATGCAATAAATATATTGAATTGAATTGAATATGAACTTAGTCAATCTATTAATAAATATATGTAATAATGTTATGGCCTGAGTTACAGCAAAAAGAAGAAGAAAATTTCAATAACTTATAAGTGAAGCTGAAGGCCTGTCTGATCACTTTAAGATCTATCCTAAAAGATTGTTGTGTTCAAGTTTGAAGACAATCCATTTTAAAGTTACACCCACTTATAGCAAAAATCAAGCAAAATTTAGATAATTTGAGCTAAGGGCAAGATCATGAATGAAGGTCAATTTAGTTGGCTCTACTTGATGGTCTTGTCCCAAGGGTTGTTATGGCCAAGTATAAAGACAATAAAACGAGAACATAAAAAGTTATGACAGAGACATAAATGTCTACATCTCTGATTATGATCAAGGTGTTTTGCAGACGGCCCTGGCCCAACAGGAACCATGACTGTAACAATACCTCTAAAATTCGGACTAAAAAATAACATTAATATGTTTTTTACTACAAGTTATGATATATATAATTATAGATCTATGTATCACACTGATTTTGTGAATACAGTAATACTTTTAGTAATTTTATGTTATATTCAATTTCTTTTTTGATATGTATCCTGAGGTCAGTTATATACTGATGTCAACTCACTGTATTTATAAATGAAAAAAAATCATGCAAACAACAAATTGCTCGCTAAGAAAAGATGCGGTACAAGTCAACCCGGCCCCAAGTCAACCCGGCCGCAAGTCAGCCCGGCCCCAAATTGGTCAACCCGGCCCCAAGCCAATGTTATTTCTGGTCAACCCGGCCCCATTTTTTTATTATTTATTTTGCTTTAAAATATAAACACTTATCAAGAAATGATAGAAATACGATAGAAGTATTAAGAAAAAGCTATGTTATTGTATGTAAAAAAAGAAAGAAATGACCAAAAGCACACTAAAGTGTTTCCCGGAACAGTTTTAAAGTAATATTAATTATAGAGATGCTGCCATCTATCACAGGTATCGCAGGTCACTGCTTCCTGTCTGTCACGCACAATATATCCATAATCAATACAGTTATATCAGTCATGATGACATAAAGTGATTTAACACAAAACACTTTCAATTTTTCAAACACTTAGTAATATTCCAATACTTTTTTACACAGTAAATATTCTTTGAAAATAAAATAAAAAACGAAACAAATATTAATTATACTGATGAACGTATTCAATAGAAACATTCAAATGAACTGAAAAAGAGATTGTTCGAAACTTAATTTATACAAACATTTTAACTCGAAATTCAATGCATTTCTTCCTAATTAATTAACACTCACGAAACCATCTTTAATTTACATCGAATAAAGACATGAAAGATACTACCAACTTATTTATAGCTTTTTAAACTGTTTGATTATCACATCTGAAATAATGTTGATGTACATATATAAGTGTTGATGTTATATAATTATTCATTATCACTATTGCGTATTAAACTGTTAAAGTCTTAATCGGCACAATTAAATTTACTGACATTTTTATGCCAGTTCATGTTGGTTTTTTTACAATTGTTCTTTAGTTTATAATATTCAATTAATAATAAACCATTTTTATTACATCATACAACAAAATGACCTGAATAGTTTTCTTTGAAAATATATATTTTGGGGCCGGTATGACCGATTTTGGGGCCGCACTGACCAATTTTGGGGCCGCATTGACCAAATAAAAACTCTGTGGGGCCGGATTGACCAATTTTGGGGCCGGGTTGACCAATTTTGAGGCCGGGTTGACTTGGGGCCGGGTTAACTTGGGGCCGGGTTGACTGTAATTCAAAAGATGTGTATAATCCAAAATCTACAAGATTTATCATTCATGGTAACAAACAAATCTATTGAATGTATGAGAAATCACTAAGACTTGAAAAAAATCCTACAATATCACACTCAGAATAAGAAAGTGCCAAAGTTATTTAAATGACATAATTATTCAATGAATGCTTATAAAATTCAAGATAATAAAGGCCTACCTACTCCTGTGATCAACTCTCACATTGAAATGACGAAATATATAGGTCAAACATTTAGGAAAATCCCTAACTAATTGCTGGTACTCGACTTCACAGCAGCAAATAAACTACAAGAACGGGTTCAAGAAAAAATCGATCATAATCGGTTGGGTTTGCATATTTTCCTTGATAGATGACTACTTGTCCGAGAAGTGGAAACTTGCATCATCATAAATGTAAACATGGCGGAGAAAGCTCAACCGCAGGTCAAAATAGGACACTATATTATTGGAGATACCCTAGGAGTGGGAACATTTGGCAAAGTAAAAAGTATGTTATTTCATTATGACATAATTTTTTGTCACTTTTTGCTAAATTATTTTGCTTTTAACAGTATGCATTGCACAAAATCAGCCGTAAAGTCACATTGTTTACGAATAATCTTGCTAAATACAGGATAAGCTGATAAGTGTCCTACATAAAATACAAATTATTTTCATACATTTGAAAAAAATCTAATTCAGTTATTGACATATAATTTCAGCTTTTTTGATGATAGTGAAATCAAATGTATATAAACTATATTTCATATACTTTGTCCTCTGAAAAACATTTGGAACAAGTTACTGGTCGGAGACCATCAACCGGACATTTTTGGAACATTTTTCCGTACAGATTTCATAATTTTTAACCTAGAGACCAAAAAATTTGACACAGTTCAGCTAGGTTCTTCTCCTAAATAACAAACTAGTTTGTTTATTTCTGATTTTATTGACACTTATATCTGAGGCTCGACAAGGAGGGTATCAAAATTACCTAAATTGTCTACACTACAGTACCATGTGTCCGGACAGATATGTACATGACGTGATTTAATTCAGATAAAAGCTTGGGTGTTTTGATTTTTGATTTTTAACATGATATACAATATGTCAGCAACAAATGCTGAAGTTTTGGATATTCTATTATTCACTCTGCAAATGATTATAGCTGGTATATGAGGTCAGGCATTGCTTTCTTGATCCCCAAATTTCAACGTCAACATTTTTGAAATAGACATGAAAATATTACTATTTACGGAGGTTGAAATAAATTTATTTACTTAATTTTAAAATAAACATGCACTTATTGTTGATAAAAAAGTGACTGACAACCACTGAACAAAGAACATACTAAATTAAGCATTTTCGGGGCCGTCCGGGTTTGGTGGTTGTCTGGTTTTGGTGGTCCCCAACCAATAGGCTACTTAGAGTTGGACTGTCAGATAATTATTTTTTCCCCATACAGTGGCGTACCTGCCGATACGCCAATACGCACTGGCGTATTTAATGAATAGCTAGAGTTTCGAGAAATTAAAATTTGAAAAAAATGACGCGAAAAAAAAATGATGTAGATCTATCTATAATTGCGTAGCTGCTTATTGATTCCATAGGTATGTTTACGATGTAACCTTTGTCAAATATGTTCATACAATCAAAGGCGAGTAAAGCACAATTTAGCACATACATGAAAGAGAAAAGAACATGGGGGGAAATTTTAGCGAGAAATTTTCTATTGTGTGTTTTTTTTTATTTCTAATACAAATCATCAATTTTGTAAGTAGGTTATGTTTGAGTTACCATAAAAATTCAATTCATACCACCCTATGCGGATTTTATTAAGGATTATCATTTTTAAAACTTAAAAAACAAAATGTTATAATGCTTATAAACCTCGCTAAACTTTATGTTTGTCTGGAACTTTTGTAGTACAAAGGAATACGTGTTAGCCTTTTCATATTTAATCCTGTAGTTGTTTATCATTGTATAAGTCTGTCACATTCATTTCATCTTCATTTGAAATTTTGTAAAATAGTTTGGGTCCTACAAATCTGATCTTAGCAGCAAACAATATTCCACAACTATCATCACAAACCGAACTCAACGTTTATGTAAAGAACATTTTTAATCAAATTTAAGCCCCTTAAAATGGAAGATTTACAATATATATCACTATACAAAGCTATTTAGATATATTTCATTGACTATAGAAATGAATTGCATATTTCTGCAATGACATCTTTTATGTATTTTATAATAGTCTCATCTATATATACATACAGAACAGAGATAAAATTACAATAAAAACAAAGTAAAGCCATATAAGAGAATGTTCTTTCTTCTTTTTTCTCATTTTGAACTTTTTACAAAACTAAAATATGTTTCCACTCTTGCTTTAAATAAACCGTAATTTTCCTGTTCATTTGTAAATATTTGTATGCGATACAAAATCCTATATGTTATGTTTCTTGACTTGAATTTCTGCCAGGCTAGTAATGCATTAATTATACCCCCGCACAACAAAGTTGTAAGGGGGGTATACTGGAATCAGCTTGTCCGTCCGGCCGTCCGGCTGTCTGTCGGTTTTTTCTTGTCCGCCCAATAACTTAAGATTCCTTTGACCCTTAGTCTTCTTTTTTGGCATGGAGGTTAGTCATGATTAGTAGATGACCCCTATTGATTTTGAGGTCACCAGGTCAAAGGTCAAGGTCACAGGGGCCTTGACTTCAAAAAGCTTGTCCGCCCAATTACTTAAGATTCCACTGACCCACAGTCTTCATATTTGGCATGGGGGTTAGTCATGATTAGTAGATGACCCCTATTGATTTTGAGGTCACCAGGTCAAAGGTCAAGGTCACAGGGGCCTTGACTTCAAAAAGCTTGTCCGCCCAATAACTTAAGATTCCACTGACCCACAGTCTTCATATTTGGAATGGAGGTTAGTCATGATTAGTAGATGACCCCTATTGATTTTGAGGTCACCAGGTCAAAGGTCAAGGTCACAGGGACTTTGACTTCAAAAAGTTTGTCTGCCCAATAACTTTAGATTCCTTTGACCCACAGTCTTAATATTTGGCATGGATGTTAATCATGATTAGTAGATGACCCCTTTTGATTTTGAGGTCACTGGATCAAAGGTCATAGGGACTTTGACTTCAAAAAGTTTGTCCACCCATTAATTTAAGATTCCTTTGACCCACAGTCTTCATATTTGGCATGGATGTTGATCATGACTATAAGGTGACCCCTATTGATTTTGAGGTCACTGGGTCAAAGGTCAAGGTCACAGGGACCTTGACAAAAAAAAGCTTTTCTTCTCAATTGCTAAAGAATGTCCTGTCCGCAATGTATTGATTTTGACATTTTCACATTTGAAGCATGTAGAATACATAACTTAGCAATGCACTGGCTTAGTAACCTCAGATTTGGCAGGGAGGTTGTCCTTGAGCTCTAAATGGCCACTGTTGATTCTGACAAAGTGGTATGCGGGGGTATTCACGCCATGATAGTGGCAGTTCTAGTTTTAACTGCGTAATAATATAACTAAGATATATTGGACGAATTTTAAAGAGTAAAATTGAGGAAAATTGTAAAAAAACAATTATTTTCTAATATTAACAGAATGCACCTAAGAGATCGCGTATCAAGGAATTTAAGGTGTGGTTTTGATGATATAGATTATTGTTACACTTAAACATTTAATCTGTTGTGTTCGTTTTATGGTCATAAGCAATATTTTCCTTGTTCCTTGATTATATCTCATGTTAAGGTATTTTGAAATAAACAAAATGAAACAAAATATAGTGTTTTAAACATCTTGATTAGAATAGAAATACCTGGCTATGTTTTGTTTTTCTAATGGTAAATACGTTTTATAGCAATATTTTCCTTGATTATAACTCATGTCATCCTCGGTAACCTAGGCGTTTTACCGTATACATGTATTAAATGTAGTAATTGTATATTCGGAATGTGTACCGTGGTTTCCGACGATGATTTCATGTGTATGTATATTGAAAAAGAAAAGAAAAAAACGGGAAAAAGTTAACCATCTTGATTACAAATAGAGGTATCTGGCTATATTTGGTTTTCCTAATGGTAAATAACTTTTTTGAATTATTTTATAAAAGCAATCTTCACTTCAGGCTTGATGCAAATAGGACACTTTGCCCAAGGGACTGTTATTGGCGTATACTCAAAGTAAGCCAAGGTACGCCCCTGCCATACATGTACAAGTGGCCAGAGTGGATAAACTAAAATCACTGTACCATATCCTGAGAGCCTATACACGTTTAGTACTGTTTCATCTTGTGCGATTTCAAGCTCATGCTTCCGTTCTTCCGTTCACTGTACCTTTCTTCGGAGCTTGTATATATAAACATTAACCTTTTTTGAGATAACAGGAAGTAGACTTGTTTATACACTGTGTTGGGGATTTGTGTGTTGGCTGATTCCCATATAAATCATGTCTAAATTTATTTTAGTATGACCTGTCTCCAAACATTAAATTTGTTTTCGTCTTTTTTGTCAATGTATAGAAAATACCTAAAATTTCTTTATGTTGTTACAATTTCTAAAGTAAGCTATCTTAACATAGAATTTATTCTAATATTTACTACAAGGTCAAGTTCTTTGATTCTTATCAGTCAGTAATTAAACTGTGACTGTTTTCTAACTTGTAAAGATCCGGCAATTATCAAAGGACTGTTTGTATCAACCCTGCAGTCACTATTGTTCCTCCGGCAGTGATGTAACTTTTCTCTGCCGTCACTATTGTCCTTCCAGCAGTGATGTAACTTTTTCCTATCACTATAAAAGGGCTGGGAATCCATTTTAGGGGTCTTCTTATTTTTGGGAATCGGATATGGGAAGCTTTCAGAAAGATAACACTTAGAGAAAGGTGAATTTAATGGCATGAAAGTTTGGACTGTTTCCTCCAACAAGTAAATAATGTATATATTTGTGTATATTGAATTTATCCTGTATATAATCTGAAATAAAAAGTAGCTTAGAAGAAAAATGATTTATTTATTGTGTTATGCTACAGATAGTGTAAATAGTAACTGCTCAAATGTTGAGCTGGTGGTGGCAGCAAATTCTATATGACCAGTTTTATAAAGGTCTAATAAGAGGCCCAACTTAAAACAGTTACAATGTCATAGTGTGAGACAAATGTGCAGTCTGACTGGGACTCAAACTTTGGACCTTTAGAATAAGTTCTACTGACTGAGATATCCAGCTGCTTTTGCCAAATTATGTTGTAAAAAAAGATTGTTAAAAAACATGATGACAGATGTTGATTTCTCACAAAAAGTAGTCATTAGGAGGCAAGGATGGATTTGGGTTTTTTTGCCAATACGATCAGGGTCTTTCAAATAGCAACTTTTTGAATGACCCTGATATAATATTACATTGGGAAGATAGATTTAAAGTGATCATGTTTAGAACACTCTTAATTTATACATTAAAATGTACATATATACAACTTAATGCTAACTTTTTTCAAATAATAAGTACTTTTAATTTTACTACTCAAATCTTACCTTCGTGGACACAAGAATCAGTATTTTCTATCACTTTTCTACCAAAAGACTTCTCAAAATTATATTTTAATATTGAAAGTTGTCATTTGTATTTTACAGTTGCGACTCATCAGCTCACAAATCATAAAGTAGCTGTGAAGATTTTAAACAGGCAAAAGATTAAGGCTCTTGATGTTGTCGGCAAGATTCGCAAAGAGATTCAAAATCTCAAACTGTTTAGACATCCACACATTATCAAATTGTAAGTAAATATCCAGCTCTGCTATCATTTTAATTTCAAGTTTATTTTTATGTCACTTGTGTATTTACAAACAGACATTGTTATGAAGAAAATGCTACTGCAATTGAATATTATTTGGTTTTTAAAAAACAAAAACACCAAAAATCCCACACAAGCAGTTCACAAACTTGTGTCCTTTTATAAGCTGAATGTCATATTAATGACCCTTATGCTGTCATAATGTCAGAATTATTTACCAGAATGAAAGCATCATTCAAAATGTAAGGTATTCAAAATGGTCATTAAAACTTAAAAAGGACTCATAGTTTTATAACTGAAATATTATGATATAAATATATATTTATACAATTGCAGGTACCAAGTTATCAGTACTCCTACAGATATTTTCATGGTGATGGAATATGTATCGGGAGGAGAGCTGTTTGACTACATTGTCAAAAATGGCAAGGTAAGGCTTTACTTTATAAAAAATATGGTTGCATACACAATCCTAGTTTTGACATATTTACGTCTAGCAGCAATAAACATGTGTAAATGGATACTAAAATAAGCGTAATCAAGTACGCTGGTCATGCGTGATTTTGTCAATAATAACTCCCTTTTTTATACGCCCGTTTGAAAAACTGGACGTATTATGGGAACGCCCCTGGCGGGCGGGCGGGCGGCGTCCAATTTTGTCCGGAGCATATCTCCTACATGTATGGAGGGATTTTAATGAAACTTCATAGAAATGTTCACCACTATGAGGAGCAGTGTCGCACACATGAACCAGGTCTCTAGGTCAAAGGTCAAGGTCACACTTAGAGCTCATTGAAAAATGGTTGTCCGGAGCAAAACTTCCACATGTATAGAGGGATTTCAATATTACTTGGCACAAATGTTCACCATTGTGAGACGGAGTGTCGCGCGCAAGATTCAGGTCCTTGCGGGCAAGGTCAAGGTCACATATAGAGGTCAAAGTTTAGATAAAAATATGAAGATGTGTATATGGACCATTTAGTCATCATTTATTGAGGGATTGTAACACAAATGGTCATTATCAAGACTATGGCTGTGATACATATAATTTAGGTCAATATATACAAGGTCAAGGTCACTAAAGATGATGAAATATCCAGATTTTGTCCGGAGCATATCTCCTACACGCATGGAGGGATTTTAATGAAATTTCATAGAAATGTTCACCATTATGAGAAGCCATGTCACGCACATGAACTAGGTCTCTAGGTCAAAGGTCAAGGTCACACTTAGAGCTCATTGAAAAACGCTTGTCCGGAGCAAAACTTCCACATGCATAGAGGGATTTCAATATAACTTGGCACAAATGTTCACCATTGTGAGGCGGAGTGTCGCGCACAAAATTCAAGTCCCTGCAGCCAAGGTCAAGGTCACACATAGAGGTCAAAGTTTAGATAAAAATATGAAGATGTGTATAGGGACGATTTAATCATCATTTATTGAGGGATTGTAACACACATGGTCATTATCATGATTACTGCTGTGACACATGTACTTTAGGTCAATATATGCAAGGTCAAGGTCACTAAAGATGGTGAAATATCCAGATTTTGTCTGGAGCATATCTCCTACATGTATGGAAGAATTTTTATAATACTTTATGGAAATGTTCACCACCATGATATGTATTGCTCCATGCATGATCCAGGTCAAAGGTCAAGGTCACACTTAGAGCTCATTGAAAAACGCTTGTCCGGAGCAAAACTTCTACATTCATAGGGGGATTTCAATATAACTTGGCACAAATGTTCACCATTGTGAGGCTGAGTGTCGCACGCAAAATTCAGATCCCTGTGACCAAAGTCAAGGTTACACATAGAGGTCAAAGTTCAGATAAAAATTTGAAGATGTGTATAGGGACCATTTAGTCATCATTTATTGATGGATTGTAGCACAAATGGTAACTATCATGACTACAGGTGTGACACATTTAATTTAGGTTAATATTTGCAAGGTCAAGGTCACTGGAGATGATTAAATATCCAGATGTTGTCCGGAGCATATTTTCTACATGCATGGAGGAATTTTAATGTTACTTTATAGAATTGTTCACCACCATGAGACGTAGTGCCCTGCACATGAACCAAGTCTCTAGGTCAAAGGTGAAGGTCACAGTTAAAGCTCATAGAAAAACGCTTGTCTGGAGCAAAACTTCTACATGCATAGAGGGATTTCAATATTATTTGGCACAAATGTTCATCATTGTGAGGCTGAGTGCCATGCATAAAATTCAGGTCCCTGCGACCAAGGTCAAGGTCACACATCCTGTGCATATCTTCCCTACTGATTTGTTTTAAGGTTCATTTAACAACACAGTGCCAAGAATAAAAACTTACTTGCTAGATAACACTTATCCATAATGCCCCCATCTCCATCTAAAGCTTTCGTAAACGGGCGTATTTTGTGACTATGGCACCCTTGTTTCTTCTTAAAATTGTATTGTTGTAATACCTGTACGTATTGGTACCATTCATCAAAGTCTAGCTCTTTGGTGCTAACACTCGTTCTTCTTTTCTTAATAAAGTTATCTTTCATTCATACCCAAGTTATAACTACCATGCAGAGACCTCTACCAATGTCAGATAGGTGTATGAGGTCTTTGGATAAAGATCAACAAGGCTTCAAAATATTTTTTATTAGTAATCATACTTAAATAAGTTGTTAATTTGGTTATTTAGCCGATTTTAATAGATTTTGTGTCATATCTCCCTTTATGGGCATTCCAGGATAACTAAAATGTATTTATTAATTCCTCTGCTGACTGTTAAATGACCATTAGATAATAGATTCAATGTTCAAAAGAAATTTTGCCTTATCTCAAGTTCGAACACTCAACCCTTGGAGTATAAATCCTATGCTTTCCCTTTCAAGCTAAGTTGGCGAACTTATACTTACAAAAGATTGTTGCATGTTTTATTTTTACAGTTACAAGAGCATGAAGCTAGAAGATTCTTCCAACAAATAGTATCTGGAGTGGACTACTGTCACAGACATATGGTCGTCCATAGAGACTTGAAACCTGAAAATCTACTTCTAGATCATAACAGAAATGTCAAACTTGCTGATTTTGGTATGTTTTACAAGAGTGTTTTATTTTCTAATCACAAAATGTATTAGTTTATTTTTTGTTGTGAAAAAGTTCTCATTTAAGGTAGACTATACAAGTATACTGAAAGTTGTCTACAATATAGGTAGAATCTCCCTTTTTGAATTTAGAATTTTGTGTAGAAATGATTACTTTTGTGCCTGTGTTGCCTTGTCAATCCTGTACATTGTATCAAAATTGAATAGCATACATGTATTGTCTGTCCTCTATAACAGATATTTTACAACGTTAAGTTATTGGGTTTGACTGTTGATATTTAGGTATTGTAATGGGCAAGTCTGTAAACATTATGTGATATTTCCATTCACATTTTATTCAGATAATGATCATCGACATAAATTTTATTAATAATAATTAAACATAAACATATTACATGTATGTACTATGATAAATCAATCATTTTATAATTTTGTATACAGGTTTATCTAATATGATGCATGACGGAGAGTTTTTACGGACTAGTTGTGGGTCACCAAACTATGCTGCCCCAGAAGTTATCTCGGGAAAGTAAGTCAAGAATCTATCACTATACAAATGCACAAGTTTATATATCAATATGTACATAATCTCATGAATCTCATAATCTTGCCAAGAAAAAATAGATAACACTTTGTTCACCCTGAAAAAAATGGAGATAAAAGTTGATTGAATGATTATGTAAGATTTTGTTTTGATTAATTGATTGATTGATTCAACTCAAACAATTGAATTTTACCCTACTCATGTATTTGTTGTATTTGTATTACCATTCCTTGATATAAAAATTAATCCTCATTATCTCATTTTTAGCTCGACTATTCGATAAGAATAAGTAGAGCTATTGCAGTCACCCGAGCGTCGGCGTCGGCGTCGGCGTAACCACTTATGTTAAAGTTTTTGTAATAGTTCAAATATTTTCAAAGTCCATTGACATATGGCTTTGAAACTTTGCACACTTGTTCACCATCATGACCCCAACCTGTAGACAGGAGGAGGTAACTCTATCAAGCATTTTGACAGAATTATGCCCCTTTTTCGACTTAGAATTTACGTTAAAGTTTTTGTAATAGTTCAAATATTTTCAAAGTCCATTGACATATGGCTTTGAAACTTTGCACACTTGTTCACCATCATGACCCCAACCTGTAGACAGGAGGAGGTAACTTTATCAAGCATTTTGACAGAATTATGCCCCTTTTTCGACTTAGAATTTACGTTAAAGTTTTTGTAATAGTTCAAATATTTTCAAAGTCCATTGACATATGGCTTTGAAACAGTGCACACTTGTTCACCATCATGACCCCAACCTGTAGACAGGAGGAGGTAACTCTATCAAGTATTTTGACAGAATTATGCCCCTTTTTCGACTTAGAATTTACGTTAAAGTTTTTGTAATAGTTCAAATATTTTCAAAGTCCATTGACATATGGCTTTGAAACTTTGCACACTTGTTTACCATCATGACCCCAACCTGTTGACAGGAGGAGGTAACTCTATCAAGCATTTTGACAGAATTATGCCCCTTTTTCGACTTAGAATTTACGTTAAAGTTTTTGTAATAGTTCAAATATCTTCAAAGTCCATAGACATATGGCTTTGAAACTTTGCACACTTGTTCAACATCATGACCCCAACCTGTAGACAGCAGGAGGTAACTCTATTAAGCATTTTGACAGAATTATGCCCCTTTTTCGACTTAGAATTTACGTTAAAGTTTTTGTAATAGTTCAAATATTTTCAAAGTCCATTGACATATGGCTTTGAAACTTTGCACGCTTGTTCAACATCATGACCCCAACCTGTAAACAGGAGGAGGTAACTCTATCAAGCATTTTGACAGAATTATGCCCCTTTTTCGACTTAGAATTTACGTTAAAGTTTTTGTAATAGTTCAAATATTTTCAAAGTCCATTGACATATGGCTTTGAAACTTTGCACACTTGTTCACCATCATGACCCCAACCTGTAAACAGGAGGAGGTAACTGTATCAGGCATTTTTTTTACTATCAAGCACTAAGAATAGTCGAGCATGCTGTCCTACCGACAGCTCTTGTTAGATTATGTAAAGGACTACAAATGATTATTCTTAAGTCAGGTTGAATTTAATTGAAATTTGAAAATATGAATTTTCATTCTGATCACTCCTGAAGTAAATAAAAAGAAAATTAATTAAAATTTTTTAAAGAAAATATTTGAAGCTGAAGCAATCAGTTTAAAAATGGCTTAGCTTCTGATTGCTAGCATGTTTTTCCATTTGTATTAATTATGTATTTTAATCTCTTTTATTGCATTCTCGTCTTAAAACTTAAGTTTTCTGTATTTAAACTTACAACATCTTCAACTAGAATAGATACATTCATAATAAAAGCAAACTGTGTTCGAATTTCATAATAATGTAAAAAATTGACTGGATAAAAATCATTGCACTGACGTAAGAGAAGAAATCATGAAGTAATTGTTGGTATTTTGTAAGGTTGTACGCTGGTCCGGAGGTGGATGTGTGGAGCTGTGGTGTCATACTTTATGCTTTACTTTGTGGAACGGTGAGATTTTTTTTATATAAAATATCATAAATAAAACGACTGTTACAAATATACTAGATCTATCAGCAATTATTTAAAACCTCAGAGTGCCGTTCATGTTGTATGTTGTAATTGATAATGTGATAATTGTTTTATTTATCAATTTGCATGGTAATGTACTATGTACAAGTCTAAAATTAAACATGTGTATATCCTAGTCCAAAACCGTGCATTTTTGTACAACAATGCACTCAAAATTAATAACTATGTCCTAGATATTGAACTACCAATAATATAGAGCCTAGTCAAACCACTCGGGTTTGTTTGGCTCTTTAATGTTAGCAAAAGCTTAGCAAGTTTAGAATGAATTACTGTAAATTTCTATATGCTGGCTCACAAATGTTTTCACCTAATGTTAAAAGCTGTCATTTAATATAGAATCTACATGAAAACATAACTCTTTAATTTCTGAGGAAAATATTTTATTTTATAACAGCTTCCCTTTGATGATGAGCATGTCCCCACATTATTTAGGAAAATCAAATGTAAGTATGATTTTATTACTAATATATGTATATCATTAGATGTAAAGATTTTTTACAGGTTATATGACCCTATACAAACTGTTGTTTAGTTAGAGTGGCTCAGGTTATATTTCAAACTATCAATTATAAAAGGTCATATAAATTGTCAGGAATATTTATAACAAATTTATAATACAGCATGCTTTCTTTTTTTGAGAAAAAAAAGGGTAAGATTTCTTCATAAATTGACAGCAGCCATGTGTATAAAACTATAAAAACATCGAGATTATCCAATGAAAAGCGATATAGCAAACATGTAGTATAATAAAAATGTAAACATGTGTATATAGAAAAGTAAGATGAGAATCATACTGAAAGTTCCACTACAATTATGACTTATAAATTATCACATTTCTTTTTTATATATATAATCTTTATTTGAGTCTCATCCATACATAACCACTTAAAACATTTCAATTTCATTATTTTACAAAATTAAAGTTGTTTTTGTAAGAATTAAAAGTGACTGTAAAAGTATCATAATGGAAGGGAGGCAACTCTGCAAGAATTTCCAACTCTTCTCATTCCATATTCACTAAAATAAGAAACTTGGTAACATTAGTCTTGGAAGTTGGAATAGTATTAATGGGTATGCATTCAAAATTAAGATAGGACCATGGATGAGATTTGGGTTAAAGAAGTTATTTTATGGTTTACTTTGATGAAACATTTTGATGTTTTTTGTGTTTCAGCTGGAATTTTCAACATCCCAGAATATTTACACAAAGAGGTAGTTTCCCTATTGTGTCATATGTTACAAGTAGATCCACTGAAGAGAGCTTCTATGAAAGATGTCAGGTAAAAATAACAGTCTTGCTTAAGTTTTTTTGTAAGACCCCACTGACCATTAAAGGAACTCAATTTAGTGGGAAAATGAGTAGGGGTGCAATGCTTTTCACTCAGAGTGAATTTCATTATTTTTCTTTGCAGATTTTTCAATTTAAGTGCTTCACTTGATCTATGTAATTTTTTTTAAATTTTATGCTTTTTGGCATTTTGACCTCAGTGGAGTTCCTTTAAGGTATTACTTTGAAAGTTGGAGAACTTTAATGCATCCAAGATTTACAAATAATATTGATTGATCTTAAAATGAGACCCTTATTGAGTGAGGGTTGTGTTCCCTATATGTGTATGGAGAAAACTTTACAAACAAAACTTTACAAATCTTTGTATAAATTCAGGTAAGCGATTCAGGGCCATCACAACATCTTGCCAAGCATTTAGATTAGAAATTGAAATGAAAAGGTATATCTGTGTCTGACCATTAAGGATTACGGACCCTAATAAATTGGTAAATATCGGGTAAAACCGTAAAACTTCGTAAAAGGCCCGAAGCTGGCATTTTGTCGCCACTTAGCTTAAACTCTATTTTTAGCAACTGTGACGTCAGTTTTCAAAGAAAGCAATATGGCCGCTCACTTGCTTGTCTTATTTGATGATTTTGTTACATTTAAGATTTTTTTTTTTCTCAGAGAACATGAATGGTTTAAGAAGGACCTACCATCATATTTGTTCCCCAAACCCCAGGATCATGATGCATCCATTGTTGATATTGATGTCGTCAGAGAAGTTTGTGATGTAAGTTACCATTTAAATATGGTTTATTGTGGCCCCATGTTTATATAGTCACTGTATATGTATTAGTCTGTCTGATCATCCAGGTGACTTTTGTGTGAACCACTACCGACATTATTTGAAAGAACAATTGTTTAATTTCGATGTAATGTTGAATTGGTCATAGCTCAAATTTAAATTTCGTTTTACTCTATAAGATATACCTGGATTTTGAATTTGTATCTGTAGAAATGATGCGCATGAATTTTTTTTCATTTATATTCCAGCCTTTCAAAATAAGATATATGCTTATTGTTCTAAAGGTCTTTAATGTACATAAGTTATGAAGAAACTACCACATGAAATTAGGTATTTCAATACCTCTGTATATATGTAAAGTTTGTTATATGAGCCGCGTCACGACAAAACCAACATAGTGCGTTTGCGACCAGCATAGATCCAGACCAGCCTGCGCATCCGCGCAGTCTGATCAGGATCCATGCTGTTCGCTATCAGTTTCTCTACTTGTAATAGGGTTGGTAAGCGAACAGCATGGATCCTGATCAGACTGCGCGGATGCGCAGGCTGGTCTGGATCCATGCTTGTGGCAAACCCATTATGTTGGTTTTGTCGTGACGCAGCTCATATTTTATTTGTAAAGTTAATTTATTGAGTTATATTTACAGAAATTTGGGGTATCAGAGTACGAGGTGGAGGCTGCTATATTAAATGGTGACCCGATGGATCAGCTAGTGATAGCTTACAGTCTTATAATGGACAACAAAAGGAATTTAGAAAACAGTCAGTATAATAGGCCTTTATTTTTCATCATTGTTGTTGTTGTTTTTTTTCTTCAGTAAAGTAAGTTTGTTCGAAAGGCATTAAGTATTGTTATTGAAGCATGAAGATGCATTTTCATATATATGTGTATAATAGAATTATTATGAGGGAAGGGGAATCAGACGTTTATCATGAGGGGTGGGGAATAAGTATTTTATTATGAGGAGAGGGAAAACAGAATTTTATCATGAGGGGAGGGGAGTCAGAATTTTATGAGGGTAGGGGAGTCAGTATTTCATTATGAGGAGAGGGGAAACAGAATTTTATCATGAGGGGAGGGGAGTCAGAATTGTATCATGAGGGGAAGGGAATTAGAATTGCATCATGAAGGGAGGAGAAAATCAAAATTTTATTATGAGGGGGGGGGGGGGGGGAGGATCAAATATTAACATAAAGGGAGGAAATTCAGAAGTCTATCAAGAGAGGGGAAAGTATTTTTCATGTGGAGAGGGTAATCAGTATTTCATCATAAGGGAAGGAGAATCAAAATTTTATCTTGAGGCGAAGGGAATCAGGAGAGGGGAATCAGAATTTTATCATAATTGAAGGGAGTCAGAGAAACAGGAAAATATGTTAGGTGCAAAAAGTTTATCCATTCGGGCAATAGTTTGCTGTATTATAATATTTCAAATAACAAGAGTTTTAGAAATGATATTTTGATATGAATGATAAATGTGTCTTTCTTGGGTAGAATTAGACACATCATTTATCAATTAGCTCATATCTAGCTAGCTAATGGAAGGTCACTAGTTCTACCCTGGGGACTATTCAGGCTAGCAAAAGGTATGGCCGGTTTTCCTCAATATTGATCTTAAACATTAACAATATTTAAGATCTCTTGTTATAAATGTACATCAATTTAAATGTATTACTGTCTCAAAAGTTATGTTTACAATATGGGCTGTTTTCCCTGACTGTAGTTAAACAGTCAATGGTTTAAGGTAATAAAGTGCTTTCTTTCTGCAAAATATAAATTAAACCTTAATCTGCCGAATGTGTCATTGTGTGTAATGGACTTGTCCAGCTTCCATTTTTGGAACTGTCCATTATTAATTTTAGGAATATCAAGATTAGTCTGACAACAGTATAGTGCCTGGTCAGATTGAATGAAAATTGTAAACTGGCCTGGCTCTAAACTGGTGTCAAAGGCTTATATCTTTCTGTTATAGCAGGTTAGGGGTTAAAGGGCAAATGTCATACCTTTCGGCTCTTGTTTTATATCTACTATGTCAAGAAACTATATTTATCATACTAAATTTTTAAGCTGCCGCAGTACATGGTAAGAAACGGAGATAAGAAAATGATAGTTTGTGCATTTCTAAGCATTTTTAAGTTCACCAGAACTAAAGGTTCAGGGTGAACTATTAGTATGGACAAAGGGATACTCCAGCATATGGATCAGTGCCCAATACAAGTAATACATTAAGTATATTTTGCTACACCTTTAAATTGAATAAATTTGCTCTGCGCCTATTTATGAATGGTCATTGCCCGTAAAAAAGTAAAACTTTGAAACAACTTCAGAATGTGTATTCTGGTGAGCAATTCAGGGTCATCATTTGCCCTCTTATATTTTTCTTGTAATGGATATACTAATAAACCAAATATAACATCAGAATGGCTGTTCTTTAACAAGCTACATGTGTATCAAGCTTTTCTTTTCATAAAGCTGTGCTGCATATTTGAATTTTCCAGAACGTTTTACATATTGCTCTTCTAATTATTATGTCGGTATGTAATTTGTTTCTACATAATTATATTAAACAACTGTAACTTTAACCTCTTAAAAGTCTTCACCATATTTTTTCTAAATAAAGTTCAAGTTGATGAAATGTGGAGCCATATTTGGTTAAAATCTACTTAATATCAAAACACAGGTCACGTATGATTTGAATTACAATTTAGTTTGTAAAATTTTGTTAAATGAAGGGTTCTCCTTTTTTTGAGTCATACTTACTAACAAAAGTAAAGTGAAGTGTTGATAACAGTCAGAGTCTGCTTTATTTTAAAGCATGTAAGTGACCGAGAGTTATATGCCCTTGTGAGATAATAGTTTCTGCACATGGGGGTCAAGTCTGTATAGATATTTGTTAGAATATAAAATATATAGACATGACATACATGTATACAACGGACAGAATTTATTGAGATTTTTTACCAGTGAAATGCCCAGTCATATTTACTGCAAAAGACCGCCTACTCAGTGATGTTTACAATATATAATTTATTTGAATCTGATGTCTCATGTTTTCATATAAAATATACCACGTCAGTCACATTTATATGATATCAATACATATATACCTTATATAAAAAGCATGACAGGGAAATTAAACAATGAAAAGTCAAGCTAAAAAAAAGAGCCACATACAGCTGGGATTCAAACCATGTGTCTCTTGGTTGCCTGTCCAGTATGCTTACCTCTACACCACGTCTTTCTCTCACCCACTTTAAATCATGGTTCATGTAGTCTGAACATGATAAAACAATAAAAATTAAAATGATTACATATTTAATTAAAAAGTAATAAATGCAATGCAAACGAAAATAAAGCAATTAATACATTACAACCTTACACACAGCTTTTGTAAAGAATTGTGCCAAAATTTAAGATAAGTTGGTGAAGTGCTTATCTGTGTTTACAAGTTTTTTTGCTTTCTTTATAAGGTGGTGGTTGTTCATTTTATTTCTAGATCTTTTATTATATATATTGATTTATTTGTGGTCACAATACATGTACATGTTTATGAAGCATTCAATAATAAGACTAGTGTGTAATAAATGTTGTTTAAATACACCATTTTGACTTTAGAAGAAGGATCAGGTAAAGATATTATTATATTGCTAGGTTTTAAGGCCATGTCAGCAACAAGGATTGTAATAAGCGTAATGTTTGTGTTGGTTTAGTGCCAGTTTATCACTGTATAAAATACTGTCAGTGTTCCTTCATTCTAAACCACTACATGAAAGCATGTCATAATTCTATACAAGTACAAGCATATTATAATTCTATACAAGTACAAGCATACTATAATTCTATACAAGTACAAGCATACTATAATTTTATTCAAGTACAAGCATACTATAATTCTATACAAGTACAAGCATACCATATTCTATACAAGTACAAACATACCATAATTCTATACAAGTATAAGCCTGCCATAATTCTATACAAGTACAAGCATACTATAATTCTATACAAGTACAAGCATACCATAATTCTATACAAGTACAAGCATACTATAATTCTATACAAGTACAAGCATACCATAATTCTATACAAGTACAAGCATACTATAATTCTATACAAGTACAAGCATACCATAATTCTATACAAGTACAAGCATACCATAATTCTATACAAGTACAAGCATACTATAATTCTATACAAGTACAAACATACCATAATTCTATACAAGTACAAGCATACCATAATTCTATACAAGTACAAACATACCATAATTCTATACAAGTACAAGCATACTATAATTCTATACAAGTACAAGCATACCATAATTCTATACAAGTACAAGCATACTATAATTCTATACAAGTACAAACATACCATAATTCTATACAAGTACAAACATACCATAATTCTATACAAGTACAAGCATACTATAATTCTATACAAGTACAAGCATACCATATTCTATACAAGTACAAACATACCATAATTCTATACACGTATAAGCCTGCCATAATTCTATACAAGAACAAACATACAATAATTCTATACAAGTACAAACATACCATAATTCTATACAAGTATAAGCCTGCCATAATTCTATACAAGAACAAACATACAATAATTCTATACAAGTACAAACATACCATATTCTATACAAGTACAAGCATACTATAATTCTATACAAGTACAAGCATACCATATTCTATACAAGTACAAACATACCATAATTCTATACACGTATAAGCCTGCCATAATTCTATACAAGAACAAACATGCAATAATTCTATACTAGTACAAGCATACCATATTCTATACAAATATAAGCATTCAATAATTCTATACAAGTACAAGAATATTATAATTCTATACAAGTATAAGCCTGCCATAATTCTATACAAGTACAAACATACCATAATTCTATAAAAGTTCAAGCATACCATAATTCTATAAAAGTTCAAGCATACCCTAATTCTATAAAAGTTCAAGCATACCCTAATTCTATAAAAGTTCAAGCATACCCTAATTCTATAAAAGTTTAAGCATACCCTAATTCTATACAAGTACAAACATACCATAATTCTATAAAAGTTCAAGCATACCCTAATTCTATAAAAGTTCAAGCATACCATAGTTCTATACAAGTACAAACATACCCTAATTCTATAAAAGTTCAAGCATACCATAATTCTATAAAAGTTCAAGCATACCCTAATTCTATAAAAGTTCAAGCATACCCTAATTCTATAAAAGTTCAAGCATACCATAGTTCTATACAAGTTCAAGCATACCATAATTCTATACAAGTACAAGCATACTAAAATTCAGTACAAGTACACAAATACTATAAATTCTATACAAATACAAGCATATTGTAATTATAAAAGTACAAGCATATCATAATTCTATACAAGTACAAGCTTGTAGTAATTCTATAAAAGTGTAAGCATGCTAAAATTCTATACAAGTACAAGCATTCCATGATTCTATATTGTACATGTATATTTAAACTTTATCATTATTCTATACAACTACAGGCAAACCAAAATTCTAAAACCACATTTCTAGAAAGTATAATTATGATAAGTATGTCAAATGCGCTTGCACAGTTAAAATTCATACTGGTGTTTTTACTCACTTTTATTGGTTTTCTTTAATGTGTGAATATTTTTGACTTAATAACTGAAACTGATATTTAACATTTTTCTTGTGAAAGTTTTTATATTAAAGATTTAGTGTTGCGTGATTTAATTACATATATCTTAGTTAGAAGTTCATCATTTAAGACAACAGCATGAAATAAATTGCTACTTTTACTTTGTATTTAGAATTGAATAGAAATAGCTTCTGAAAGAGTTTTTTGAATGTACAGTTTTCCTTAAGTATATTTTTTAAACTTTTTTAAGACCAGTGTGGTAAACTGACTGGTTTTAAATCGCAAAAAAAAAATCTCTAATTTTGCAAAATGAATATCAATATAAGAAGCATCATTGGCTGTTGAAGCAACTTTTTTCCCCCTCAATTAACTTGTTATCACAACTAAAGAATTCTCATTCAAGTGCAACTGGACCTATTTATTACATGCTTTTCGGTGGTTTATAGAAATATATCAGTAAAATAAAAACTGATAATTTCACTGTTTTTAAACAGTGAAATTATCAATTTGATAATTTCACTGTTTTGAATATTTGAGCCTGTTGTGTTGTTTCAGTGAAATACAAGCTCACAGTACAGGAAACCAACTTATTATTATTACGTAATATTATTTGGCGCCCTTCTCATTTAGTACTAGGTTAAAATGTCTTATTAAATATTTCTTTGCATATAATAAAAAGAAAATTTGTTTTATTTAATGTAAGATCGAAATATATTTCACCTTGTGAACACCAAAAGTTCATATTTCACTCGTGGCTGTGCCACTCGTAAAATATACCTTTTGGTGCTCACTCGGTGAAATATAGTCTGATCTTTCACTGAACTAAACAAATATCCTCTATATATATACTGTTTATATATACATGTACTAGTCTATAATGTTTGAGATTGAGAAGACTTCATCAGCATAGTGCAGTAATGGGGGAACACTTACTACATTATTTTAGGAGTTGACCCATTACTGCACTCGGGTGATGAGGCTCAAAAGTTCATGACCCTTCCTATAACTACTTGTGTTGAGAGAGTTAACCTTTTACCTGCTGAATTTGTGTAATGGATTTGCCCTGCTCTGTAGTTGGAACAGTCCATTCAAAGTTTAAGGTGCGGCATGGCGAGTGGTTAAGCGTCGGACTATAATCTCTGATCGCTAGCGAGGTTAACCCCAGGGCATCGTGTCTCCTTGGCAAGAAATTTAACTCATGCTCAGTACTGGTGTCCAGGTACGGTCGAAGTGTGTCAGCTTATGCTTCTACCATCGAACTAAAATAAATTCTGTTAACCAAAGTTAGGAATCACTTATAAAATGAGCAAAAGTTATAGTGCTTGTCAACTAGACGATGTGCAGCTAACTAGGCTTTATACTGGTAACACGGAGGCTGATCATTTTCGGTTCCTTCAGGTCAAGGGTTAAAGTTGATTTGTCAATTTAGTTAGCCAAAAATATAATTTTGAAATTTCAAGTTTGCCAGTTTATCTTAACTATAAGTATTTGATTGTTATGTTAGATTGATGAGTAGTCGGTTTCTTGATAAAAAATAGAATTTTTGATAATGTGGAAACATATATTTTTTTGTGATTTTTTTGTTTTTCATTTTTCCAAAACATGTTGCGATTTTGCAAAGACATTCTAAGCATGGATAAAGTTAAACTTATAGCATGAAGTAAATATTTTTCATAAAAATTCAAGAAGTGCATGAACAGTAAATCCCTTGCTATTTTATAATACAATTTTAATTGCATTTTTTTTTTCAGTTTATGCGCTATTTATTTTTGAATTTCATGCTATTTTGAATAGAATTTTCTGTATTTAATGAAACAGGAACTGTTTCTGATATTGTTTAGTTATGTTTTTGTTTATTGTTGTTTTATTCTATAAATACTGTTGTTTAAGATAAGAGTATACATGTATTGCAGCATCCTCTTCTGTCAACATTCAAGACTTCTACCTGGCTTCAAGTCCACCAAGTGAGTCCTTTATGCTGGTAAGTATTTGGATTATATTTTTAATCGAGGGAAAATAATATCAAATTTCTGTACATCTGTAAAATTGTCGTTGAACTTTTGTCTGTGTCTGCTATCTCAGATTTTAAAACAACTTATATATACAGTGGAACCTGTCTATTCCGAACTTGTCCGGACCGGAAGAAAAATTCAGATTAGAAAGGTTTCCATGTACTTCATTATATATACTTTATATACTTAAATGTACTTATCTTAAAAACTGAGATTTTTATTGCTTCTTCTGAATGAATCAACTCATTTGAGTAAAAACTTGCAGTCTATAATTACATATTTATCTTTGAATTGTCTATCAAACTGATGAACATTAATTTGAGCCACGTCAAGACAAAACCAACATAGTGGGTTTGCAACCAGCATGGATCCAGACCAGCCTGCGCATCTGCGCAGTCTGATCAGGATCCACGCTTTTTAGCTATCAGTTTCTCTACTTGTAATAGAGTTGGTAAGCGAACAGCATGGATCCTGATCAGACTGCCCGGATGTGCAGGCTGGTCTGGATCCATGCTGGTCGCAAACACATTACGTTGGTTTTGTCATGAAGCGGCTCATTTATATATTTTAAGCCTGTTTCAGTGCATTGGGGAGCTATCCATCTCACCTTGTAGCACTTGGTTATGTTTTTTTTTGTAAATCTTTATTTCTCATTTACTACTTATTTACAGTACAGTTCCAGCAGCTTTAAAACAACTCCACTGAATTCTAAAAACCTACAAACATAACATTTTTAATTCTTACATAAATGCTTCAATTTTGGGTCATTTATCTCATTAATAACAAATATTCTGGAAAAACGGATTGGGGGAACCATCTGAAATTTTGCACACAAGTTATTGATTCTTGTAGATTATTTCAAAAAGGTATTTCCAGTCCAATCATGTCAAAAAACTTGGTTTCCCTTATACATATTCTCTTGAAACATGTAATCAAAGTTTACTGAACAAGATCTGTATCTCTGAGCATTCAGTTATTGCCCTTTGGATATTTTGCTTTTTTACTGACTTTTTTGTGCTAGTTTGATTCCACATCATGTGAAGGCATTTATGTGAAACTTCACAATGGGGGTATAGGGGTTGGGTCTTTATATTTTGATACTTACCAAATAACTAATAGCTTTGAAATTTTACATTTGGTAAATCATTTCCTTATGTGAACTTAAAAAATTCCTGCATGACATTTGGTTATATCATTGGAAATGAACGAATAGTCGTGCATGCTGTCCTTGAGACAGCTCTTGTTACTTGAGTGTTTCAGAACAAAAATTTTCATTTGCATTTTTCTTTATATGTTTTAGTTAATATTTATAACTGCATTGTGTGCATAAATTACGGAAATGAACCCATTCTTCTATAATATCTATATGTCTGTGTTTGAATATAAAAATGCCTGAATGATAATCGTCTCTTTCTTTTGTCCTAATCTTAAATATACCTTAATATATGCGAAACTTTTTTATATACCAGTACATGTATATTATATTGCTGATATTTTTATGACAACATTTAGTCCATGTGAGCTAATTATAAATGCTAATGGTGATCTTATAGTCATCTTCTAAGCCTCTTATCTATTTTTTTTATTTAAGACATATGAGCCGCGTCACGACAAAACCAACATAGTGCGTTTGCGACCAGCATGGATCCAGACCAGCCTGCGCATCCGCGCAGTCTGATCAGGATCCATGCTGTTCGCTTACCAACTCTTTACAAGTAGAGAAAATAATAGCGAACAGCATGGATCCTGATCAGACTGCGAGGATGCGCAGGCTGGTCTGGATCCATGCTGGTCGCAAACGCACTATGTTGGTTTTGTCGTGACGCGCTCATATATACATGTTAGAGCTGTTATTGAAACAATATTGATTCATTGTTAATCAATATCCAGTTCCAGTGGTTTTTCTCTCACTTATTTGGGGAAGAGGTCTAAGCCTCTTCATTTATGGAAAAATTATTGCTAAAACTTAATTTGGGAAGCAAAAAAGCTGGTCTGAGTTCATGGTTTTTGGAAAACGACGTGATTTCAAAAATCCATTTTAAAGGCTTCTGTTATATAAGGTAAAAAATCACTGGATTCACATTTGAAAAAATTTATTAGAAATTATTTATATATTGGTGTACTGTCGATATATATGTTATCCAATATTGATATATATTATCAATATGCTTTTGACAGCTCTAATACATGTATATACAATATATATCCATTTTTCAATGAGAGATGATATTTCTCATACAAACTTTCTACACTTTTAGGGTTCTATGAAAAATATAGACAATCCTTACTCTTGACTTTGTGAATGTATAAACTCGGATCTTCATAACTGTGTTAGACTAGGACTTTGGTGCTAACTTGATGAGAATTATGTAATATATCTTAAGTGTGTTAAACATGTTTGTCCTTGCTTGTGATATTGTTTAATAATTGTTAACTTTGATATTATACATAAACATAGATTCTTAGAAAAATATTGTTGATACTAAGCTGTATTCTGCTGTTATTAGAAAGTTGTTTTTTATATCCACTTTGGCCATTTGGTTAATGTCACTGTCTTTTAATTACTCGCACCACACATGGGGAGCGGTAGCCTAGTAATTAAAGTGTTTGCCTCTCAATCCAGGGATCATGGGTTAAGAGCCCTACTTAGATCACATCCATGTTTCTCCATATATGTGACACCAGTACTGGTTGGTTCCAGGAAGCGAAAGTGGGAGTGATGAATGAAAAATTATTAGTTGCAAGAACTTTTTTTTTTTGCAATCAAGCTTAGATAAATATGTTTAAACTAAAATACACATTGGTTTGAATCCTGGCAGGGACTTTAAATTGTTTCATGTGAGGAAACCATCCAGCTAGCTTACAGAAAGATGCTGGTTCTTCTCAGGTGCCCGCCCACGCATGAAATAATGTACTCAAGGGCACCTCTGGTCTTTTTCCGTCAGTAAAGCCAGAAAGTAGCCATATGAAAAAAAGATTGTTCTCAATTTGTCTGAAATCAATCCACCCAACCAGCAATCCTTAGGTTACTAGTCTTAAGTGTTAACCACTTGGCCAGTATGATCACACTACCAGTATCCTTGAAGTAGTTAATGGGTGGTCGAGAATGTCATATGCAAGTAAGTTTGTATTTCTGGCTCAGAATATTTAGACATAACACCTGTTGGCATATATCAAAATCTTGTTGATACATATATTTTGCTGTGTCCATGAAATTATGACTTCAAAGTGGCCTGGAAGTATTAACAGTTGCATAATTAGGTCATAGGTGAAAAACAAAAAAACATAGTTTATTGAGTTAAAAAATTAGTTACAATATCAAATTTATAAAGTTTTTAAAATTGTAAGTAGTAATAAGTTACTTGCCAGCAGTATATGTGCTATGTATCAACAGTATATGGGTTATATTTTTTGTGAGGGAAATAATGCGTGTCTTCTTTATTAACAGTCTGGTCGTCACGCCCATATCCTTGGTTCGCCGCCAGGACCAGAGAGCCTTCCTTCTGTTAGTATTATGACATGCCATAGTTTTTCCTGCTACCTTATTGCGTATGTAAACAGAACAGACTATTTCCGATGCTGATCGAAAAAACAAATTTCCTTTTTGTAGTAAATAAGAGTTCATGTACCTATTTTGCTATGCTTAAACAATCCTATGCAGAAAAAGAAATGCATATTTTCTTCAAATGTTTTGTGACAATACGATCCCATAACAATACGAACTCATTTTCTCTGAATAAAAAATGAAAGCATTTTATATGGCCATAAAAAAATGTGCTGTTCTGTATGCATTTACCTGGTAATATTAACATCCTAGTACACTAGATAATATGCTTTGCTATGAAGCATGCTGTTTCTTCCTTGTTCCATAGATGTGTCCGTTTTTCCTACCACCAATTGTAAGTTAGTTACCTCCTCTACTGGTTTGTGGATTTACTTGTTGTTATCGTTACTTAGTTAAGTGATTGACCTGTTATGTTGAAGTGTGAAATTGTTGCTTGCGTTTTGTTGACTATTGGTAATTGCTATTGTTTTTATTTTTTGAAAAGAACATTTTATGAATGACTCTGTAGATTTTGTCCGAAAGAGAACCTTGTGATCATATTTTGTCTGTTGTGATCGTCGATTGTCTGTGGGGATCAACTTTATCGACTGTTGTCTGTTGTTAATGACTTTTGTCTGTTGTTTGTCATTGATATATATAATTTGTCTTTTGTCCCCTTCCTAAGATGGTTCCAATTATGTTGTATTTACCATTGTTACACTTTTAACATTCTTGCACAGCTTTTAGTTTATTTAATTTTGCTGTAACAACATTTTGTTAATTCACGTTTGGCATGTTTAAAATGCTCTCACTCGTTGATTAATTAATTTTTTATATAAGATTTCCAAAATAATTGTCATATGAACACATTTGCAGATGTTTCTTTATTCAAAATTTCACCATTTTATGTTTAAATGTTGAATTCTGCTAAAGCTGGTGCTTGGAAGCTTGAACGTTAGCTTGCACTTCAACTATTACGGAACATGAACAGGCTCAACCAAATCAAGCCAGCAACATTTTCAATTTTGCCATATTTTGGCCATTTATTGTGAATCCATTGTATTGTATTTTTGATATTGGCTTGAATATTAAGAGCAGCTCATACATACTGTTTTGTGGACTTTTTGTTGGTATACTTTTGTCTTTATACTGTCAACATGCACAAGTAGGGTCTTACATGTGTATTCCACCTGTCAGCATTTCTTGTTGTAACAAAGTTGAGTGAAATGCTTATACTGATTATTTTTACTATCCAACAGTATTTCATATATGGTTACTTGGTATTGAGTTCTTATTTTATATTATACATTTCTTGTAAGTCATGACTTACTTTTTTGCTTTTTTGCTAATGAAAGTTCTTCTGTTTGAAGAGAGACCTAAATCAAGTAACTCCTCGCGTAAGAGCTTAAAGTCTGTAGGTGTCTGTTTGTGACATTAATCAATGTTGCTTTATCCCTTGCCAAGATTAAGAATACCAAAAGATTTTGTTTGTGAATGATTTTGTTGTATATTTAGCACCTTTATTGTCATTATTTATAGCTATTTTACTTTTTTATCATTTTGTTGCAAAAAAGATGTTTTGTATTCTAAGGTGAAATAATATCAATCCAGTGCTTTAGGAGCTACAAGTATTTTATATGTATAATTAACTTAGAACCTGGTGACTGGTTGTTTTTCAGGGAGAGTCTTGAATATAAGAATTTATGATAATAATAATTTATGATAAAAACAGGTTGATTTCAGACAAGTATTTACTGGACAGAGATTAATGCGGGAATGGTGGAAATATACAATCAAGAGCTTAAATAAGTTTTTTTTTTGCAGCATTTGAATTTTATTTATAAAAATGCATGTCATTTAATCTTTGTTTTATATCAACAACTCTTTCTGGCAAACACCCCTGTATACAAAATTAATGTATCTATGAAAGTTGGTCTACAAACTTACAGGATAATAAATAAGAAGATATTCTGCAAGCTTATAAAATATCATTGGTTCTAAGCAGGTGTCCTAGTCAAGTGTCATTGACTCTTCTCAGGTGACATTCTACTCAGGTGTGAGGTGACATTGATTCTACTCAGGTGTCATTGGTTATACTCAGGTGTCATTGGTTCTACTCAGGTGACATTGATTTTACTCAGGTGGCATTAGTCCTACACAGGTGACAACTCAGGTGACATTTGTTCTACTCAGATGACATTGTTTCTTCTCAGATGACTTTGGTTCTTCTCAGATGACATTGGTTCTTCTCAGATGACTTTGGTTCTTCTCAGATGACTTTGGTTCTACGCAGATGACATTGTTTCTTCTCAGATGACATTGGTTCTTCTCAGATGACATTGGTTCTTCTCAGATGACTTTGGTTCTTCTCAGATGACTTTGGTTCTACGCAGATGACATTGTTTCTTCTCAGATGACATTGGTTCTTCTCAGATGACTTTGGTTCTTCTCAGATGAATTTGGTTCTACGCAGATGACATTGTTTCTTCTCAGATGACATTGGTTCTTCTCAGATGACATTGGTTCTTCTCAGATGACATTGGTTCTACGCAAATGGCATTGTTTCTTCTCAGATGACATTGGTTCTTCTCAGATGACTTTGGTTCTATGCAGATGACATTGTTTCTTCTCAGATGACATTGGTTCTTTGCAGACAACATTGGTTTTTACTCAGATGACATTGGTTCTAGTCAGGTGACATTGATTCTACTCAGGTGACATTAGTTCTACTCAGGTGACATTGGTTCTACTCAGGTGACATTGGTTCTACTCAGGTGACATTGGTTCTACTCAGGTGACGACATTGGTTCTGTGCAGACAACATTGGTTTTTACTCAGATGACATTGGTTCTAGTCCGGTGACATTGATTCTACTCAGGTGACATTAGTTCTTCTCAGGTGACATTGGTTCTACTCAGGTGACGACATTGGTTCTACTCAGGTGACATTGGTTCTACTCAGGTGACATTGGTTCTACTCAGGTGACATTGGTTCTACTCAGGTGACGACATTGGTTCTACTCAGGTGACATTGGTTCTACTCAGGTGCCATTTGTTCTACTCAGGTGACATTGGTTCTCCTCAGGTGCCATTTGTTCTACTCAGGTGACATTGGTTCTACTCAGGTGACATTGGTTCTACTCAGGTGACGACATTGGTTCTACTCAGGTGACATTGGTTCTACTCAGGTGACGACATTGGTTCTGTGCAGACAATATTGGTTTTTACTCAGATGACATTGGTTCTAGTCAGGTGACATTGATTCTACTCAGGTGACATTAGTTCTTCTCAAGGTGACATTGGTTCTACTCAGGTGACGACATTGGTTCTACTCAGGTGACATTAGTTCTACTCAGGTGACATTGGTTCTACTTAGGTGACATTGGTTCTACTCAGGTGACATTGGTTCTACTCAGGTGACGACATTGGTTCTACTCAGGTGACGACATTGGTTCTACTCAGGTGACATTAGTTCTACTCAGGTGACATTGGTTCTACTCAGGTGACATTGGTTCTACTCAGGTGACATTGGTTCTACTCAGGTGACATTGGTTCTACTCAGGTGACATTGGTTCTACTCAGGTGACATTAGTTCTACTCAGATGACATTGGTTCTACTCAGATGACATTGGTTCTACTCAGGTGACATTATTTCTTCTCAGGTGACATTAGTTCTACTCAGGTGACATTGGTTCTACTCAGGTGCCATTTGTTCTACTCAGGTGACATTGGTTCTACTCAGGTGCCATTTGTTCTACTCAGGTGACATTGGTTCTACTCAGGTGACATTGGTTCTACTCAGGTGACATTGGTTCTATTCAGACAACATTGGTTGTACTGAGGTGACATTGGTTCTATGCAGACAACATTGGTTCTATGCAGACAACATTGGTTCTATGCAGACAACATTGGTTGTACTGGGGTGACATTTGTTCTTCTCAGATGACATTGGTTCTACACAGACAACATTGTCTTTTACTCAAGTGACATTAGTCTTACACAGGTGACATTGGTTCTACACAAGCAACATTGGTACTCAGGTTACATTTGTTCTACTCAGGTGACATTGGTTCTATGCAGACAACATTGGTTCTACTTAGGTGACATTGGTTCTACTCAGGTGACATTGGTTCTACTGGGGTGACATTTGTTCTACTCAGGTGACATTGGTTCTTCTCAGATGACATTGGTTTTATGCAGACAACATTTTGTCCTACTCTGATGACATTGGTTCTCCTCAAATGACATCTGTTCTACTCTATTGACATTGGTTCTACTAGGGTGACATTGGTTCTAATTAAGTGACATTTCTTCTACTCTAGTGACATTGATGCAGACAACATTTTGTCCTACTCTGATGACATTGGTTCTCTCAAATGACATCTGTTCTACTCTCTTACCATTGGTTCTACTCCGGTGACATTAGTTCTATGCAGACCACAATGGTTCTACACAGACAACATTGGTTCTACTCAAGTGACAATTGTTCTTCTTTGTTGACATTGGTTCTACTCGGGGTAAAATTGGTTCTACGCAGATGACTGATCTTCAAAGGTTGCATGGGTAGAATCTGTCAAGAGTTCATATGACTATTGACACGCAAATGGACGGGACTGAAACATTATTCTAGTATTTTTTTTTAAAAGCCCAACATTATGTTCCAGTGGTGCTTGTTTAGAAGGAGTTGCACAATAAGTTATGCTTATTGTATTGTAAAATTTGTGTTAGTGATACACATGTTATCATAGTTATATAAATATACTTAGGTTACTGTGTTAGTAGCATGTGTATTTATTGACTGATCTTTATTTCATGACTGAAATATTAACAATGTTACACATCAGGTATAGCAGCATATTGAGTTTGATACTAACAGACAATATAATCATAATACTAAGTTCAATATTAAAATACATTCAAACATAGGTTTACTTACTTAGGTTTTGACTTACATACAGACATAGTTACATATAGGTTCAATACTAAAAAAAGAAAAACAGTATAAATGCAGGTTTATTTAATACATCCTTATAGTATAAATGTTCAATGCTTATATGGTATAATTGTAGATTCAATGCGTAATGCTGTATAAATGTTTATTAATGCAAAAGTATACTGTATAAATGTAAGTTCAGTGCTTAAATGGTATACATATAGATTCAGTGTTTATATATGTTATAAGTGCTAATACATTGGTATAAATGTAGGTTTGTTGTTTATATGGTATAAATGTAATTTTAGTGCTTATATGGTGTAATGTCTGTTCATTGCTAACAAGGTATAAATGAGTGTTCAGTGCTTATATATGGTATAAATGTAGTTCAGTGATTATATTGTATAAATTTAGGTTTTATGTTGACACAGTATTAATGAAGGTTCATTGCTTATATGGTATACATGTTGATCCAGTGCTTAAATTAAGTTTTGATTTAGGTTCATTGCTTATATGGTATACATGTTGATCCAGTGCTTAAATTAAGTGCTTTTATGGAGTGAGTGTAGTGCTTAGACTGTATAAATACAGATTCATTGTTTATATGATATAAGTTTTTGTTCAGTGCTGAGATGGTATAAATGTAGGTTCAGTGTTTATATGGTATAAACACAAGTGCAGTGTTTTTATGGTGTAAGTTTAGGTTCAGTGCTTGTATGGTATAAATGTAGGTTCAATGCTTATACAGTATAAAGGTAGATACAATGCAATGCTAACTTACAGCATATAATATCATAGACATTGTACATTCACATCTTACTTACCACTTTTTGTTAGTTTCAGAAATATCTTTAGAAATTACACATATGTTCAATTATTACATAATGATGGTTTAAAAAAAGTTTTCCATGGGGGTCAAGGTCACTGTTTCTTAAATTAGATACATAAAGAAATGCGAGTATTAGAAAAAATGGGGGGGGGGGGAGGATGGGGTGGTGGTAAATGGTCAAGTAGGTTATTGTTATATGATATAGTTTTTTTAGTCTATAATATTAAATCAGACAACTTTTACCACAACTTCTTTAAGATTTTTAGTTTATAAACCAAGAGTAACATTTTCAAGTTCATTTCATGATAAAATCTTTTCTTAGCTTTTACAGCTTTTGCATGCAATTCTATTATTTTCATCCTTTGAACATAACATTTTCTGTTCAATGGTACAAGGTGTATTTATATATATAACATTATTGGAAGACTTATGATTATTTAAGGAGCAGGTCAACCGTCTATCAGCCGGACAAAGTGCTGGAGCCAGCTCCCTGGCAAGGTCACAACCAGTGGTGAGAAATATGAACACATGTATAGAGCTATGGTGTATATAGACAAGATGTAATATATGCAGGGCTTTCAAGACATTCTCATGAAAATATTGACATGAAACTATGAATAAATTGTATACAGGCAAACCTGTGCACAAAGAGCACAAACAATATTTAGAAAGAAGCAAAACATAATTTTCCCTTTCAACATTCATAGTATAGAATTATTTATTGTGAGAGACCTAATTGCTAATCAAAAGGTACTTTTATTTTTTCAATACTGATATTTCAAAATAAAAAAAAGTATGTTTGACTGTACATTAATAGGATATTTCTTTTTTAAATGTAAAGTTTTATTTTCATTATGTAGAATACCATTTGAACAAAGATATTTTTCATATGCTCCATTATTAAGCAAACTGCCTATGTAAGCAGAAGGCCTTCAAACAGTATTGTATAATATTATAAAATAGATTGAACATACAGAATCTAAATGGTTAATTTTCTAGTTTTCATCTTTCTTGAATTTCTGATGACAAAAATCTGCATGAATTATTAAAAATAATACAGAAAATAATCAATAGAAAATACATTAAAGTTCTTTTAAAGCAGCAAACCTCCAGATGCATGCTTATTTTCTTGAAAATTTTGAAAATATATTTTAAAGTAAAATATGATAAATTGAATAAAAAATGTAATTGTAAATGATACAATCCATGTAAATTACCAAAAAGAGGTCAAAATAATGCAAAATATGCACAAGTCACACTGTAGAAATATGATGATAAATACTGCAAAATCAGCCCTTAATCACACATAACATGTAAATTATTACTTTAATCTTGAATCTTTTGACTTTCCTTAAGATCTTGGTACATTTTTCTCAAGTTTGATTTTCTTGATATATTTTTTGGCTCATCTGGAGGCAAGCTGCTTTGAAATACGAATAAAGGTTTGTCTTGCTCTTCGTGAGTATATTTATAATGTAATCACAATACTAGAATGGTCTTGGAAGCCCTTATATCACAGGGTCATTACAGTAATGATTCTAATAACAATATTTGAATTAATTGCTCCCTAGATGTAGTAAGACCATATATATATAGCATGCTTTTTGTTTACTGGCTTTTTTTTTTTTTTTTGCATAACAGACATTTCCAATGTTTTCACCTACTGTAGAAAACTTTTATTTTTATCCCTTGAGTTGTAAAGTAGCACCTGCAAGGTAAATGACATCATTCCAAACTACATCTATGCTTGAATCGAAGTGTTTTTTGTAGGTCATCTGGCATATAGTACCTGAGAGTGAGCTGTTAGGATTTCTTATCATATGATGTACTTTCTGTTCCTTCATTTCTTGACATTTCACCAAATTTAGTACAGTAAGGGGCAGTAACTTCTATTGAATTATTTAAGGAGTTAACCTGTTCCTGCACTCTGGTGATGTTTTCATCTTATCTCAATGGGCCAATGATGATGAAACTTTGTAGGAAAGTTCTTTTTATTAAGCCCTATGAAATAATTCAAATCTTTGGTAAAATCATGCAAAACTTTGGTTGCCATGGCAACTAAATACAAGATCTTTAAAACAATTTCTTTTCCAAAACCACATTTGGCGCTGCCGTCCGGTTTTGATAATAGCATATAATCTAGTTGTCCTCTACAAAAAGATATTCGTGTTAGGCCCTAAAATACTAAAGGCCCTGTCAGGGTTTCCCTACTTTAACATTGACCACATCTCTATTGTTTGAATTTGTTTTTGATTTTAACAAAATAATTGTCAGGATTCACTCAGTACTGGTGTATATCCTTTCTTTTCCTGATCCTTGCATAAAGCTCTACCAAAGATGTTCTGATATGTCTGGTCTGTTTCCGATCTGGGGTATAGGAAAAAACTTCAGATATTGCTTAGTCAAAACTGGCCACACCACACAGATCTGTTGATCACATCACAGCATGGGTTCTCAAGATTTTGGGTAAAAAAATACATGATGAGAATAAAAAAAATCTGATTGTCAAGACTCTGACAGCTTTATGTTAAGATATTTTAGCTTTAAAATGGCTTTGTGGATCTCTACTAAATTTGTTTAAGTTTAGACGAGCAATAACAGTACAATCATGGTCCTCTTGTTACCTATACTATTTAACTTTCGCTTACATGTTACACAGTATATTACACAGTATTCTTAAAAATCCTTGACAATTAAAGATAATAAAAATAATAGATGAGAAGTTCTTATACTTTAATTAATGGGAAAAAGAATAATAAGCTGTATATTAACTCTTTGTTAAGCTTTTATATGATACTTTTTCCATTATGTTTAAAAGATTTATGTCAGATTCCATTCTGTAGTTTCATAATGTGATAATTCTTATGAAATTGAAACTTTAATTTCTGTTAAAATGTCATTCGTTTAGCTTTACCTTTCTCTCAATGTGAACTTGTGTGAGAATAGTATTATATTCCTGGTTGTAGGTACGGTTAAGAGCAAACAGCTGCCAGGTAACTAACTGTGTTACAATAGCTATTAAACAGAACCTCCGGTCCTGATGTAGAATATTATATTCCTTACAAATGACCAATTTGATTCTCTTGCATTGTATACTTCAGATAAGAGCTTTGTCCTTGAGCCCAGATATGATATTCCTTTTTAGTTATCCAAGAGCCGACACTTTTCCTTAAATCAGATATTCCTTTTAAGTTATCCAAGAACAGACACTTACATTATTGTCCTTGGTATATATACATCAGATAGATTACAATTTAAATCTTCTATATTCTTTTATTACATAGCAATTGTAGTCAAATATTATCCTCCTTTACATAATGCCCTGTTTTACCATCCCATACTCATACATTTCAGAGTAAACCACTTGTCCTTAGTCCTTATGTCAGATATATAAGAATTTAACTTACCTGTATTCTTTAATTTTTCCTTGTAGTCAATTTAATGTCTCTTACACATGCCCTATTTTACTATCTCATATTCAGGTACATTACAGAGCTGTAGCCTTATATTGACAGTCATACATAAATCAGACACTTGCCCTTAAGATAAAAGTTCTTTACTTTTTCAGTTATATATAACTAATTTTGCTCTGGTGTATTCTTTTATAATAAAGGAGAAACCTTTATACTTTAGTCAGATATTATCTCCCTTACCAGTTACTATTTAATTCTTACATATTACAGGGCAGAACCTTGCCCTTTAATTCATTTGACCAATCTTTCTCTCCTTGTCCATTTTACATATCACAATGAAAAGAAAAACACCCTCTTTTACTCAGAGATTTGCCTTTCCTTTTGCTTGGTCTATTATTATTATTTATCTTTGTAGACATGCATTTTTGATAGGAATTATGTTATAAATAATATGAAATATGATTGAATCACAGCTCTTTAGTTGGAATGATGCATTTTATAAATACTTCAATATTTTAAAGAGTATGCTTGCATTGTTTTTCACTCTATGTAAACCATTACATTTCATGTAGATTTTTCAATTTCTTCATTTTATTTGTTTTTAATACTACTTAATCTGCATGGTACACCTCTTTATTTGACATCTTTGAAATCTATGCTTTCTAGATAATATGAGCCGCATCACGACAAAACCAACATAATGGGTTTGCGACCAGCATGGATCCAGACCAGGCTGCGCATCCGCGCAGTCTGATCAGGATCCATGCTGTTCGCTTACAAACCCTATAACAAGTAGAGAAACTGATAGCGAACAGCATGGATCCTGTTCAGACTGCGCGAATGCGCAGGCTGGTCTGGATCCATGCTGGTCGCAAACCCATTATGTTGGTTTTGTTGTGTCGCGGCTCAAATTATAACCATTATATCACAGCATGCATCAAATCACAACTCTTGCATTTTAGTTTTTTATCAACTCAACACAAGTAATGGTTTGTCTGCTTTTCTATGTGTATGTATATATAGGTATGTTAATTAGACATGTATATTTTATATATATCAGTAGTGTTAGATTTTTAGATTTCAATTTGAATCATTTGGATACATTTCTGTAAAAATGTCATAAATTAATTAAATCTTCATAAACAGTGCTCTTTCCAGATAAATCTGTTTAATAAGAGATTTTTATTACAGGGAATAAATATATATAAAAGTATTTTTTTTTAAATATAATACAAAGCTCTTTGGTTTAATTAAACGTAATCTTGACTCAGAGGTTTCTTTCCAGGTGTCAAATATAAATGTCTCGTTGAAATTTAAAAAAAAGAAGAATTAAATCCGAAATTATTTATTTTGTATGTATTCTGTTCTGCAAAATGAAAGGGCTAGGTACGTTTTGGGTCGATTTTGGCCTATCGGCAAAAAATATTCAAAATTTGATATATCAAAATTAAATTTTATTTCTAACAAATGATGCAAGATTGAGCCAGATATCTGTTTAGACAAAAAAGTTATAATAAATCAAAACAACCTATCAAAATACAAAATACTACAGTTTGACGTCATCAACGTCACGTATTATTTTGAGCGCATCGCTTCGAGTAATTAAAAATATAGTGACGCATATGTATTTTCTTAATTGTTTATCGTGTAATACAAAGGAGTTAATGATACATTTGATGTACATTTCTACGTTCAATTACGATTGCAGACATAAATAATTAGTCACTGTGAAGTATATTAAAACAGACGAAAAGGAATACATATACGATAGCTTTTATTACCTGCGGTCTGAAGACCGCAGGGTATTGGTACGCGTTTAACTTTTGAGGTATGGAGGAGCACGTGCCCTGTTTTCGGTACACGGAGGAGCATGTGATCTGTTAACCGTACATGATTGGTTAATTGCCTTTTCGAAAACCTAGCTAAATACCGTTTGCCGGTACGTTACGGATTTACCTCTAGGGAATTAGTCCGAACTACACATAATTAAGAACAAAAACTATTACGTGGCATTTCTAATTTTCTATAATTATTTTACCGTTTAAGATGGAAAAACTTGAATGATGTGTTTGAAAATTATCAATGTTTCTTTAATATCTTTGTCAAATTTTACAAACAATAAATTGTTTATACTGAAAATCTACAAAATTAAAATATTCGTAGTGGAATCTGCCATAATAAATAAAGATAATTTGTAAACTTGTGTGTTTACTTATTTTTTTTTTTTTTTGCTCGGAATTATTCATAGAATGGAAGGCATATTTAATCATTTTCTTAAAAAGAAATAATTGTTTTATGTTCGACCGTCTCCGGTCTTTCAACTACGGTCACCAGTTTCCAAAGACCTTCTTCTATATTGATCGATTATTGTCAACTATATTCCTGATACAAACGTTATTTATCCCCCCAAACAATGTTGAAAATAGTTAAATGAGATATATTTTTATATGATTAAAAATGTTCCCCGCAGGAAACCGTTTTACTTGTTTATATAATTTACTTACCCTATTTAAGAAGTGTGTTCAGTAACTGCTGTTTTATAAAATACACAATTACTTTAACAAGTTCATAGTTAAATTTTCGGCACTGAACCTTCTTCAGTTTAAAAGGGCTATGCAACGAAATCTATTAAAAATTTGACATAGGAAGAGGCACATATTCGTAATATTACATCTATGAAAATATTTTTTATTCAGTGGTCTTATGTAATTACCTATTTAGTAAAGTTCAGAACTTATATCTATGCACGTGTTTGATTATCATCATCATCAGAATCATTATTATTATTATTATTATTATTATACGATATTGATCTTTCACATAATGCCTCGGTTACTCAACCTACCGGAATCGGCCGAATTACCGGAATCGGTGGTCTTTACTGGAATCGACCTGTAATTTTGTTATTAATGAACTTATAAAGAATGGCCTTGCATTTTTATAAGATATAAACATCATCAATGATATGTCAAAAGATTTTTGTAAATAAAATCACTTTTGATTAAACAATAAAGCTAAGATCGAAGAGTTACTGCCATACTACCGGATTCGTCGAGGGCCTGTGATTTGGTTATATATTATTTATGCATTTTAAATTTTAATAATATTTGTTTTGCCTGTTTTTATAAATTAAACTTAAACGTTATGATTGACCTCCAAAAAAGAAATGTGAAAAGAAAATCGGTTTAATTAACAGTGAAGAAATATTTAAACGGCGAAAACGGGAAAACTGCCGGAATCGGCGAATGATTACCGAAATCGGCCTGTATTTTGCTTATTTATGAACTTTTAACCAATTTTCTTGCATCTTTAATTAAATATAAAACGATATCAATAATATGTAAAAAGATTTTTGTAAATAAAATCACTATTGATAAATAATACAAAATATTTAATATCGGCAAGTTACTGCCATACTGTCGGAACCGGCGAAGGATTACCGGATCGGCCTATAATTTGGTATTTTTTGGACTTTTTAACGTTTCCTTTGCATCTTTTTATTAAATATAAACATTATCTATCATACTCAAAATAAGAATTTTGCAATTCGCTTTTGATAAATAAAACAATCGAGTTACTGTCATACTGCCGAAATAGTAGAATGATTAGCCTCCCTTGAATTCCTGCCAAAATGTCCGGAGACCACGTACGTGTTAGATTTTATATTGATTTATTAATGTTTATGTTCTCAGTATATAGATTTTGCAAAAACTTAGGTCTTGAATACAGGATATTTTTGTGTTTCATAAAATATTTGTCGGTGATCGCCGCGGAGAACTTACTTTTTTATTTTAAGATGACGTTTAAAAAACATAATTAAATAAATAAAATGAAATAAATAAAAAATAATACAATGGAAAAGAAGAAAAACATAAACAAATGTACACACACATTAAAGTCGGCAGTGTTAAGTCGAAGTTTTTTGGTATCGTTCAAAAACAGATCATCATTATAATACGATGATGCAGAGGCTGTTTATATTCTGTTAAAAAATAAAATACAAAATGAACTAGTACAAGATTTTTTTCTGTTACGGAAGTTTTTTCTTTTGCAAGGTAAATGCACGGATAATTTAAACTACCTTAGTCACTAAAAATATTTTCAACTTGCTTAGAATACTGTTTTAATTGAAGAATATAGGAAAAGGCGGTGATCAATCAACATAAACTTTGTTCCGGATTATTTACACTCGTATTTATGTTTCCTGTTAAAGGATAATACCACATATTTCATTGTCATACTTTGAATATTCAGATTTCATATCTAACAACACAAAGCACAAAGTAGGTTTGAATTCCATGATGTAAAGAATATACATGAACACGTAAAAACAGTGCATAAAAAATCCTACCCTTTTTCAATGACATATACCATTGGTGCAACAGTACTGTACTATACTGCAATAAATTTGCATAGCAGTATACAAAATACTACCGACGAATTTCTTATTTTCAGTTTTGTTTCAACACAAGTTATGACTAGTAAAATATAGGTACAATTGCCGACAAAATGCTTTTCCAGCTACATACATTTTCGTTTTCTCACACACATACATGCCATAATTTCAAGACTGATTTCCGGGACACTTTAAAAAAATTCTTAAATGTTGTAACTTTACAACTTGCAAATGTTATAATACAGTAAAGCATGCGCTATGCTTCATCACTGTGGTAGCGTAAGGTATTCAGCGTACCTGTTTTTATACCTGACCAATGCCTCTGACAAAAGAAAGAAAAAATGTTAAGAAGTGACTTATAAAGTTTTTGAAGCCAGAGAGACTCGTATGTTAAAAATTATGTACAATATTGCGACACTTCCAAGATAACTGCAAGCATGCAAACATTTGAAGAATTTGTAAAATTATTTCAATACAAATGTATAAAACAAAATCGCAACTAATGACCTATATTCAGAATTTTTTGACAAGATTTAATTTCACACCACCCTTCTAAATAAACTGATTCTGGAGACAAGTGATTGACCGGTGCTAGAGATCATTTGGTGCGCTAAAAGTGTCAATCATCATTAAAGAGCGGTTTTATCAAGACTTCAAAAGACTTTGCCGACGTCAGACGTGACAAACTGCTAGGTAAATGTAGGCGGAGTCATTTATTCAGTTGTTGGCAAAGCAGCAGTGTTACAATATTTTAATTGACGAGAAAGGTCACATATATTTATCAATCAGTGGATTAGTGTCAACAACTAAAATGTCTGTGGAAAATCTATCTGAAATAAACGTCTTATAATAATTAAATGATATAATAATATAAATGTTATTGCATATTATTGGAATTGTTCACTAAAGAGAAATACTTTATGTTATTTAAATGTACAGTGATATTTATCTCTTCACTAATTGAAGAACTGGAGCCTCTCCTACTACCAATATATACTCGATTACGCCCCTTACCAATCCGTCGCCATTTGCCAGTATGTAAACAGCAGACTGACGGAGTGTAAACTTTGGGTAATTAACAGAAGTGCGCAAGCAGTAACCACAAAATAGTAGGTGATAATTTAAAGCTAATATTTTATGGGAATATAAAATGTAAAAACCTAAGCGGTTAAAAAGTGCGTAAACCTAATATTTGTAGAATCACACCAAAATTTACCCATTTTTGCGAATTTTGCGCGAAATAGAGGATGATTGACGTCATCCGTGACGTCATCTACGTTGCCGAGATACAAAGGAACGTCAGTTTTTAATTGCATATATGTTGCTTTGTCAACTGACATTAAATGACTCATTTATATTCAATATTTTATTTCTTCAAAATTTTGGGCCAAAATCGACCCAAAACGTACCTAGCCCTTTTAAGTTTTATAAGATCTTAACCTTTTGACTATTGTATAGACCTGTGATTCTCATATATTTTGAATATTCCTTTGTATGAATAACTCTTTCTGATTGGTGGTTTAGTAGTTTTGCCTCTTTTGCTTAACTTTCCTAATTTTGGTATTATTAAGAAGCTCTGTTTAGCCTATTGTGGTCAAAGGGTTAATAAATTAGAAAATTTTCCAAAAAGTATTAGTTCAAGCAAAAAAAAAATTGGGTTTTCTCCATTTAATTTTAATAATGAGTTATATAAATACTATTCTGCTTTTATTTTATACACCAGTTAGTTTTTACAGTGTGACCAGAAGGCTTATATATTTGATATCCCTGTTTTTACCATGTCATGAAATGATTTTATTGTTTGTTACAGACTGCTAGTCCACTTAAACCACACCCAGAGAGAATGCCAGGTATGTACATGAAATAATAATATTTACAGAAAAATCATACCAAAATCATACTATCCTTTCTATGTGTCTGTAGTTTGTATCTAATGAGATTCCATCAGACATGCTGTAACATGTTGCTATGATAGAGAATGTTAGGTCAAGAGAGTAGAGAAAATAAGAAGCTAGTTCCAGTCTGTTACTGCTGGGTTTGGGAATGGTTGCAATTTTGTCTTGAGGACAAATGTTGATTTGTCTTGCAAATACCTAAGCCATGCACATATAGTGCCCTAAATTCTTCCCTGTCCAAGAGTCAACACCCTTCCTGTGTATGACAGAAAGTTTCAACAAATTGTCATTAAGAGAGAAAACAGTTGGATATTTAAAAACATCATAGTAAATTTAATGTATCTGCCAAATTTCTTCAACATCACATGCTTGGAAAATAGAAATAGAAAAAGTAGCACTGTAAAATGCTTAGGGTGACAAATCATGGCCACCCAAGGATACTGTAAACTTAATAAGGCAGAGAAGGTTGGCCTTTGCCACCAGTATAAGGCCAGACCAGCCTGCACTAACATGCAGACTGACAAGGCTCTATACTGTAGCCTAGCTTACTTCATATCATCAACATTTTAGATATATTATTGTTATTTTCAGAAATGAAAGATGTGACACAGACTTTAGATCCTCTGTTAACAACTGTAAACAAAACACATACACCAGCAAAGAAAGCCAAATGGCATTTAGGTAACGAGTCCTTTTCAATAACCTTTTGGTCACTATTGTATCATAGACTAATATAGGAAAGAAATTTTTAAAACTCTTTTTTTCTGAAACTTTAAGGCATAAAGCTATGACATTTGGTATGTAGCATTGTCTAGTGGGCCTCCACAAAAATTATATAAATCAGACTAGCAATTTAGGCTTTTTCAGGTCTCTTGTGTTGATATTATATAAATATATGTCATTGTTTCCTTGAGCAAGAAACTTTACACTCATTGCTCAGTACTGGTTGGTTACAGGAAAGAATTCGAAAGAGTGTCTACAAGCTTATAGCATCCTACACAATCAAACTAAAATAAATTCTGTATGAACAAAATATATGTATTTGAAAATTTGGATTTTTTCTCTTCAATAATGGTATATTCTTGTATTTACAGGAATAAGATCTCAGAGTAAACCACAGGATATAATGCATGAGGTGTTCCGTGCTATGAAAGCTCTTAGTTTTGTAAGTACATGTTTATATAGAGTCAACCTATTATCTATTTGGTGGTATTGATATATCAGGTGGGCATATTCTTTTTGGTCTATGTGTTTGTTTTTGTGTCTGATTGTTAGAAGACATTTACATTGACCATGGAAGTCCTTCTGTTTTCAGTCTTCAAACTTCACACGTGCAAGCACATTGGCAAGCTCTACCTACTAGACCTATTAAGTGAACACAGGGTCAGGATGAAAAAAAAACGCTGTAGCACAATTTATAGCTGAATTATCTGTAGTATTTGATAATAAGTGGCTACTCTATATTTGAAATTCGCATCTCAAAAATGTGTCTTATAAGTTTACTCCAAATATTAAATAGTTCTCAATTTAATCATAACTTGCATCACAATTATTGCAACCATTAATTAGAATGACACTTACAAATTATTAATAATTTATCTTTACAGGAATGGAAAGTTATTAACCCCTATCATGTGAGAGTGAGGAAACAGAACCCAGTTACTAGTAAATATGTAAGCATATTTTTGACTTGTTCTATTATATACTTATATATGAAATATTATAAATGAAATATTGAGAAATATTGATGAAAAGATATGAGTTTTTTCATTATCTGTATTTTCACTGTACATCAAAATTTAATCTTTTTTACGGCAGTGAAACATATTTTACATATTTTCACTAGTGTCTTGCTGAATTACTCTCTCCTAAATTCAGCCAATACACAGAATTTTAAAGGAAGTCTTTAAAATTGTAATGTCAAATAAAAGAAAAAAATGTATAAAATAAACAGAAAATTTAATTTTATCTATTAAAATACAGGATTTATTTTCATTTTGTGGTCTGTGGCAATATTAACCTGCATTATGATGTGTTGTTCTGTGTTTCTATAGACAAAGATGAGCTTACAGTTGTATCAAGTGGATCAGAAGAGTTTCCTGTTGGATTTTAAAAGTTTGGTGGAGACTGATAACCAGGACACATTTAACCTTCACCCAACAGGGAGCATGGCCTCACAGGGGAGCAGTGATAATGGTATATTATAATAATACAATATAATAATTACATTGACTAAACAGATAAATGCTGTAATTCAAATAAATAGATGACTCAGTCTGTTTAAATAGTATTTTCCAACAATAGAACTTGTTTAAAACTACAGTTGTGTTTGTGGACACAGTGTTAAATTATAATTGTTGCTAAGGACACAGTGAAAACTTTAGTTGTGTCTGTAGACGTGTATTTGGACACAGTCTTAAATGACAGTTGTTTCTGTGGACACCATCAAAGATTATTTTTTTCTGAGGACACAGTCTAAAATTTCTGATGTGTTTGTGGACACAGTCTAAAATTGCAGTTGTTTCTGTGGACACAGTTTAAAAATGCTATTGAGGCTGTGGACACCATTTTAAATTACAGTTGTGTCTTTTGACACAGTCTAAAATGATAGTTGTTTCTGTGGACAAAGTCTAAAATTACAGATGTGTCTGTGGTCTTAAAGAACCACTTTTTGAGTTAAAAAGAACAGAATGTCTCATCATTTATATTGGTATACAGTTCAGCATTTATCTTTTAGTCTGTACGTAATAACAGTGTCTGTGATTCTTTACTGGAAGAAATAATTATTCTATGTTCATTTATTGAGTTAATTTTGTTTTAGTTTTAGAAGTTACTTTGGTTAAATTTTACAATCAGTTCTTTTTGTTCTTGTTATACATTTATAGTTTAGAAAAAAATGATACCTAAGGTTCAAGCTGAGCTTTTAGTATAATAATTTAGGATTCACCTTTTAAGAGCTCCTTGGTCAAGTCCATTGAGTTGCCCACAAAGCTAAAAGTATTATTTCCTTGAACAGCTGTTAAACTTATAATTACTGGTCAGTTATTCAGGAAAGCCGGTAAGGTGGACGGGCCAAAAATGTGTTAAATTGGCATTAAAACCAAAGAAACCAACATAATTCTCTCTCTGAGAAAGTTTGTTGTTGTATTTGTTAGGATGCTTTTGTTGTTATTTTATGAAGTTTTAAATAAGCAGATTTATTAATGATAAGAAATGACTTGTTACAGAACATAAAACAGTGCCACACGGTATAAAACCACCTGAAATAATCACATCCTTTACTTAACACATTAATTGTTTCCCAACCAATAACAGTTGTTTAAGTTTATATTTTGTTGAAGTGACTCTTACCTAACTAACTAAGGTAGAGGTGTTTGTACTTTTTATCTGAAATTAACAGAAAGATTTGTATTTCCCACCTTTTGTTAAAAAAAAGGGCTAGGTTTAGGTGAGTAGTAAAGTTTTTTTGCCATGAACTATCATCAGTCTATGTAATGATTGTAGTTGTTCCTGCTTTACAGCACAGTGATCATAACCCTTAACCTTCTGAATTTGTGTAATGGATTTGCCCGGCTTTGAATTTGGAACAGTCCATTCAATGTTTAAGGGATTTCAATAGCAAAATACATGTAATAAAATTGATCTGCCAACAGTATAGAGTCTGGTCAGACTGCATGGATGTGCAGGCTGGCCTGGCTCAATACTGGTTGCAAAGGCTGGTCAATTTCGGTTCCAGCAGGTTAAGGGTTAAAGCTTTTATTTTTCTCTATCATCATCCATCAGTATTCTATTACATTATGTCATACACTTGTCTCAGTCTCTTGCACGTCACCTCATGGCTTGAACTAATATAAGCCGGTATAGGGGTCAAATTAATTAGAACTTATGACCATTCTTCCCTCACGTTTTTTTTGAAAATTTAAAACATTTTAAAATACTTTTTTTCCTTATTGCTTCTGTGATAGATGCAGTCCATATACATGTAATTGTATACACTGTTCTGAAAAAAATGATAGTAGGAGTTTAACTAGAGAAGTTGCAAGGCTTTTTAGCTATGCATGTCATTTTCATAAAACTTTTTTTATTGGTGTCTTATCTTGTTAATAGTATCATGTATTACATATTTCTTTAGTTGGTGACTGAATTCTAATTAGTTTTGTAATGGAGCCAAAAAAGGTTGTGTTGGAACATTTGTCAGAATTTGTTTTTCAGCATCTTAATTTGACTTTTGTTCAATTTATCTATGTTTTGAGTATAGTCCTGGCACACTTGCTTCTTCAGTTTCTTATTTAGATTTGTCATACTTGATATCAACCCGAGATAATAATCTCAACATAACTCAATATTTAAAGATCAGTTTCAGATACCTGATTGGTTGATTCCTTGCATGTGATATAAATCATGTGATATCATTCAACCAATGATACAGTGTTGTTTAGACTCCAGTCTTAGCTGAATGACCTTTAACTTTTGTAGGAGAATTTAAAACGTAATGTTCAGTGATTTCAATACTTGTGTATTATTGTATTTTGATGTAAGAAAAAATGTGTATGCACAATGTTTTATTATAAATATAATATTGTTGTTATAAATATTATATTGTTGGCATCCTCTGTAAGTGCGTATAGGTTATGAAAAGTATGTGTGTTGTTATGGCACATGTTATGTTATAATATTGTTGTATTGATATGATAATGTTGTTTTTGATATACATGTTTAAAGTTATATATGACATGAACCACACTTACAAGCAAAAGAAAGTACACATCCGGAAAACTGTTAATTAAATTTTAGTCTGTTTAAAAATTTCATTACTTTGATAATTTTATTAATTTTCATGACCTCATTACCACACACGAAAATTATGACACAAATCACACCCTACGAACTGTTCTTTTTATCCTTTTCAACATAGATACCCCCTAATTCAAAATTCACAAAATAAATTGTTGGGTAGACTGTAAGCATGTTTTGGTAGCATTAAAAAAAACAATAACAACCGATTAATGTGTGATTTTTATAGAAAATTGCATATCTTATGTCTTATACATTGTATGTAGAAGATAACAGATTATCTGTGAATGGATCAATTTGATCAGTTAAAATATATTTACAACCAATTTACTTAGTGCTATTTTCTTTTGCTAGTATGTGTTATCATCAATCTCATCTTCAAGTTTTCTATGTATCTTCTACATTATGCTATAAGTCTTCTATTTAATTATTTGCCTTGATTTGATATTATATATCTTTGATGGTCGCAGATATTTTATTTTCAAATGAGAATAAAAATCTGTGCCATATTTACTTCTAAGTGGATCACATATTTAAAATAGGGTAAATATCGAATGAAAAGGAGATAAAATTAGTTTGAAGTTATTCACTTCAGATGTTTAATTATTTAAATGAAAAAAATAAATGCCATAGTAAACTTCTAGGGTGGTTAGACCAATGGTCCAAGTAAAATTCTTGTCATGATCTTTTTAGAACAAGAAATGTTTTCAAAAATTTATAAATTGAAAGTTGAGAATTTTATTGTAGTACCTTTCCATAATACAAAGATATTTTGTAATTTAATATGTTTATATCAATCCTGAGTATTGGTCTATCCACTCTAGAAATGTGAAATAATAATTCATCAGCTATTAAGTGGCATTTTCTGTAGTCATGCTTTTGTCTTTTATCTTCTAAATTGCTTTTTTCATTGCATTCATCTTGTATTTGCAGTATTTGAAAAAGGTATGTTGTTCATGTATTGGGGTCCTGGTGCATTTTTCATATTACATTGCTTTATAGGCTAATATTAGCATTTTGTACTCACCAAATTAAGTTATTTGTTTATAATTGGATTTGTTGACAGAACTTATAATTGAGATATCAATATTTAGCAGACAGGATAATAATTAGATTATGTAAGTTTTATTCAGATTAATGTTTGAATTCATAATGCCCAAAATTGTGCAGTTTTTTTTTTTTTCTTCGGATACCATTGATAAATGATTACAGTATCTTTAGTTAGACTTCAAATTTAGTGTTTATTGTCACCAAGAATGTATGTTGAAAAGAAGTGTAATCTAAAAGCTATCAGAATATAAAAAGACAAAGCTAAAAGGCTAAACTGGTATTTTGATTACATACTTAGAAAATAGTTCTGTGAACATTTCTCGTTCTGAACATGTGTATAAACAATTACAAATTCATTTATTTATTTGTGTTTTTTTCTTTTTTAGTAAAATTAACGCAGTCATGCAGTTAAAATCATTTAATTCACATAGCATCCTATAATTACTGTATTTAATAGTGATATGGTGATTGCATTTATATAAGGCATATGCTGTTCAATCTAATAATAAAACGACTTGTGTCCAGTAGTAATTTGCATTCAATTTAGGTTTTCTCTTGCTATTATGTACTCTATGAACAGTCTTAAATTGCTATTAGGTACTCTTTGAAGTTTTCTTTCTATTAATAGGTACTTTTGTACATTCTTTATTTGCTATAAGGTACTCTTTGAACATTCCTTTCTTGCTATTAATAGGTACTCTTTATACAATCTTTACTTGCTATTATATACTCTTTTAACATTATTTCCCTGCTAAAAGTTCTCTGAACATTCCTCACTTCCTATTAGGTCTATTTAAACATTCTTTACTTGCTATTAGATACTCTTTGAACTTTCTTCACTTGCTAGTAAGTACCCTTTGAACATTCTTTACTTGCTATTAGGTACTATTTGAACATTATTAATTTGCTATTAGGTACTTTTTAAACATTCTTTAAATCTTATTAGGTAATCTTTGTATGTTCTTTATTTGTTATTAGGTACTCTTTGTATATTCTTTACTTACTTTTAGGTACTCTTTAAACATTCTTTACTTGCTTTTAGGTACTCTTTAAACATTCTTTACTTGCTTTTAGGTACTCTTTAAACATTCTTTACTTGCTATTAGGTACTATTTGAACATTCTGTACTTGCTATTAGGTACTTTTTAAACATTCTTTAAATGCTATTAGGTAATCTTTGTATGTTCTTTATTTGTTATTAGGTACTTTTTGTATATTCTTTACTTGCTTTTAGGTACTCTTTAAACATTTTTTACTTGCTATTAGGTACTCTTTAAACATTCTTTATTCTGTACTGGCTTTTAGGTACTCTTTAAACATTCTTTACTTGCTTTTAGGTACTCTTTGAACATTCTGTACTTGCTATTAGGTACTTTTTAAACATTCTTTAAATGCTACTAGGTAATCTTTGTATGTTCTTTATTTGTTATTAGGTACTCTTTGTATATTCTTTACTTGCTTAACATTCTTTACTTGCTATTAGGTACTCTTTAAACACATTTACTTGCTTTTAGATACTCTTTGTATATTCTTTACTTGCTATTAGGTACTCTTTTAACATTTTTTACTTGCTATTAGATACTCTTTGAACTTTCTTTACTCTTTGTACATTCTTTTCTTGCTATTTAAGTACTCTTTTAAATGGAATTAAAGTTCCTATTAAATGAATTCTAGGAAAAATGAATCAATATGCATATATCTACAAATGAATAATTATTTTAATCATACTTTATATCAATAGTACCAAGTTCAATTGTATGTAGAGATGTCATGTATAAATTCAATAGCAGAGAGGTAAAACTTTGAATAAAAAGGATCTAGCGCTCATTCAAATTCACTCAGCTTAAATGTTCAGCAGATAAATTGAAATTAAGAACATAAGTTAATTGGTCAAAGTCTAAATTTCTTACTTGAAATAAGACTCTTTTCTCTGCTTTCCCATACTTAGGCTCATATCTTTAAAGTAAAACATAAAAAACATTGGATTTTATAACATGCATATGCTTAACAGAATTCATTCTAACAGAATATAGTATTAATTGGTTAATACATGTAGCTTTTTTAGTTATGTGGGTTTTGTTATGTGTAAAATAAAACACACTATTAGTTATAAAGATTTTTGACAGGTTTTATGGCCCTCAATAAATGGTTGTTTGAATATATAACCCATGCCGCTACAACTGTATAATGAATTTATAATACAGAAAGGATCACTTTTTAGAGAAAAAAGTGAGATTTCTGCAGAAATTGACAGCTGCCCTGTATATAAAACTATATAAATGTCACGATTATCCAATGAAAAGCAACATTACAAACGTTCAATATTATAATAGTAGTGATACGGTCATGGGACTCAGATTTTTAACCCTAATCCTGCGGAATTTTGTTAATGGACATGCTTGCAAACTGAGCCTTCATGGTCAGTGTTAGTCTCTGAGACTGCATGGATAATGCCTTGCTCTCTATACTGGTAGCAAAGGCTAATTACTTTTTGTTCCAGTGGGTTGCGGGTTAAATAGGCCACTTCTTTGTTTTTCAATTAAAAAAAGTTTAATTCAAGAAATTCTAATCTTTCGTTAATAAAATGATCATTTATGATTTAAATTTTGTAAGTTAGTGTAACAGATAGCCATTAATTTAATTTATATATAAACAGTTTTCCCTACAAAAGTAAGCTTTAAATAGTGTACCAGAAACATTATTTTTATGTATTTTCCCCCTTTATTCTAGATGATTTTACCATTGTTTATCTGTTTCGATCATTTCTATTATGCCCTATTTGTATGTTTTTGCTGTATGTTATTCATGTCCCACTGTCAATCTTTACACACATCAATTTGTTAAATGTTACCACAATTTCCATCCTCAATATACTTTCGTCAACATGGCACTGTATGCGATTAAATTGTTTTATGTCATTTTTACACAACCCTTTCGTATTTTGCATTTAATGTTTTTTTTGCAACAAAATTTAACACATAAGTTTAGGAGTCAACCTTATAAAATTTGGTGTGTCTGTTACTCAGGCTGGCCTGGCTCTATTCTAAGGTGCGGCATTTATATCAAGCTGCTGTCGTGATACTGTAGAAATTAATGTAAATTAAATGCAAAATCTTAGAATTAATTCTCATCATTTTAAAGAAGTCTCTTGATTTGATGAGACAAAGAATCTGTCAGGACTGGAAATTTAAATTTACATGGTGATGTTATCAATGCAGTGTAAAAATATGTCATTGTTGCCTTTGTGATTGATATTGAAAGTCAAAACTAGAATGATGATAGGCTGTGACTATTATAACTACCTGGTACATCTCTGTAGATTGCTGGTAACTTAAATCTTAAGCTGGTCCTTTCTGCAAGTCATATTTAGTCATTCACTTGAAACTTCAGATAAGCATTTAGTTTCATAATTGTAGTTCCCTGATCAAAGTCATATTTGTAGCATGGATATTTACTGCAATATGTCACTTTATGAACTGTGAACCATTGTATTTCAAGTTTTTGTGTGCAAGTTCCATCTTCACCTCTAATGTCACGGTACTAACCTGAAACTACACAGGTCTTCAAAAATTATTGTTATGGTTTTTGTGGGTCATCAAACAAGACACATAACTCTTACATTGATATTAACTTAATTATCCCCTGTTTTCGTTGACTCAGCATAGCCCTAGTTTTGTTGTCAAGAACTGAAAGAAAGCCTTTGTTCTTTAGATAAAAATTGTATGTTCATCTAAATCATAGAATATATGTATGTCTAATAATATTTTGATGTCATTCTGCTTACAAATATAGCAGATTGCTGATTCTGACATGGTGCATGCTGTGTTATTACTGTAGTAATGCATGGAACTGGAAAGCTTTGAAATCTCAGTTATTTAGCATTATGACTCACTTTTAAAACCAAATCTACAAAATCCATACAAACTACATGTACCTGCCTGTTACAGGCACTACCAATGAAGGCATTATAAATGTTTTTAGCATGTATACATATAATTATGATTTTGATTTAATAGTAACAAAACATAAAGCATGATCTTAGACACCTCATATTAGTATGTCATTCCTTTATTATCAAATAAAATTTATGTTAATGTCAAATGTTAAATGATAATTCAATTATTTGTGCATTATAAGTGAATAAATAAACATTATTCTTAGCTTTTATGTTCATTATGCTAAGTATTATAATAATTGTTGCAAAATATGTTTTTCCAAGTTCATTGTGGGTAATGATGCACATACAAGTGTAAACATGCATCTTTTCCATGTTCATTGAAGGTAATGTTACACATCCATGTGTAAACATTTATCATTTCCATGTTCATTGAGGGTAATGTTACACGTACAATTGTAAACATTTATCATTTCCATGTTCATTGAGGGTAATGTTACACATACAAGTGTAAACATTTATCATTAAATTTTCCATGTTCATTGAGGGTAATGTTACACATACAAGTGTAAACATTTATCATTTCCATGTTTATTGTGGGTAATGTTACACATACAAGTGTAAACATTTATCATTTCCATGTTCATTGTGGGTAATGTTACACATACAAGTGTAAACATTTATCATTTCCATGTTTATTGTGGGTAATGTTACACATACAAGTGTAAACATTTATCATTTCCATGTTCATTGTGGGTAATGTTACACATACAAGTGTAAACATTTATCATTTCCATGTTTATTGTGGGTAATGTTACACATACAAGTGTAAACATTTATCATTTCCATGTTCATTGTGGGTAATGATGCACATACAAGTGTAAACATTTATCATTTCCATGTTCATTGTGGGTAATGATGCACATACAAGTGTAAACATTTATCATTTCCATGTTCATTGTGGGTAATGATGCACATACAAGTGTAAACATTTATCATATCCATGTTCATTGTGGGTAACGTCATGCACATACAAGTGTAAACATTTATCATATCCATGTTCATTGTAGGTAATGATACACATACAAGTGTAAACATTTATCATTTCAATGTTCATTTAGGGTAATAATAATTTTATACATGTCAGTGCTCCATGTTCATTGTGGGTAATGTTACACATGCAAGTGTAAACATTATCATTTCCATGTGCATTGTGGGTAATAATAATTTTATACATGTCAGTGTAAACATTATCATTTCCATGTTCATTGTGGGTAATGTTACACATGCAAGTGTAAACATTATCATTTCCATGTGCATTGTGGGTAAAAATAATGTTACACATATGTCAGTGTAAACATTTATCACAGCATATATATGTAGAACACACATTCTCATTACACATATATCCATTGCTTTATATTATGTAGAACATTTATGTTTTTTATGTACACTGCAGTATATAGTTAGTCTGCTTTTAGTGTGATAACCTGCATGTTACTACATTGTTAAACTTCATGTACCCATTTCAGATGCCAATACAGGACAAAATATCCTCCTCATGCCTGGTAAGTCTATATATAGATATCACATGACTGCTTTATAGCCCAAGGGTGTCCAATTGTAAACTAAAGCACCACTAAATAATATGTCTGCCATTGTAAAATTCTCTATTGTTCTAGATTGAAATATATATTTTTTTAAATTTCTAATTTTACTGTTTTTGAGCTTTTATGGTTGCCTGATGCCCGGTGCCAGGAAGGATGTCTGACATTTTAAGACATAATTACTTTATACAGCATCTACGCTAAAACTACAGGGTAGATTTTAACCAAACTTCACAGGAATTATTTATAGATCTGTCTCTCATTAAGCTAGATTTTAAGTTGGATAAAGGAGCTTAAAATCGAGTTTAAAAACAAAATCTTAAAATTCTTCTTCTCAATAGCTACAAAGTCTTAGGGCAAGACATTTTGTATCTTGCATGGCCTAATGTTTTGCTACTAGTGTTATGCCTCTTATGTCAAATTTGGTCAAAGCCTGTGGGTCACTTATTTTATATTGACTTAATTACATTTCAAAACCGCATTGCAGGTTGCTTAGATATTTGGCATGAAGCATTTCTTGTTGGTAATCTACAGATGTTTTTGGATAATGCCTGTTGGGTCACACTAATGCCATCCTTGGCAGGTTGAATAGATTTTAAGATTTCTTTTGAAAATTCTTCTTGTTAATAGCACTACCTACAGCTAAAATATTTGATGAATAGGACTATTGAGTGGGCATATACAAAAGTTAGATAAGTAGATGTTAACATGTCTACCTCCTTGTGTCTAGTGGTTCTCCACAAAGCAAAGTCGTCCTTGGTTCAAAAAGGCACCCCCTTGTTATATACATGTAGACTTCTGTATGAAAAAAGTTTTATTACATTTACCCATGTGAGCAATATAAGCCCACTTGAGTCTCTTGTTTATGGTATTTACTAGAAAGTTATTTAATAATTGTATTCTTTTGTTGAGTAATTGCTGAGTTCTTGGATTTTTTCTAGCTATACTTAGGCATTTTGTCCTGTTTATTTTTGTAATAACTAAATTTCTCTCTGTTACCCAAAAGGGAAGAAAAAAACATATTTTGATTAATTAAAATTTAATGACTGGGCAATAATTTTTTCTCTTGATAAAGTAATGAAGTTATTGTTTATTTTTTACTGAGCCTATTCCAGAAATTTTAACTATTTCCTACCTATATAACATGTAATACATCACTTTACATACCAATTATAATGTATCACAAAATTAATATTTGTATATACATGAACCAACAATGGGCCACATTGCATGATGATATTATACCAAATTGCATGAGTGCAAGAACTTTGTATAAAAGTTTTTTTAGCTTTGGTAAATGGCTTAATTAGATTGCTCTTTAAATGAGCCGCATCATGACAAAACCAACATAATGGGTTTGCGACCAGCATGGATCCAGACCAGCCTGCACATCCGTGCAGTCTGATCAGGATCCATGCAGTTCGCTATCAGTTTCTCTACTTGTAATGAAGTTGGTAAGCGAACAGCATGAATCCTGATCAGACTGCGTGGATGCGCAGGCTGGTCTGGATCCGTGCTGGTCGCAAACCCATTATGATGGTTTTGTCGTGACGCGGCTCAAATTGAGTTGTTGAAAACAGACAGAGATGAACAGCTTCTTCAAGGTCTTGTAGCATTCTTCTTTACAAATAGTCACTGAGTTTACTTTAAGTTTATGTCTGTCTTTACAAGGGGTAAAAATGTTTACCACAGTGCATGGACATACATCAATTAACTAAACCAATGGTCTTGATATATTCTGTTTTTTTTAACAATATGATTTTCTACCAGACATCTTCAGTAAGGAATGGAAAATTGAAAACAGTACTAAAAACAAGATATTAAGGGTAGCATTCTTAAGTAATACTGTGATTGGGTTGTTATCAAACATTGAGGTTAATTAAGATATCAACTAACTAGATTTTTTTTTTTCAATTGTAAAACCTTGTAAGCCCATAATGTCCATTTTATCCATTGTCAGGTGTCTTTCTTGATATATAATTTCTTTAACAACATGATAAGTCCTTGATGTCACTGGGCTGATTTTAGCGATACTTACAGTAAAACTTCACCTGCCATTTCATTGTCTGATTGTAATGATTCACTATTTCAATCTGTTTCCCCCATTCATGTCATTGTCTGTATGTAATGATTCAGTGTAAACTATTCCCTCCATCAAGTTATTGTCTGTAATGATTCACTGTTAACTATTTCCCTCTATGTTATGGTTAACTGTAAACTATTCCCTCACATCATGTCATTGTCTGTCTGTAATGACTCGCTGTAAACTTTTCCCTCCATCATATAAATGTCTGTAATGATTCACTGTAAACCATTCCCTCCCATCATATAAATGTCTGTTATGATTCACTGTAAACTATTCCCTCCATCATGTAAATGTCTGTTATGATTCACTGTAAACTATTCCCTCCATCATATAAATGTCTGTTATGATTCACTGTAAACTTTCCCCCCATTATGTTATTTTCTGAAGTAATTCACTGTACCATCATTAAAATGTCTGTAATGATTCACTGTAAACTATTCCCTCCCATCATGTAAATATCTGTAATGATTCACTGTAGACTATTCCCCCATCATGTCATTGTCTGTAAGGATTTACTGTAGACTATTCCCTCCCATCATGTAAATGTCTGTAATGATTCACTGTAAACCATTCCTCCCATCATGGTAACCCGTATTGCCTGTAATGAATCACTGTAAACCATTAATTTTACTCCAATCATGTCATAGTTTGTGATGATTCACTGTAAACTATTCACTACCATAATGTCATTGCTGAGTAATGATTCACTGTAGACTATTCCCCCATCATGTCATTGTCTGTAATAATTTACTGTAGACTATTCCCTCCCATCATATTATTGTCTGTAATGATTCACAAAATTGTGTCAACTCTCATCATATCATTGTTTGCAATATTTCACAGTAAATACTTCCTCCCATTATGATGTAGTTAATTAATGTATGTAATGTGTCAAAATAAAGATTTCCTCCCATCATTTTATTGTTTGCAGTGTTTCACAGTAAATTGCGCCCCACCCCCAATCATGCTGTAGATAATATGTAATATGTCACTGTAAAGTGTCCCCTCCCATCATGTCATTGTTTGCAGTGTATCACAGTAAATAGTTCCCTCCCATCTTGCTGTAGTTCATATGTAATGTGTCAAAGTAAAGCGACCCCTCCTATCATGTCATTGTTTGCAGTGTATCACAGTAAATAGTTCCCTCCCATCATGCTGTAGTTAATATTAAATGTGTCAAAGTAAAGCGCCCCTCCCATCATGTCATTGTTTGCAAAGTTTCACAGTGAATTGTCCCCTCCCATCATGTCATTGTTTGCAATGTTTCACAGTAAGGCGTTATTTCCTTAAATGTTGTTGTTTTCACCATTGTTTACTTTAAGATAGAGATACATTTATTGGAAATGCACTATGCAATATCTTCAGAAAAGCACTATGAAGTTTCTTTTCTATTTATTACTGACTGTAAAATGTTCTTAACTATCATAATTGTTGTATATTTTGAAATTGTCTTTACCATTATTTTGTAAATTTTATTCACAAACCATTTGTATTTCTTACATATTTCTCTTAAGCAATCTGATGGTGTGTATTTTACAATTTTTGTACATATATACTTAAATACATCTGCATGTACATTGTATTTCTTACATATTTAAACAGGATATTTCAGTGCCTATTACACAAATTGTTATCATAAAGATATTTACCTGTATATCATCACCTTAGTGCAGTAACAGGTTAACTCCTATAAAATTATATAAAGAGTTAACCAGTTACTGCACTAAGGTGACAGTACGACGATACAGGTATGCTGTTATCCGTCTGCCATATTTGGTAACTTGATGTTATCGGGAACCTGGCAAAAGTGGGAATTTTTCCTAGCTTATTGCGTGGTACAAACAAACTTTTACCAGCATAGCTTCACATAACAAAACTGTTCACAATATACATGTAGTAATTGACCTGTTTGCTTTTTTTCCATATATTACCATAAATTAGTACAACACTACAAAGTTGTACCTGTACAAAGTTTGTTTGCACCTAAGAATATGCTGGGAAAATCTAAAATAATTTAGTGTATTAATTACCGAAAAACTGTATTGAGATGTTGTTTATTTCAGTAATGAATTGTCAGCAAATCAGTCAGAAATAGAATAATTGTCTTACGACTTTAAGTTACCTAAACTGAAAATAGCATCGAATAACAAATATATAAAAAGTGTGTTGATAATTAGCTTTGAATTACAAGTACATAAAAAGTGTGTTGATAATTATCATAATTATTAGAGTCTGCAGACAATAGTGTTATATAAGTAAAACAATGCTGGTGTAAGCATTGATAAATTGTCACCTTAGTGCAGAAACAGGTTAAGTCCTTCTAAATTTAATAGGAGTTAAACCAGTTATTGCACTATTAAGAGTATGAAATATGATATTCATTTATCACATGAAAGGCTTATCTGAAAATGAAATCTTCTTTAAGTTTAATGATTAAAAAGTAGTTACAATAAAGAAAAATGACTGAAAATATTTAATTTAAAATGGATTTTTTTAGAATATTTCTACAGAAATTCTTTCTCATATTAAATAAATCACTTTAATATTAGTATTGTTTGTAGTTTTACAGTTTTAAATCTTGTTTCGTTATGTTTATAGTTATGTCTGTTTATAACAATACATGTAAACGGCAAGTATACATCTCAATATAACTCAATACAACTTAATTTACTTGTATTCTTTTATTCACTTTATCAGTTTGTTATTGCAATAAAAGTACACAGATTGGTCAATATTTATTATTCTAATAAAACAAACAAAAAATGGACCACTGTTTAATATAGAAAGTGAACACAGAAACTGTTTATATTTCAGATGACAAAATGGATGTAGATGAAAACCCTAAGAGTCACCATACCCTTGAGTTCTTCGAGATGTGCGCACAATTAATTACCACACTGGCTCGATAAAAGGTTCACATCGCCAGGTCACCATGTTACCACGCCCTTTAATTCTTCGAGATGTATTCAAATTTTTAAGGACACTAACACGATAAGTTTCAAAATCGCCAGTACCTGTTTCAGCTGTAAAAACTACGTAGACTTGATTATTTTTTAGTAATCAAATGTTTCTCAAAGAAATTGTTGGAAGTTTTGTGCTCAGAACATAGAATGCATAGTAAAAATTAAGTTATGGGACTGGTTAGAACCGTTGTAAATGATCAGTATGAAATATTACAATTATGATATCTGAAAATTGGTTCTGAAGTAGGTTTAAATACTGGATTTTATGTTATTGTCCTATTTGTTTTTTAGCTAATTGTGAAAATAACAAAAAAGATACCTGGATTAATTTTTGAAGTTTTTTTATCTAACCCCTTCCGTATTAATAATCGAGAGATGAATTGATAAATATGTATTAAAAGATGAGAAAAAACAACAATAACGATATTTGTTAAGATTTTATAGAATGTAATTGTACACATTCAAGATTATTGTATAGATTTGTGTATTATTTTTTTGTGATTTGTTTAGAGTATATAGTTAAGATTGTTTTAAATGTTTTATAAAATCATGTTGAAATTTTTAGACATTTACTAAAAAAGAATCATTTTCATTTTATGTTTATTTGGCTTATATATACTAGAATATTAGAGACACAAATTGAAGACATGTTACTGATCCTAAGTTAATGTTATATTGTTCCTGAAATAAATAATTTGTATGAAGTAAATATAATATTGACCATGAAATAAATATTTTGTATGAAGAGAATATTATATTGACCATGAAATAAATATTTTGTTTGAAGAGAATTTAATATTGGCCATGAAATAAATATTTTGTTTGAAGTGAATATAATGTTGGCCATAAAATGAACAATTTGCATGTAGAAAATTTGAGGTTGGCCTTGAAATATATAATTTGTATGAAGTGAATTTAATATTACCCATGGAATAAACAATTTGCATAAATTTAATATGTATATTTTATTTTAGAATATCAACAGAGCATTAAACAGCTTATACAATGCTTTTTGGAGTTTTTTTTTATGACTACTTGTTCTTATTGCCCTATGAAAGACTGAGTTCATAAGTCCAGCATTGTCTGTTATCTACTTAGGCAAATTGTATATTAAATCAAAGTTTATTTTGGGAAATAATTTTGATTTTAATTTCAATTTTTAATTTCAATTCTTTGATTTTTCTCATTTCTCAAAGTGTTTATTTTTCTGTTATGATGATTTTTTATTTCTATTATGTTATTTCTTTCGATAACTTGATAAACAACATAATTTTGAGTATTCTAGAAAATTAAGAAAGCATGTTCATGGAGATTTATTTGTTATGCCTTAAAATGATTGTTTAGAAATTTAAGAAAAGGATTACTGATTTTTATCAATTTGATAATTTTAGAAATATAACCTGATATGATATGTGATTGTGTTTTAAATTAGATTTCAAAAACCCATTCTGCTTTGTCTCCATTGTCGTTCATCATTGGTCCTGTTACATTGGTGACAAAAAAAACAACAGAAAATTTGTTTATTCTTTTATCACATTGTACATAATTTTTTTTTCTGATTTTTTTTTCCAAGGCAATACTAGTAGTATTTTGTCGTCTGCAATTAAACAAATCTGATTTTTATAGGTTTTTTTTTTTGCTTTTAAGTATAGTCATTACTGAAGAGAAGTGAAATTTTTAAAAAATGTGTAAATAGGAAAAAATAGTGTATATATTGTATATAAACCATGAACATAGAGTGTTTTTTAAGTGATATCAAAGTACTGTTAAGTGTGTTTTAAATGTTCATGTATACTAAACAATGTATTAAAATGTCAGAAATTGGTAGCTTTAGTTTTGTTTTTCTTGATTTTTCCCTTAGCTCCATGGGGAGAGTATCAAATTTGTATCACATGTAAATTGGTAATAACTGGTTAGTTATCCAGGAAATTAAGTCAAATTTTACCACAGAGATATGACCAAAAATTTGTTAATGAAAACTGAAGATCACATAGTTTAGATTTAAAGAGGGAAACTTATTTAAATCTTGTTGGAAACTACAGTGCCAAGTGATAAGAATTTTAGACATGTAAAATTATGTAGTACCTCTACAAAAGTTATAAAACTCGTGTTCTTAGGGTTAAAATTGACTGCCAAGAGTTGTACAAAAAAAACTACACCGCCATGAGATAATATATGCAGCATTGCATTGTTAAGCTCTACAAAAGTTACACGAAACGTGGGTTCAAAGATGTACCCATATCGGGTCACATTTTTTGCATTGACTTACATTATAGGCGAGAAAAACTACAATGCACAGAGCTAAGGTGTTTGGTAATGACTATGTGATCGTCTATAAAAGTTACTATATCATACCGGTGGGGTCAAAATCAGTACCATTTTTTGGGTTCACTAATTTTTCATACCCTTACTGTATATATGAGAGCACATTTAAATATGTGAGACTGCATGGCGTAGAACTTGGACATTTGGCATGTAAATTTACCTATTTTACCGTTTCTAAAAATATGAATCATGACCTTTGGTCCAAAATGGCTCCGCCACAGGGTCAATTTTGCCACTCTAAATTTAAACAGAACTAACTTTTTTTAAGAAAAACTTGTCCTCAGAAAGTACAGTGTCCTGAGATTAGAAATTTTATGACCCTCTCAAAATTATTCAAGGTCAAAGGTCCCGCCCAGTCTACATGGACTTGACGTTAAATATGCTTGTACGACACGGCAAAGAGCTGAGATATTTAGCATGTGGCATTGCCTGGTGAACCGCCACCAATAGACTTATTGTAAAACTTTGGCTTCCTTAATGACCTTCTTCTGTTTTGTAAAATTATGACCGTTTCCAGCAAACGATTTCGGGGGTCGCGAACTATAGGACCATCATGCCTCTCTTGTTTTATATATATATATATTATGCTTATTTCTCAGTTTACATTGTCAGAAATTTCATTATGTTTGATGATTTGTTTAATGATTTTGCGAGTTTGTTTTAATTGATTTATGAATTATTTGACTACAATTTTATAAGTTAGAAAATGATCAGGTATTAACACTGACTCAACCAAGGGACTGTTAATTTCACTAAGCCTTTGAAAAAAAAACCAAACAAAACAAAAAACACAACAACAAACACAAACAAATAAACCGCTACTTGTCTCAAGCCAATACTATAAACTATTGAGCATCTATCCTAGACTACCAAAGGTTTGCAAATTAAGACTGGAACCCGTCGTTAATAATCTTTGGGACCAAGAACACTCACGGTAAAGCAATATTAACGGAGATGGTTTGACTATGCGATTCCTGAAGCAGGCGTGGGCCAGTACAAAGTATTTTGTCACCAGCCTTTTTAGAACGAGCTGGTGAATAGTAACTTAGTTATCTCTATACACAAGGTCGTGATAATAATTGCAAATATTAGAAGAACTCTGTACAAGATTCCACATTATCTTGACCCTTTTCATTTTTTTAAAGGTTTTTTTGACAGAATTTTGTCAGGATTGGTTTCTCAGTATATGGTACTTTCATTTCCGGATAGTTACATGTATATAATTATACCTGCCACAGAAACAACAAAATCCCTTTGCATTATACGTTCACTACCGCCATCTAAGATCTTCCTTGATAAATTGGTACTATTTTTAATCGAAATTAGATTGAAAGAGAATGCAAAGGTTTTGTTGCTTTTTGTATAAAGCCAGTCTATTATTGTCACACGCTTTATTTTTGCTGTTTGAATTGTAAAGCAGACGTCTGTTCATGTTTTAGAAATACAGCTTGGCTATATCGTTGTCTGTTCCTATATCAAATAACAGCAGTCTTGGTCAAATCTTGTAAATTTGGCCTGCTTTATCTTATGATTGACGGATACCTTTAATCTCGCGCTTGTTATAGATCCTTTCACATGCTCATTTGTCAAGAAAGATTGATTTGTTTTATTGGAAAAAAACAAAAGAAACAAACAACGGCTTCCACCAGCGGATGTAGAATGATTAGTTTTTATACAGCACTAGCCCCTCCAAATACGTACATAAACTAAATATTTTAAATTAACATGCATGTAAAATCGCATGCCGTTTTCAAAGAACAAAGATAAATTTTACTTTTCTAAACATGAAAATTTGCAAATACGTGTATATATGCTGTATACATGCGAAAATAAGAAGAAAAAATGAACACGAACCACATGAAATGGTGCCCCCCCCCCTCATTAACCATCATCAGACTACGCCCCTGTTCTTGCTAGACAGTCAAAATTTGCGGCATTTGTGATGTTTCCGACTTCTTTTTATTTCTAAAACAAATTTGATATATACAGAGGTAAGCATTTTAGCACTATTTAAAGGTTTAGAATGAGTAAATTCAATTTGGTTTTTATAACTTCTTTCACCTTTTTCCGATTTCGTATATTAACAAATCCATTTACATATTTTAATAAAAATTTAGTCAGTTTCTTATAAGAAAAACAAAACAATGGAATATGATTAAAATATCTATGTCAGTTCTAAGGAAAGTATGAACATACGGAAGAATAGGTCATCGTACATTTTTAGCATATATATTTCTTTTATCTGCTTAAGCAATCTTTAAATTTAATTCCAACAGATTTGAATTATACACAGTTGACTTGATAGGACAAACATCAATGAAAAAAAAATAGCAACCAGAATATGTTCTTTTTTTATTAAAGGATGATCCATAAATTCACCTTTGTTGTTCCGATCATAAGAGATTTTTTTAATTCCTTTTATTGTAAAAGTTATCTAGATAGAAGTAATGTCTTTTTAAGGTATCACTGCAGCATTATTAATAACAAAATGTAAAGACAATAAACTTACACCATTTTACGGTTGGTGTTAAAGTGTTTCTTTTCAAACCGAACTGATTGTTTGAATTCAGTATTTCCAAGTACAGCCAGGACTCATTACAACGACACTGTTGGTTCCCAAAGGATATGTCAGTATATCGAATTTGTCAGTATATTGAATTTCATCATTCATCATGTAATGATATGGTTAATTACTGGTATCTGAGCAATATGTTAACTCTTAAGTTTATTATACACATTACATATCATACGCATAATACAACAACTTTACTAAAATGATAACAACTAAATGAAAAAATCCTTTTTACTTTATTTATATGAAATTATTTCGTTTTTGGTTCAAAAGTTAAGTTAGTTCGTTGTCCACCTAAATGCTGGAGGTTCTGCCATTATTTTAATAAGTCACAAGTTAACAAGTGTCACAAAATTCGGCAGACAATCAACTCACAAAATTGCTATCTGTATTAAAAGAATAAAAGCCATATCAAATGCACAGGTCCCGTGGTATACTCTTTTGAAGACAAGTATATTTAATGATACATTGTATGTGGCAGACTAAGCTATAATAAGCTGTGGATTGATCCTTAGTGATGAAAGGTTTCTTCCTCTCAACAAAGGAATTTTGGGCTTGAGACCATTCTTCATCATTATGGCTCAGTACTGGTTACTTCCAGGAACCAACAAGAAAAGTTTAAATAATTTTGAAACTTTCATCATAATCGAGCTGAAAGAAATATGTTTTTGACATTGTATTTAAATTTTTGTATTTCACATTTTACGACTTAAGGTTGATTATTTCTGTTTGATATTGCTCAATTACTTCCATGAATTTTAGAGGCAATTTCATGTTTATTAATATGTTTATACATGTATTTCAACAGATGATGTACCGAGTAATACCATTTGCCGTCTGTCTCTTAGCACTGACAAGTTCGAGTCACGCACTTCCGGTTTCAACGTCACGAGATTTTAATTTTGCCATGGATTTCGAGCAGACGACAATGTCTAAGCCGACTACAACAATAGACTATGACCTTGCCGACTTTGATGAGTACGGGAATGATCCAGGAATTTATGACGTTGCAGGTTCTCCTGATGCGATACATCTAGCAGACGACACTGATCAAGGGTTTGTAAATAAACTTGATTTCGACACCGGACAGTCTTTGTTTGAGTATGGATTTACTGTTACAGCAAGTGTTTCGAAGTCCCCAATAAAAGGCGGAGGAATATCTGATGAAATTTCAGAAAATTCTAGAACTGGCAGTGAAGGCGGGCCATCTGATGAAGGAACTAATCCTTATTCCAACAATCAACAGGTAGCAAATGTTATTCCACCTGAAAACAATACAAATTACAATGTGTATGAACAGATAAACCAAAATAATCAGAATGAAAATGAAGATGACATTATTATTGGAAGCGGCGGTCAAATAAAACAATCGTATCAAGGATCACAAGTGAAAAGTAATGATGAAGTGTCATCAGAACTAAGCGGTAATGATAAAGTTGTGAACAATATCATCCCCAAACAAAACAATCAAAGTGAAAGTGGAGCAGGTTCGTATACTAAAACAAGAGTAAACTCCAATGAAGATATGAATAAAGACAATCATCGTGGGATTGGTTCATTTAATGCGGGAAGTTATTATACGGAAAATACGGATGAAGAAACCGCCAATGACTTAGCTGAATTACCAAATTCGCCTGGACTTAAGGGAGAACTGTCTCAAGGACATTCTTCAAGTCCTAAGAAGAATGATGGTTCTCCAGAAAGAACAGATCAACAGCTTCCTTTAGGTACTAATTTGAAATCACCTGATGAAAATTGGTCACCTACAGCATCGGACGATGAAAACGGGTCACAATCAACTTCGGCTGGACCCGGGTCACCGGAAACTTCAGATGAAACCGGGTCAGTATCAACTTCAGATGAAAGTAGCTTCGGGTCAACTTCTGATGACAGCGGATCACAATCAACTTCTGATGAAAACGGGTCACATGCAACTTCAGATGAAAATGGATCACTATCAACTTCAGATGAAAACGGATCATGGGCAACCTCAAATGAAAACGGGTCACCAGAAACTTCAGATGAGCAGGGGTCACTGTCAACCTCAGATGAAAACGGATCACAGTCAACTTTAGGTGAAACCGGATCACATACTACTTCATATGAAAAGGGGTCAACGGAAACTTTAGATAAGAGTTCACTGTCAGCCTCAGATGAAATAAAGTCTCAATCAACTTCGGATGAAAACGGGTCACAATCAACTTCGGATGAAAACGGGTCACAATCAACTTCAGATGAAAACGGGTCACAATCAACTTCAGATGAAAACGGGTCACAATCAATTTCAGATGAAAACGGGTCACAATCAACATCTGATTCAGATGAACTCGGGTCACAATCAACTTCAGATGAAAACGGGTCACAATCAACTTCAGATGAAATCGGGTCAGCATCAGATCAAAATGAAATACATTCATTTTCAAAAGATAACAGCATTGAGAAAAACAAAGAGGGCACACTCCCCTTTGATACAATAGGGGGATTTTCGGAGGATTATGATAAAGATTTTGATTATGACATTGATGCCAAAGAGTCTGATTTAGCTCAAGTATCGAATAAAACAGACAACGAAGCAGCCGATGATCATGGCCACAGCACAGAAAGCTATGATTTAGCCATGTGCTTCTCATCTACTGATGAAGATTATAAATATTGTCCATTGCTCCGCTCTTTATATTCTATCTGTAAACTGCAATTCAAACAGGAGTGTGCATCAAGTGATGCAGAATATATTTCCAGCATCGGTGCAGTCTCGTCAAACTTAAAAAGCTCTTCTTTACCAGATACTAGTATATCAAGTGATTCGTTTGAAGACTTGTATCCGGACACTTTGGATAGTACTTCATCTGGTGATTACTTCGGTAGTAGCAGTAAAACAAGCTCGATGTCAGTTGAGGCTATTGAAAATTTATCAACTTCATTTGAAAGGTCACGATCTATATTTGATGTTATCAGTATAATAAAAGAGGCATGTGGCAGTATCTGTGCACTTGCTGAAAATGCCCCGATTGGTGACACAAATCAAGACGTAAGAGATGATGATGAAGGTAAAAACAGAGATGTGGACAGTTCAGAGAGCTCGGACGATGCTAATGACTTAAATGAAGCAGATACAAAAGCTGTCGTGGATTCTGACGAAGATTTAGATGACCAAAGTACCAGCACTAAAAGTTCCAGGGATTATCCTATCAAGAAAACTTCAAACGAACAATTAGTAGATGATAGTTTAACGAGTAGCGTCTATGAAGACAGCATATCAAGTACCGATTCAAGTGGGGGTATCAGTTTTGAATATACCAGTTACGCTTCGGAGAATACTAGTGATCAATCAAAATGACTGACTTTTACATATGAATAGACTCGTAAAAACAAACATATAGTTTTTAGAGACTAGGAACGTTAGATAAAGTATTATATGCTTTGTGAGCAGCATATGAATGATAGATGTTAAGTGGCATTCCCAATGTTTACACTTCATCTTGATGAAATAAAATATCTACATTTGTGAAAGGTAGTCAGTATAAACATCCCTTACACCCTTTATGTGTAGTTTGTGCTTTATGAAGGCACATTCGCCCGTGTAGGCACAAAAGCAGATTTTGTTGCAGAGTACAGACCCCGGGCCTTATAATGTTAATCGAAATACATGTAGAATCAATTCCAAACACAGAGAACACTTTAATAAGCACGATAAGATGTTTGTACAGCTTAGGAGCCCGGATTGAAATAGCCTCAATGTTTTCTTTATTAAAAAGATGATGATAAAACGACCAATAAATGACGACATTGCTTTTGTATCTCAATCTTAAGTCATATATTTAGACTGTTAGACCTAGGGTGGCCGCGAAAATATGTGACACAAATATGTCGTCTGTAATTCAAGTGCCATCAATGTCTTTTTTCATATCATGCATGAAGCAAACAGGCCGTTTAATTTTTGTTTTCATAAATATGTACCATTTACTGGCGGCATGAATTTGGGTTTTCCAGGGTAAAAAAAGTAAGCATACATGTATTCACTGGCCAGGTTATCGTAGATTATATTCATAACTGGATTGCAGGACTCCATCCCGGAGATTTAATGGGAAACAGAAAGGTATCAAATGCAGATGTTTCAAATGATATGTAAAATACAAGTATATGTGTGCAAATATTCCGGCAAGAAAGATGTTCTAATAAATATGTACATGTATCCTAATGTGCACGTTCATTGTTGAACATTTATATATTGCGTTTTAAAAAACTTACCTCTATTAAAAAAATTACGTCTGATTTAGCATCTATATCAACAACTACCTGTATGTCATGAACTGGCCTTTGTAAATGGTGAAAAACAGATGCTTTGGTAGCATACAAATTTGGACATCTAATAATATTTGTATAACTGAAAATATTTTTCTGACCAAAATTATCTAAAATTGAACAAATCTTGATACTTCATAACTAATGCTTCTGTTTCAATTTTGCTAGTATAATAAATCTATCTGCAAAAGTTATGATAATTAGCCAGTAAAAACTAACCCAATTTACATTACATGTTATTTTTTAATAGCATTTCAGATCACATTTCACAAAACACAATTTCATTTTCACAAAGTAAATGGTAAGTATTTTAACCTATCATATAATCTATGCTTTTATAAACAAATTTCAAATATTATCTCATATGTCTATTAATAAACATGGGTTTCATTTGTTAAAGTGATGCCAATTTGAAACTGAATGCGTTTATAGCCACTATATTCCAAACCAGTTGCTGATCTCTGCTTGACACCTTCTGATGATTGTCTAAGAAGAAAAAATAGCTTTCTGCTATTTATTTGCCAGATGAATGAAAAACAAGCTTAAACAAATGATGCATCATACACTTGTTTTAGAAATCATGCCCCCAACTGTGGCTACTGGAATCCATCTAGGTAATGCAGAATGGCAAGTTTTAATTTCAATTATTAATAAGAACAATTATGATCATGTAATTCTCTTGCTGAGATTCGAATATCCTACACCGACACATGTTAGTAATAATTTTTCACCACCAAGTTTCATATCCTCCTTCTCTTCACTAACTGTCTGAGGATCCACTTTAAACATCACTTGGAAAAAATCTCGGATATGACGAAGATACTGTATGCTACAACAGAAAATAAATACAGTCTTATAAGAAAAAAGCCCTCACAATTTTTAGTTTAATCATTACAAAGCTAAATACTTTACATGGACATGTTCATTTTTTCAATCTGGACTAAACCATTTTTCATTTCTAGGGGAAGTCGCAAAAATAGATTTATACTGGACAGGAACTAGTGTTGACCATGATCAAATAGGCATGCAGGCTGATCTTGGTCTTCACTGGTGACATGGGTTGAAGCAGGTGCTGCCAGCATCCGTGTCTAAACCGAGTTAAAACTGTTATACTATAAATTCCAACTTTCGACACTCATTTTATGTTTGCGCTGAGTTTCTCATAACTATAGTTAATAATAAATCTATATTAGGCGACTTTTAAAAAGATGGATACTGCAAAAGACATCAGAGCTAAGGCTTGACACTGATAAGTTATAAGGTAAGGTAAGTCAAATGAACAAACTTTTGTAAGCTTTATCCACCGCTACAGATCCAATTCCATTTTTTGATAAGAAAACAAGAGGCCACTCAAATATTTGTTTATTTCAGTTTTAGAGGCCCCTTAAAATGTTTAAAACAGTCATCATAAATTTTAGTGAAGAAAATCATGTAAGCATGCTATAGAGATCTATAAATGGTAAATGAAAAGAAGTTACTGAAAATTATGGACTGTGTGAAATATAAAGGAGGTTGAAATACTATGACATTAATATTACTTATAATGTTTGTTAATTATATACCTATAATCTGTTAGTTGGCCGGTCTGTAATTTAGAAACATCTTGTTGTCCTAACACCATCATTAAAGCTGCTACACTTTGACTGATGGAATCAACACATCCACCCTGAAATTAAATTTAATTTTTCAAAATAATTTATCAGTATACATTTATTAACCTCATATAATAAACAGAAACAAGGGATGTGTATTACCAGGCAAGATGCGAGACAATATGTATCGTGATACTGACAAGTGATATTCAAATCAGCTTGCCAAACACCTGCATATTGACTAGTACAGTTTAAGATAATGAAACAGTTATATGTAATCACCAGTATCACTATCAATCATTACGAAAGACATGACCCACAGGCTGATGACAAAACACAAATATATATATATAAAAAAAATTGGAATCATCCAGCAAGACTAAAATCCTAAATTTACAGCCCATTCCTTTACGACATTACAAATTTATGTACATGTTATAGTAAAATTATGTAATACTACAATTCTGGTGTATTGAATTTATCTCTACACATTGATTTCTAAATCAATTTCTGTAATATCAATTGTTAAGCAAATTCATCTTTGAAAATTAAGACTGTACTTCTCACAGTAAAATCTTTCTTAGAGTTAGACTGCAATACTGCTATGTTGTGCTTAATCAGGGGGCATTACTCTGCCAACTTCGAATAAATTTGTTCCAACATACCCAGGTGCACAAGTTCAAACATAATGAGTAGTTCATGGGGACAGTAGTTACATCTGACACAAACCAGTCCATGTATGGACAGTGTATCAATGAGACAGACAATGGCAAAACTATATAATCAGGGCATGAAATCAATTTGCAAACATTGCAATTTACCCTGTATATTTCCTGTAGTAGATATTTTGCAGCCTCTTTACCAAGATCCTCTGGAACTGTAGGTCCCTGGTTTGATCCTTTAGGATTAGATACCATCTCAGCTGCATAGAAAGCCCCATCAGTTGTCTCAGCTACCAAAGTCAGACCAAACCCTGGTGACCTAAAAATGATTGAAGAAATATTTTATCCATCTCTAAAAACTTTTTCGGACAAGTAATCTTATGATCACTAGCCGTGTGGGTTCAAACCCAACAGGGGCTAGCCGTTGTTTCCTTGAGCAAGAAACTTTACACTCATTGCTCAATACTGGTTGGTTCCAGGAACGGATTCGAAAGTGTGTCTATAAGCTTATAGCTTCCTACACAATCGAACTAAAAATAAATTCTGTATAAACCAAATTTTTTATTGACCACCTTAAGAACATTCCTGTAAATTGTGGTTAAAGTCTTACATGTGGTTTTCAAGAAGATGTTGTTTTAATAATGCATCATGCAGGATGGACAACTGACAACCACAACTCCATGCCAATTAACAATTTTCAATATAATTTTTTTTTTAACAAGGAGTACATGTAGCACATCGAAAGAAACTACATGTACTAGTATCATAATTCACTGCCTACATTATAAAATATAATATATAAATACATAACTATATAAATCATCATTAACTTGATAGAAAACTTACTTTCCAGATTGAGCACCCTTCATATGGTCTGTGTAGATGTAAATATCGGGCAGGAAAGAATTGAGAACACTTCTTGTGGCATCAACAACACGATTCGCTGTGGCCGGTGACATTCTTGTGACCCAACTTAAGATTGTGTTAAGAAAATTGCAACATTTTATAATTGGTCACTTGTCATCATTGGTTATCAGAATTATTGGTTATCAAAATTAATCGGCGATGCTGATTCAGATTAGGGATTAATCAATCAATCAAATGTATTACAGTGAAAAACTTACTGAATGACATAATCCTGATGCCACTTGTCATATTTTACCCTTAGCCAGCTGGCAGCAACATATTCTATCCATGCCACCAGTGCAGACCACAATCAGTCAACAGGGATGTGACCAGGCTCTATACTGTTGTTACATTTATCTTAATGTTTACATTTTGATACTGAAATCCCTTCAACTTGAAATGGACTATTCCAAATTCAAAGCTGGGCAAACACATAACTAATATTCAGCAAATTACAGCTTATACTCTTTACAACATTTCTACTTATTAAAATATTTTTTAGCTTTTATAAAAAGTAACACAAAATATGTGGGTATGCTCCTTTGAACAATCTGCAAAATTTTTATGCTGAATTTAATTATGCTATGAAAAATATTTACTGATTCTTTTTTTTTTTACCAGAATCTGCTCTATAAACCCAAAATTCTCCTACAGACAATTTAAGAAAGGATACGCAACACCCCTGATTCTTTTAACTTTTCCTGGTTCTGTAAAATTTATAGGTCTGAGTTTCTGTCGGCATGGACATCGAAATAAAACCTCTCCTCCACCTTCTGGTGCAGCTCCTCGTTTAGTTACCTATAATTAACCAAAATATAATGTTTTAAATGCATGCAATTTCTGCCTTAGTAAGATGCCAACTTTTTATTATCATGATTAATTTACAATGTTTTTTTTTTTTTAATAATTCAAAACTTACTTTAGCCTTACTTATAGCAATATCTAATGATTATTCCAAATCTGATTCAAACAAGCAAATTTGTTGATTTGATATCCCATTATATAATAATAATCACTATTGATAAGTATTCAGTACCTCAGAATATGAAAAGAAACTGAATTTAGTTATAACGACACAAGCAAAATGGATATTATAGTAAAGAACATTCCTTTGAGATACAATGTAATGGCATTTGGTCATTTATTTTCAATATGTTATATAACAAATGAAGGCTCAAAATAGTAAGTAACTAAATGCAATTAGACCAAGAGTGAATATAAAACGTAAAATACTATATGTCATGTATATGATATAAACTCTGATTTATCTGGCAATACATTTGTACTATCTGTAAGTATCTGAGAAGAAGATATTAAAATTTTTCTTTATAAGTGTCAAAAGTAACCAATGGTTAGAGCAATTCTAACCTTAAAGAGAATATTTGTATGGTTACTGTATTGATCAAGTACAAGTTTACCTTGAGTTCTAAGCCATCATCTGTCCCAAGAAATCTCTTTAAAACTGGAATGGTGGAGAGTTTTATCATGTCAACCTAAACATGGAAATATAAAAAATATCATTTAGAACAGCAACTAGATAAAGCACATGTAAATGTCTTGATCAAACATATCTATACATGTAGATAAAGATATGGTGAGTATTATTAAGTCTACAATGTTTCAATCAGCAAACATACAACATTATTATTTGACTGAAGACAAAGTGTTAAATAAGGCCAATGTTGAGAAACTGAAGAACAGATCAGTGCTGTCAACAGATTAGTGTGAACAACAGACACCAGATAAGTGCTGACAACATATTAGTTTGGTCAACATAATAGTTTGGTCAACATATTAGTGCTGACAACATATTAGTGCTGACAACATATTAGTTTGGTCAACATATTAGTGCTGACAACATATTAGTTTCGACAACATATTAGTTTGGACAACATATTAGTTTGGTCAACATATTAGTTTGGACAACATATTAGTTTGGACAACATATTAGTTTGGTCAACATATTAGTTTGGACAACATATAAGTTTGGACAACATATTAGTGCTGACAACATATTAGTTTGGGCAATATATTAGTGCTGACAACATATTAGTTTGGACAACATATTAGTTTGGACAACATATCAGTGCTGACAACATATTAGTTTGGACAACATATTAGTGCTGACAAAAGATTAGTTTGGACAACATATTAGTTTGGACAACATATAAGTTTGGAAACATATTAGTTTGGACAACATATTAGTGCTGACAACAACAGATTAGTGCTAACATTAGATCAGTGCCGGTAGCCTGGTAAAAGGATCAGCAGTGTACCTCACTTCAAGACCATGACATAATTTATAATCAAACACAGAGCTTCACATTTCTCAAATCAATAGTTAAACATGATTAAACACAGCTTGCAGTAATACAGAAATTTAACTATGCATGAATTGCTTTAACACATAATGTACATGCAATGTAGATGAAAAGTAAGTTTATTTCTGCACCATCTTGATCTGGTATGAATTTCAAACAGCTGATACCATTTTTTATGATATCATCATTAAAATCAATAAAAAATAAATAATCTACACGTAATCAGTGAGTAAAACAAGAGTTATTTATTCTAGATTTTTAAAAGACAAATCACTCCATGACTGATACACACCTAAACACTGCCTATTTACCAATAAAACATTACAAAGGTTTGACTACCTCCTTAATAAAGGACACAAAATCATTCAAATTTTCTAACAACTGAATCGCAAGTTATCCTTATATTTTGTTATTATTTTGAAATAAATACATACCGAAGGATCTACTTGATCATTAGTGATGCCAGTCAGCACTGCATGAAGTGGTTTCTTACAAAATGGAGCTAAACACATCAGTACTTCTAGGAAATAGCCAATAGAACGCTGTAGATTACATTCATGCTCAATTTTTCCACCAATCAGAAGTCCTGGATGATACAATAAACTGGTACCTAGAAAAGAAAAGAAAAAACATTTTAAAAACATTTTGCAGGTCTAAATTTTGGACCTTTTACTTTCAAAGGAGAGGACTTTCAAAAACTTTTGTTCTATATATGTATCATTAATTTAAAGGAGTGTGTGACATTTGTTTGTTTGTTTCATTTTATGCCTTTTCCCAACAGTATTTCAGTCATATAGGCGGGTAGTTTCCTAACCATCGTTCCTGGAGAGTTACACCAGTACTAGAGTACCTTCCTCCACGCTAAACTACCAAAGCATCTCCTTAGAATCGAACCCATGCCAGAGTGGTAACTGGATTAGAAGTCATTGACTCTAACCCCTCGACCACGGAGGCGGTTGAGTGTGTGACATATAAGCCCAAGATATCTACATGTATATATTCTTGTATACATGTATAAATCTGAGTAACAAAACCACTCCTGGGCTTGTCCATACAAACCCTTCGGAACTTGACAAAGATGGGGTTTTTCCCACAGATCTTTCTAGATCTTTGTAGAAAACTAATTTTGAGTGAAATGAAAACCCCTTTATTGGTTCATGAGAAGATTTTTAAACCAGCACCCATCTTGAAATTTGGTTTATGCTAATTTTTAGGAAACATGTGTATTAATTAAAAGTTATTTAAATAACATGTAAATCTTAAATAGAACACAAAATTGTTCAGTGAAAAAATATTGTAATTTAAGGTAGAAAAACATAAGATATATATAAAATTCACATAAATTAGCTAAAAATTATCTAGAATTTTTTTTTGGTTTATAAGTTTCATATCTTTTATTTATTCCTGATATTTATCTATTAAGCATCATTGTTAGATGGGATTATCAAAGTGATGTCATCCATTCAGTCTGACTAGGTTCTGTAACTGTTGGTAGCTCAATGTTTCCAACTTTGATATTTAAATCTCTTACTTATCTTCAAAAAAACTCTTTCAGGGTGAATCAATCAGTATGTAAAGATTTTAGACTCACTCACCTGTTTCAGTAACAACAATATTCGACCCATTAGTCAATTTGTCCAAAAGTCTAATTAAACTTGCTTCAAAATCTACAAAACAGAAAAGAAACCATTATCAAATATATACATGAACATGCATATGTAAATTAGTTTGTTATCAAAGATAAACAAGAGGGCCATGATGGCCCTGAGGTCGCTCACCTGTATATAGCCCCCCCCCCCCCCCGGGCCAATTTTTACCCAAGGGCTTTTATTTGTTTATTTGAACAGACTTGGTAGACACCCATAAGAAGATGTTTCATGCTAAACATCTAAGTTCTAGCTCATTGGGTTTTTTAAAAGAAGATTTTTTAAGTTTTTACTATACACATATAGTTAAAAACAATGACACCCCTGGGGCAGGGCCAGTTTTGACCCCAGGGCTTTTATTTGAACAAACTTTGTAGAAATTACTAAAAGATGTTTCATGCTTAATATCTAAACTCTAGCTATATGGGTTTTTTCAAAGAAGATTTTTAAGTTTTTGCTATACACAAAAAAGGAAAATCAATGACCCCAAAAAAGGAAAATCAATGACCCCCGGGGCAGGGCCAATTTTGACCCCGGGGCTTTTATTTGAACAAACTTTGTAGACACTGATTAGAAGATGTTTCATGCTTAATATCTAAACTCTAGCTATATGGGTTTTTTCAAAAAAGATTTTTAAGTTTTTGCCATACACATATAAGGAAAATCAATGACCCCCGGGGCGGGGCCAATTTTGACCCCAGGGCTTTTATTTGAACAAATTTGGTAGACACCCATTAGAACATGCTTCATGCTAAATATCTTAGCTCTAGCTCTTTGGGTTCTTTAAAAGAAGTTTTTTTAAAGTTTTTACTATATGCATATAGGGAAAATCAATGACCCCCTGGGGCGGGGCCAATTTTGACCCCAGGGCTCTTATTTGAACAAACTTGGTAGACACTCACTAGAAGATGTTTTAATGCCAAATATCTTAGCTCTAGCTCTTTGGGTTCTTTAAGAGAAGATTTTTTTAAGTTTTTACTATATGCATATAGGGAAAATCAATGACCCCCTGGGGCGGGGCCAATTTTGACCCCAGGGCTTTTATTTGAACAAACTTGGTAGACACTCACTAGAAGATGTTTCATGCCAAAAATCTTAGCTCTAGCTCTTTGGGTTCTTTAAAAGAAGATTTTTTAAGTTTTTACTATATGCATATAGGGAAAATCAATGACCCCCTGGGGCGGGGCCAATTTGGACCCCAGGGCTTTTATTTGAACAAACTTGGTAGACACTCACTAGAAGATGTTTCATGCCAAATATCTAAGCGCTAGCTCTTAGGGTTGTTTAAAAGAAGATATTTAAAGATTTTTCTTTCGGTTGCCATGGCAACTAGAGTTCTGCATGGAATTAAATTCTTTGAACAATTTTTAAAGGTGACCACCAAAGGAACATTCCTGTGAAGTTTGGATGAAATTGGCTCAGTGGTTTATGAGGAGATGTCATTTAAAGCAAAAGTTTACGGACGGACGGACGGACGCCGGACGAAAAGCGATCACAAAAGCTCACCCTGTCACTTTGTGACAGGTGAGCTAAAAAAACCCTATAATGATCAGTTAATTTATTAGTAATTGATTAACAATGCATGAAAAGCATTTATTCTTTCATATCAAAAGCTATTTGCCTACAAAGTAAAATATTAACTAATAATGTTTGCATGTCTTCCATACTCAGTAACCTTGGCGTACTTGTTATGAACTTAATTTGAATGTAGTTCAGCGGAATCAATACCATCTATTATACATCTGAAAGTACCACAGGGTGAGAAAAATGTGCAAACTGGCCGTGACTCAAACCCCAGACTCTTGGAATACAGTCATTCAACAGCTCTACCTATCGACAGAACTATCCAGCCACTTACACATTTTCCCCCCTAAATAGTGAACAGTTTTAGTCTATTTACCCAAAGACACCCCTAGACTACCCCAAGACACCCCTAGACTACCCCAAGACTATGCCAAGACACCCAAAGACTATGCCAAGACACCCCTAGACTATGCCAAGACACCCCAAGACTACGCCAAGACACCCAAAGACTTCACCAAGACACCAAAACACTACGCCAAGACATCCCTAGACTACCCTAAACTATGCCAAGACACCCAAAGATTATCCCAAGACACTTTTACCGACATGTAAATATGGTCTTAATTTTACATTGTTTACGGGAGGTAACTATGCACATGTACAGATTGAATTATCTCCCTTCATTTAATATTATAAATATATTCTTTTTTTGTGCAAAATAGTTTACAACAATGAAGTAATGCCAAGGTTGCGGGATTTTGGTTTAGTTTTTGCAACAATGTCATTTTATGAGTGACAAATTTTTGATGCCTGATTATTAAATGATCGATCATATTCTGTTTCATAATAATGATCTTTTTTTATTTCATCTGTCCCACATTTCATTAGATTAACATAATCTTATTGTTTCAGTAAAGTTGATTTTAATCAAAATATTTTTTTATATTAAAGAGCATATCAATAAATATTTTAGTGATGAAAAAATTCCATACACAATTGACAATATTTGATTTATTGGACAGTAACAAGATGACACTTAAATAATCAGTTGTCGTATATAATAACACTCCCAATTTACACAATATGTAAGTTTCTTGGGGTGTCTTGGGGTTGTCCTGGGACTAAAAATGTGTATCTTTCTGTCCCAGAGTAGTCTTAAATAGACCAACCCCGTCACTTTGATACATTTTTGCTTCTGGGTAAAGCAACGTCATCGGTCTTGACCGACATAAACTATAACAAGCCCATAACGTCTGATATATTGGACAAGTACAGACAAAGACATTACACTGTTAAATACATGTTATTATGTATATTGTACAAATGTATCTGATGTGTGTCTCTGGTACAGACAGTTCAATAATGTGAAAAATGTCTAAATTTAATAAAATACAGTGCTACATATAAGCAGAGTATCTGCGTAATTACCCAATAATTTTGACCAATTTACCCAAATAAAATAAAATCTTTGCGTAATAAAAACGCAAATCAAAATATCAGTACCCAATTTTTTTTGATACTTTAGCGTATTTTCAATATCTTGGACCATAATTCACCTAGCAAAAACTGCCAAACAAATCCGAAAATAGCCTGTTTCCCTTTCTGTACTTTCGTTTTCCATTTGTTAACCGGGAACAATTGAGTAGACTGGTTTAAAGATATTTTTTCGCGGAAAAGCTTTATATACTTATGAGAGATAGCAAAATAGCAGTCCAGACTAAGATTTATTTACTTTCTGCTTCAACAAAATGGCGAAACGGGGCTGATAAAAATTAATTATTTCAATGCAAATATTTGGTTATTTTACCGAGCCAGATGTTGTAAAAAATTTGTTAAATGAACTTTTTAGACAATGTTTGTTTACAGTCTTTGTGTCTATTGTTTCCGAGATCCTGGACAATATTTTGACCGATGCAAATCTATGCAAACCAATAAATTTTTCAATGATACCCAATTTTGTTTCTGTGTTACCCAATTGCTTGTCAAGTCCAGGGGTAAATACCCAATTAACTCAAAAGCTTATCTGTAGCTCTGAAAATACATATATTAATCAATATAATATATTATATTGATTAATATATGTATTTAATTAAATCTATACAAATTCATGAATGAGAAAACACCTACATTGTGTACATGTATATTATGCATTTAAGACATTTATAACTCACATCAAAAATTGCTTGAACGTCTATTTGTGATCATAATGATTACTACAATAGTAATATTTACCATAAAGCAATGTCAGGGAATGATCTGGTGTCAATACATTTGTTAAAAAAAGATCTTTGTTTTTGTTGCTGTGAGATCATGGGTTGTAAATAAACTGATCAAGTTTTATAAACAAACTATATTATTTAATTTTATACCTTTCAATCCTGGGTTGTCATCTTTACTTCTTATGCCTTTTATCTTCACTGTCTTTCCGCTTAGTGTTGCCAACACGAGACGTTGACGGAGAAAGTTGCATCCATCATATGTTAAGGGTTTTTGAGACATTGTACTTGCGTTTGTTTACAAGACGCACGTGGGTTTTGACAGATTGGTTTGCTAGCTTCGAGAACGTCGTTTCGAATCAATAAAACCCTATAAAGTTTGGAGTAAATGAAAGTAGCTAAGTAAAAAACAAATTTAATCCCTCAAAGTAAGTATAAGGAATATTTTAAATTGCATTCATCTTTTTAAAAACGTTGAAACGTTAATGAAAAAAATTCGATGACACGCAAATACTGACTCTGAATTCGCATAAAGTTTACTCTTCGGCACAATTTCTTTTGCAGTGCAGTGAAATATTTTGTTATCTAAGGCTCTGCATTTAGAAGCATGGCATCCAGTAATGTGATTAAGAAAGAACCTAAATTGAAAGAGAATAGTAAAGCCCGCTTATCTGCGATAAAAGATATGATTGACAATGAAGAATGTGTCCTTAGAAAACGGCTACCAAGAAAACTTCCAAAACGAGATTGTGATGTCTATGTCTCAAACCGTACAAATTATAAACAGCAATTAGAAAGGTGCCAGAAGATTCTTGACAATGGGAATTTAGTATGTATACATGGACTTGGTATAGCAATTAACAGGGCAATAAATTTAGCAAATCAGTTGAAAAGTAATGGAACAGGCACGGTAGAGGTGGCTGCTCATACTTCAACAGTGGAGCTAACAGATGACATTGAGCCGCTAAAAGATGACAGAGACGCTGAAACTGTGTCGAGAAATAATTCTGCAATTCATATTAGAGTCTTTAGACCAGATGGTGAAAGTGCAAGCAAACAGCTTGCTAAAATTGAGAAACATTTGAAAAAATAGGTAAAATTGATCAGGGTTTGAAAGTGTTTTTTTTTTACCTTTTAAACTTCTCGTCAGTTGCGTGATGCTCTAAGTTTAATACAACAAGAAAACAAACATCTGCGACAGGGTGAAAAAATATGTGGAGCATTATCAGGATTCGAACCCCGGACCCTAGGAATTAAAATACCATAGTGTGTACAGTTCTATTCCGTGATCTACTCCCTCACTTTATTAAAATCTATCCTTGAATTTTTTATGTGTACAGAAAACATTTCCTAATGACTCGGCCAAATTACGCTCCAAATGTCACAGGATGAGAAATATGTGCAGCCTAATGGGGACTCGAACCTGGGTGCCTCAGAATACCATACTGCATCAGAGACTGTACTGACTTACATGGAATTAGTAACTATTCGCCACACTAACGATTCGCCACATAACGATTTGCCACAGAGTAGTCCAACTAATTGTACTGCGCGACGAGATATTGTGCTATTTTCGTGTCTGGGCAATATCTCGCCTCTTAAAGCGAGATTCTGCCCCAGAACGAAAAATATCTCAGAATCAAGCTTTGGCACGTCAATATATTTTGACTAGCCACAGAGTAATAACGATTCGCTACAGTTAAATAACGATTCGCCACAGTATGATTATAGATCTAACAATGATTTTTTTAGTTATCAACAAACTTTTTCCTTTTGTTTTAATAATTTGACAATGACAATAATTTAATAATGTTTCTTAATACAAGTAACATGAACTTAAAGCCCCCATCGCGGATTTTCAATTTATCAAAGTAACATTATTACCTGTAGGAGTACATTTACAAGAAAGTAATTATATATGTTGATTAATCATAAACATAAATGTCAATTAATATAAGAAGAAGAGAAGAAATAGTTTATTTCGGTAACTTATATATACATTTACAGTATATCTCGTTACATACAATAATTACAAATATAATAATTCTGTGGTCACATGACCAAAGCAAAGAAAAAAATAATAAGAAGAGCATAAAAAGTTTTAACTGATGACATTCTTACGGAGAACAGACAGCTGCAAATAAAGGAACAAAGAACATCACAATATCATTATCATTCATAGAAATAAATATATATTTCATATATTATATATATGTCAAATAATAAAAAAAAATATTGCAAAAACATGCGATCATTACGAAAATTGATTTACGATAATTGATTAAAGAACGCATATCTAAAACATTTGTCACACCTTTTATTTTAACAAGCCAATCACCTTAAATTGTATAAATATTTAATTAACGCCGAAATAATCCTTTAATTATCTGACAATGTGAGCAGATTTCAAAACAATGCGGCAATTAAGCTTATGTATGTAAATTTTATGATAAAATATGTTAGTTATATAAATAACTTATCTAAAATGTGTACAGTAATGTAATTTTGGTAATAAAATATATTTATTTTCATTTATTCAATTAAAGCTGTTTTCTTTTAATTTTACGGTTTATATAAATAACGAAGTTTAACTTATAGATCTACAATGTGTAATGTAATTTTGGTAATAAAATATTCATGTGTCTTTATTCAATAAAAGCTGTTTTCGTATAATTTTCCAGTTTATATAAATAACGAAGTTTTTCTCATCTACAATGTGTGATGTAATTTTGGTAATAAAATATTTATTTTCATGTGTTTTTATTCTATAAATGTTTGTTATTATATTTTTCCAGTTTATATAAATAACGAAGTTATAAAATGTGTTATGTAATTTTGTTAATAAAATATTTGGTTTTCGTGTGTTTTTTATTCAATAAAAGCTTTATTCAGTGTAATTAATTTATGTAATTAACAAATGAAATGTAAAATGGAAAAAAGTTTCCATCAACAATTTGAAAACAGGTGTGAAAAAGTTTGTATTTGAACACGTGGCGAATCGTTATTTAACTGTGGCGAATCGTTATTACTCTGTGTCGAATCGTTATGTGGCGAATCGTTAGTGTGGCGAATCGTTACATTACCCTTACATGTATCTGGCTGCTTATAAATTTTGCTTTCTATAACCTGTTACATGTATAAAGACTTTGACTGACATAGAACATTTTATATATAGGAACTTAATACTCACATTAATTAATATTTACTAAATTACAAGCAAGTCAGGCTTGCAATTTCACTGTAAATTAATGAATTTTTTTCTAGCCAAATAGTATGTTATTGCATTTTAAATTTTTTTTATACTGAAAACATTTTATTATTTGATTTTTGTAATGGCAGAGTTGTCATTAAGATGCTGCTATTGCATTCGAGACAGTCATCCTGCCACCTCAAAACTTAGAAAGCACTCTTTAATGTATATTTAAAGTAAAAAATGACTGCCAAATATTGAAATCAGACTGTCTTAGAAAGAGTCTTAGAACCATACATGTAACTCTCTTTTGCATAATTTTGGAGTTACTGCCCTTTGTATTTTTTTTTTCATACTAAAAGTAGGCAAGATTATAACTTAAAAAGTATCAAAAGTGTCAATTAAAGATATTAATTAACTTGAAATTTCACTGAAAGAGAAGTGCATTGTTTTAGAACCATAACTATGTAATATATAATTTTGGAGTTATTGACCTTTGTAATTTTTCGCATTTAATTTGCAAAACTAAAGTAATTTTTATAGGTATCAACTTGGAACTTAAAATTTTGAAGAAAAAAAACTTGTTGATGAAACAAACATTTTCCAAGAACGATAATTCTTTTTCTTTTCTTTTTTTGCAAAATTTTGAAGTTATTTAGTGTTTTTTTTTTAACATTTTAGTTCTTGCACTTTGTAATGTTTCATATTCAATTCATGTCTGGGGCGTCCGTGGCCGAGTGGTTAAGGTCTTTGACTTCAAATCACTTGCCCCTCACCGCTGTGGGTTCGAATCCCGACAGGAACTTTGGATTCTTTCATTTGAGGAAGCTATCCAGCTAGGTTACGGAACGTCGATGGTTCTACTCAGGTGCTCGTTCGTGCCTGAAATAATGCTAGGAAGGGCACCTGATGTCTTCCTCCACCAGTAAAAGCTGGAACGTCGCGATTTGACCTATACTGTGTGGATGTGACGTAAAACCCAAAACAAACAAAAACAATTCATGTCTAGAGCATATTTTTAAGTCCATAATTTATGATGTACATGTATGTCACTGCATATGAAATTAATGTTTAACATTTAAAGTATCTATATCCAAGAAAATTTATTAATTGATTCAAAATTAAAATTGCATTTCTTACACATGTTCAATGTATTAACATACTTTAATGAATGACCAAATTATGTCAAAATAATATTTAATGCCATAATATATATAAGGTTTGACACTGCTCATTTTTGTGGGCTTTGTATCATAAAATTTAAGTCTGATATACTCTGATATACTTTATACTAAGAAGCTTCAATTAAGTGATTAACATTGTTCGATGGGGATATGTGTATCAAACTCAAATAAATAGACACATATCTATTTAAAACTATTTATGTTAAATTGAGACCTCCCAGGGTACCTGATTAAGAATCATGCGATTCCCCCTCACCACCCTGCTTTAGAATCACATTTTTTACATCCAGCTAGGGTTTGGAAGGTTGGTGGTTTTACTCAGATTCCCACTCTAGTCCTATAAATGTGTTGTTGCTTTAATTAAGATATTTAACTTTTCTTAAGCTTGCCCAATATAAATGTACTCAATAAAATTATCTTAAGGGTATAACGTCTAAACTTTTTGACTAGTGCCCACATTTGGCTTAAATGAAGAACAAATGGGGCATATATGGGGTCTTAACTTCATAGCTGTAAATCACATTCCTACCTCACAGAATTTGTGTCAAAAGTACCAAATATGCAAAACAGCACTGAAAACCTGTTAAAACTTAAATCTGAATCATTTGTTATAAGTTAAATGTATGGAAGCATCTATTTCAGATAGGAAAATACAGGCACAATCATTTTCTCTTTTTTCTTTTTACAGATTTCCAAAGGTTGAACAAGAAATAGAACCAACAAGTTCAGATGTGCGAGACTGGCAATCATGAAGACCATTTCATTGGAAAAGAGAAGAAACTGAAATATTAGACAGAACTTGAATTTTCTCAAAGTCTAACTGGGCGAATTGTTTTCTGTACCGGGTATTCACTATTTAAATAAACAATTGCCAAGCTCATTCAATACACCAGGAAAATGTTTTTTTCCTTTCCTAAGCTTAGATGTTTGTTTATGTAGTGTTAATTGCCAGGGAATATTCTACAAAAATTATTTGAATAATGCCTGTGGGCAGAATAAGCCTTGCCTAAAGAGTTTCTTTGAAATGGTAATTTTATGAAGCACATGTAATTTTAGCATCAGTTTGAATGGCTACCCTCTATCAGGAAGCTGGATATTTCTCAACTTGAGCAAATAGTACCAATTAGAACATAGTTGGTACAAAATGATACAGAGATCATTGGAAATAATGTGATGCGTTATGTTTGAAGTGAATAGACAATGTTTCACTTATATTGTTTTATGTATACATAATTATATCTGTACACAAATTATAAGTCCCTAATCAGTGTTTTGCACAGGTAGTGTGTCCTTTTGGTGTATATAATTTTATGTCTCTGTAAAATGAAAAAAAGAAAAAACCAAAAAAATTTGAATTTTAGCCATAAAAACTTATTGATTAACTTGGTTTGTGAATAAGTAGTAACACACTATAAGGCATATTTATTTTTTGTTTGTTTATCTGTTTAGAACTCTGGTTGCTATGGTAACAGAAATTGTCAAAATAAGACCATAAAATATGATACATGTACCTGAAATACCAATAACTCATAAAATATGCAAGTTATGTTGATGAAACTTGCAATGTACTTAAGAACATGTAGCAATATTATAAAGGGTATAAACTATAAGCTATATCTAAAGTTAATTTTTACACAATTTTAAAGCACGTCGGTGCCTGAAATAATGCACGGAGGGGCACCTGAGGTCTTCCTCCACCAGTAAAGCTGGAATGTCGCCATATGACCTATACTGTGGCGGTGTGACATAAAACCCAATTAAACAAACAAACAAAGCATGTTACATGTATGTTTCCATTATCTTATGTTAGAACAAAATTAATGCATGTGAACAGAAAAACAAAATATTTTGCTGCTATTGTAACTTGGAGTTTTACCTTTTAGCAATGATGTTCTGCATGTGCAACTCGCTCATAAGTAGATCATATCAATACATTTCTTTCAAACATGCATTTTGGAATTATTCTTTTTACAATTTTTTTTTTTTTGTAAACTGCATACAACAGATGTATAGTTTTAAGATGAGAGTATGAAGATTATACATGACTTTTTTTTTTTGGTTGCTATTGGTAACAGAAAGAAACACATTTTTGCTTTGAATTAAAATATTGATTATGTGATATTTCAAACACCATACAGTTAATGTTCTTTGGTAAAGATGTTGATATATGACAATATGTTGATTATTGTTATTTTCCTTATGAAGTAGTATGTAGCAATATTATAAAGGGTATAAACTATAAGCTATATCTAAAGTTAATTTTTACACAATTTTAAAGCACGTCGGTGCCTGAAATAATGCACGGAGGGGCACCTGAGGTCTTCCTCCACCAGTAAAGCTGGAATGTCGCCATATGACCTATACTGTGGCGGTGTGACATAAAACCCAATTAAACAAACAAACAAAGCATGTTACATGTATGTTTCCATTATCTTATGTTAGAACAAAATTAATGCATGTGAACAGAAAAACAAAATATTTTGCTGCTATTGTAACTTGGAGTTTTACCTTTTAGCAATGATGTTCTGCATGTGCAACTCGCTCATAAGTAGATCATATCAATACATTTCTTTCAAACATGCATTTTGGAATTATTCTTTTTACAATTTTTTTTTTTTTGTAAACTGCACACAACAGATAGTTTTAAGATGAGAGCATGAAGAGTATACATGACTTTTTTCTCCTTTTTTTGAGGTCAAAACTATGGTTGCTACATGTATTGGTAAAAGAAAGAAACAAAACTTTTCTTTGAATTAAATTATTTTTTATGTGATAATTCAAACACCATACAGTTAATGTTCTTTGATTAAGATGTTGATATATGACAATATGTTGATTATTGTTATTTTCTTTATGAAGTTGGTGTAATTAAATATTATTCATGTTATAAATATGAAATTTTACTCAAAAAAGAAGAATTTATTGGCTATTAAAATGTTACATACATGTATAAAATGCCAATGACTTGTTTCATATTTTGTTTATTTTTAAAGAATGAAATATAACACATGTACTAACTGTGAACTTTTATTTCACTGAGTTGGATATTTAAAGTACCCACATTGCTTCACATATTTATTTCCTTTTTATTAGTTTCGCCAGACGGGTGTAGGGACTTTATGTTTACCCCCTGTCCGTCTGTCAGATTTCTGATTTAAGTTTTTAAGCTTCTTCACTATAAGTTCTTTATTTGTTAAGGTATTTACTTCAAAGATATGTTTCTGATTATCAATTTCATCATATGTGACAAGATTTACAACTCTAGCACAAAAATTATCAGAAATATGTGCCTTGAACTTAGAATTTCATGGGAAAAAAAGGCCTTAAACTTCTTTATTTCTTTATGTTTCTGCTTCAAACTTTATATATATATATATATATGTCTTATTATCACTCAAATCATTTTGGAGAAGGTTCAATACTCTAGCTTGACTATTTTAAGAATTAAGTCCCCCTTGAATTTTTTTGTTAAAACTATTATTTTTCACTCAAACTTCTTCATTTTTAGTAGCATTTACTTCAAACTGCAACATCATAGTAATATGACAAAGGTTATAAATCTAGCGTCCATAAAGATTTATGCTCAGAGTGTCTGCCAGTTCGTCTGTCCATTTCTAAACACTGTTTCCTGAGATCATTTTTAAAGAACTTTTTCAACAAATTTAATTAAAATAGAAAAAAGATGAAACATAAGTTATAAATATTCATCCTGAGAAAATTGGATCTTCTGATTATCTCTTGTATCAACATAATTTCATTACTAGACAGGGAAACTTAACACATTGCTAAGAAATAGACAAACTAAGAACTCAAAAGATTTAAGTTTATTCTTGTCATTCATTCATTCATTCATTGACATAATTCAATGATCAATGGCCCGGTAGGGGACTTATGGATTGCTTGCAATACTATAATAATTGCTTGTTTTTTAAGTTATGTTTTGTCATAGTGGATAATTACTCCACCATCACGCCTTTTAAAAGAAAAAAAAATGATATTTTATACACAATTATTGGTAGATTCTTTCTTCATATCTACTTTAAATACCATTGATGACAATCTGAAATGTGTTGTTATTGAACAAATGAAAGAGCATTGAAATGTTTTCCAGAGGTTATAATTGAACATGGCCCTAGATCATCTTATTTGGCAATGTTTTAATGGGAAACCTGTAAAAAATATTCTTGTCAGCAACCTGAAGGCCTACAGTCCATTTTGTCTGGGTCTGAGAGTTTTTACTGAAATAATGGAGGTAACAAATAGAGGAAGATAACATTTCATAAGTACCATATTTCTCGTAAGAAAATGATATTTGTGCAATGAAAATGATGAGATAATGCATATCTTTAGAGGTCTGTCAAATGTATAACGGGTTTTTTTGATGAATTACACGTAAGACAAGTTTATTTTTAGGGGAACAATATACAGTAAATATGCCAAATTATTGATATTATCCACACTGCGGAGGGTGAGGAGGGAGTTTTCCCCAAAGTACACCAATGTTTGGATTGTTTTAATGTCATTTGAACTGATATTGCATATTGATATAAATCTTTTTTGGAAAAAAGTGATAATGCGACTTCCCTCAGGAACATTATATTTACATTACGTCAACAATAATGGATCTTCCCCATTTTATCATTTTTTTGTAACCTCTAATAACAATCCTAGATTGGGCTATTTTAAAACTGAAAACATCAGAATAAATGTGTGTATGCCTTTTTAAATGAGCATAAAAGTAATACGCCTCCATATGAATGCACTTTTCAAAGCTTTTAGATGTAAAATAGCAAAAATATTCATTTTAAAGAAAAACAAGCAAACCAAGCTGGCATTTCAAACTTGAAATGTGTTAAAATACATAATGATAAGTATGGGGATAGGAACTTGTTGAAAAACTAGTAGATTCAGTTTGACTGTCGGTTTTTCCCCCTCCGATTTCATCACATTTTGGTTATATCCCAGTAGCACATTTACTGGATAACTAACCGTTAATTATCAATTTCGCAAGTGACCTGTAAATCACCGTTACAGAGAGACGAATGTCTAACCCAACTGTCACAGAGATGTTTCACCTCGATCGCTGTATGATTGAACCAGCGTCCTCTGGATTTTTTAGTTAAGCCGATGGTCTTACTTTGCATATGACATACAAAAAGCGTTAAATTGGTTGTGCATAATATTTTTTTCAATTCTTTAAATTTTCAATGTCAATACTAAGTGGAATTTGAATTGTCGTTTCCTTTGTGGCGTGCAGCTACAAACGGTTCCTTTTGTGGCGTACAGCTACAAAAGATTTTAATTTCAGTCTTAAAGAAAACTTTGGCCAGTCTCGCAAAAAGCCTCGTCTAGAAACTCGCTGTTCCCTATGTATATTTCAGTTTCAGGAAGTTTGGCTGTAAAATTAATATCAAATTACTCGAGCATTCTAAGACGAGGTAAAGTGTAGAAAGTTTAACTAATGATTGTTTATGCTAATACAAACATTTTACGTTATTATGCATAAGTTCAAATAAATGAAAAACATCAATTAACCTCTAAAACGGCAGCAACCTTATCAAGATTCTTAAATTTATTATTTGCACATTTTGTTGTATCACAGCCGATGTTAATGTAATATCACAGACAGGGGTGTTTAAATTAAACATATGGTAGTCTAGTCGACACTATTCTGGGACATAACATGCTATAAAAATGTGTTATGTCCAAGTTATACCGCAATTAAGGGACTCCACTGAGGTTTTTATGACATTAA